TTTGATCTCCAACATACCTAAGTGGACTTAGACAGTCTGACTTGAGGTAAGCAATAGCCCAGTGCTTGAGATCTGCTGTGTTACAGATTACAGCCAGACCTGTTAACATAAATCTGCTGTAAGGAATATTAAATAGCTTATTTCAAACATAGCGCTGTCAAGGTAATGTGTTTATACAATAGATTAAATGAGTGGATTAAAAATTGTCTGCAGTGAGACATTTAGTTTTTTTATGTACTCTCGGACTAGCAGACTGACTAATTTTGAACCCGGAATGCAAAAGTTGCTCTAGATTAATCATGTTCATATATCATGATATATGTGCCTCATTATTCTGACAGACCCGTGAAGATTCCGGGGTAGAATAGGTCTTCAGCAACCCATACTTGCCGTAAAAGGCGACTATGCTTGTCATAAAAGGCGACTAACGGGTGGTCAGGCTCGCTGACTTGGTTGATACATGTCATTGATCCCAATGGCGTGGATTGATGCTCATGATGTTAATCACTGGATTGTCTGGTCCAGACTCGATTATTTTACAGACCGCCGTCATATAGCTGGAATATTGCTGAGTGAGGCATTAAACAACAAACAAAACAAACATTATTCTGACAACATGGTCGACAATAAAATGCTTGTATGTAAGGCAGCATTAGAAATTGGCACTACTCCTGTAGTCCTTGCCAAACTGCCCAATAGTTAAGGTATCATAAGGACTAGTAGAAATATGGCAATTTTAAGGGTTTTGCTATATTTAATCATTATAAGGACTAGTGGACTAAATATGTTAGTTTCTATCCCTGTAAGGCCTATATAGCTGGTATATTCTCTCATCTGACTTCGCATGCTCAAGTAGCCATGAGACGGCTGTGTGTTGAAATGAAATTGAATTGTATATCACATTATACCACCATATCAACTGGATATTGCTCTGTAATATACCCGGCAACCCCATAGACAGATGACCTCATAAACTGTGGTGTGTTCAATATTCATTGTGAGATCACCCTACCGTATATTGGTAATGATGTTTAACATAGCGTACATGTATACTTAGTGTGTGGCAACTCTGTGACATTGTGGAATGTTAACATGGCTCTCTCACTTACTCTGGCACATCCAGACTTGGTCTCCGCGTTCCGATCTGATCCTTTGCATACAGTGGGGTTACAGATTAGGTCTTCTTGGGACAAGTTGGTGTGAATGTTGATGTGCTGTCCGGGTTGGAAATTAATTTTTATTTTCACTAATTGCCTCCAGTCCTGGGCCCACTTGCACAAAGTGATCTTAGCGCTAAGATGATCTTAACCCCAATACTTTAACATAGGCTTACGATAGTCTTAGCGCTAACATGGTGCTAAGATCGCTTTGTGCAAGTGGGCCCTGTAGTCCTTGGGTATCTTAATGTCATTCTACTGTTTGAGCACTCCATTATTTTTAGGGACTGGAGAGTTGATTGTGTTCTCTGCCGCTGTTTCACGTGCTCTGTCACAAGCCGATATTTATGATGCATATATTATGACTCTTTAGAATGTTTTGTCAAAGTGTAAGAGTAGAGATGTGTTTTTAAGTAGGGGAATATCCTTGTAACTCTCCAGTCCCTAAAAATAATTGGCCTCGGCTCCATTATGTTTTGTATTACATATGTGCAAGTCTACCATACATCTTATTTAATTTGATCCCCCAGAATAAAGATGCAGTTCTGGAATGATTTCAAGGTAGACTCTACAGGGTTAGAAACTAACAGTTTTTGTCCACTGGTCCTTATAATGATAACATATAGCAAAACCCCTAAAATGGGCCAATTTCTACTAGTCCTTAGGATACCTTTACTATTGGGCAGTTTGGTAAGGGCTACAGGACTAGTGCCAATTTCTAACCCATACTTGCCGTAAAAGGCGACTATGCTTGTCGTAAAAGGCGACTAACGGGATCGGGTGGTCAGGCTCGCTGTCTTGGTTGATACATGTCACCGATCCCAATTGCTTAGATCGATGCTCATGATGTCAATCACTGGATTGTCTGGTCCAGACTCGATTATTTTACAGACCGCCGTCATACAGCTGGAATACTGCTGAGTGCGGCGTTAAACAACAAACAAACAAACATAACGCTGTAGACATCACCCTATGCAGGTAAATCCTTATCAGTGATATTTATTTTCAATCCTCAGCTGTAATGCTAGTATTCAGTTCCAGATGGTTTGGTTCAAGACCATGGCTCAAGCCTGTGGGCTTACTTATGGTAAACCAGAATCCGGAGGATTGATCTGTTACCTAATCTACTTCATGATGCTATGTTTTTGTGTGAGGTGTGTCGGGGTACTAGTGTCTGATCTCCCAGTGCAGAAATAGCTCTTATAATACACGGTTTCATGTACATAATCCTCCTTTACATAATCTGAGGTAGTCGTCTTGCTTTCCTTAATCTGTCTGAGAAAATGACGGGTTTGGCTTATTTTATAATCCCCACGGTTGATGCCGAAATACAGATAAGCAGTAATGAAAGACTTTTGCAGCGTTAGAAATTGGCACTAGTCCTATAGTCCTTGTCAAACTCCGCAATAGTTAAAGTATCATAAGGACTAATAGAAATTTGCCATTTAAGCCAAGGGTTTTGCTTTATGTTATCATTATAAGGACTAGTAGACTAAAACTGTTTGTTTCTATCTCTGCTATTGACTGTCCCAGTCTGATAGCCACGGATCAGTAGCTGTGCCTGGGACACGTCTCAACAGCATTCTTTGACTTAAAGGAATCATTTATCAAAGAAAACAAACATAATGGATGTGTAATCATCGGCTGTAGGTAGGGTCGTACGTTTACATACAAGTGTATTCACGGTGTGTACACAGATATATCAGCTGCCACTGCCTTTTGTAGGGCATGAATTAAGTTTGACCTGACTGTGGAATGTGGTTGGATCCGAAACTCTATGCCTGGAGTATGTAGGAATTTGGTTTGACAGCCAGGACAGGTGTATTGGTGAGACATTGGATTGTAGGTAGATTGTGCCACCCTGACTATTACACCAGTTGGCCCTGTGATGGTGGGGATAGTGTCTGCACCAGGTAGGTAGGGGTTGGGGGTAGTGCTTGCTGTCAATAGGGGGGTCAGGGCTGGTGTATCGGGTGAGAGATAGACTGTGCCACCCTGACTATTACACCAGTTGGCCCTGTGATGGTGGGGATAGTGTCTGCACCAGGTAGGTAGGGGTTGGGGGTAGTGCTTGCTGTCAATAGGGGGGTCAGGGCAGGTGTATCGGGTGAGAGATAGATTGTGCCACCCTGACTATTACACCAGTTGGCCCTGTGATGGTGGGGATAGTGTCTGCACCAGGTAGGTAGGGGTTGGGGGTAGTGCTTGCTGTTAATAGGGGGGTCAGGGCTGGTGTATCGGGTGAGAGATAGATTGTGCCACCCTGACTATTACACCAGCTGGCCCTGTGATGGTTGGGATAGTGTCTGCACCAGGTAGGTAGGGGTTAGGGGTAGTGCTTGCTGTCAAAAGGGGGGTCAGGGCAGGTGTATCGGGTGAGAGATAGATTGTGCCACCCTGACTATTACACCAGTTGGCCCTGTGATGGTGGGGATAGTGTCTGCACCAGGTAGGTAGGGGTTGGGGGTAGTGCTTGCTGTCAATAGGGGGGTCAGGGCTGGTGTATCGGGTGAGAGATAGATTGTGCCACCCTGAGTTTACCTGATTGTGGGACTGAAGGATAAGGGCGTGGGGTGTGTACTGGCTGCCAAATCTAGACATTGGACCTGACAGCACATATTGCTGAAGCCAGGTCGAATATCTACAACACTATCGGTGTTGTCTCTATCCACATTGATCTATTGATCTAGATGTTCTAGGTTTAGCAGATATTTGCTGAAATGCTATTTTGTGTTTGTGGTTAAATTACTCTCTGAACATAAGAATTAATAGTTCATTAGTGGGTATGAGTCAGATGTTTTATAATGTTTGTCTTTGACTTGAATGGAATTGAATGCCATTGCCATGTTTCTTTTTCCCCAGGGCACCATCTTTGCAATCATGGTTTAGGTTACCATCACAGCGTGGGACTGACCACTTGATATTCTTGGGAGGGGGGCAGGGATATTTGTATTGAGACTTGATATGTTTCCAGCTTCAGCTAACTATGAGTATTTTTAAAAGAACACATCTTGCAACAATGTATTTATGTGGCTGACAATTTTTTTGTTTAATCAACAGTCTAAAGTATTTATTTTTTTCAAGCATTCCTGGGACATTTGTTTTTCTCACTAAAAAAGTAAAAATCACCCCACCCCTTGATCAACCAAATGAAACACATAACCATAATAAGAATACACATATGTAACAAAACACATCATTTTTTGTTAATTTTATTTATTGCCTGATCCATACCTTTAGCAAATAAATAATCATGATAATGTTACTTTGAAATTTTATTGTGTACATTTGACTGAATGACATACAATATGGTATAACCATGAACACATTCCATATTCCATTCATGTCAAGATTTGTTTGTAACAGTATAGTAGAGCATAGTGGTGATACTTGATGATTTTGGAATCTAACAGCCCCTCTATGAAATACAGGGTTCACTCTAGGAATTTTCTGAAATGGGCCCTTTATATGAAAATTTCAAATATTCCAGAGGTACGCCCATACAGCACAATGTTTAAATGGCCCATTGTATTTGAATATGTTGGCCTTATTTCAAATTTAGGGGCTAAAAGGACAAGGCCCCACCTTAGAATTATCCCTGGAAATAGATATTACCAACTATGACAAGTTCATATTACCACTGATTACTTGTATTACCTCTAAAAGATCATCCAGTAGATCATGTGGATAATCTATGCAGCTTATTATTCCAACAGTATACTCATCTCTACCTACTGTTATTCAGCTTTCATGGTATTGTAAGGTGTATATATTTCTTGTTTTACAATGGGTCCACAACAATAGCCCGTATCATATTCCAGTGTTATCTTGTATTGACTGCAGGTGCCCCCTGCTGCAGTGCTGGAGATGTATGGACACAGTCAAGCGTTGGAGGCAGCCTTACTTCAACACCTCCCCGTCTGTTGATTAGTCATGCCTGGTTGCCTGATGGTATCAAATATTCACAGGATGAGAGATTAGTGAACCAGAAGTTGTGACCCCTGGCAGGTGGCTGGCAGTGATATCAGTGGCTGGTGGTGATATCGGTGGCTGGTGGTGATATCGGTGCTGGCGATGGTATTGGTGGCTAGACATGTATTGATTCCAAGAAGCGGGAATCGAAGCTAGTCAATGATTTATGTGATTCTGTGAAGGAGCACCTTGTTGAGGGTGTTGATCATGGAGTGTGGGACTTGTGTACTGTCATACGGTAACTTGCTCTACATTTGACTGAATGGATGAAATGTCTTGAAACTTGGCGCTATAATGCAGTACACATATGAAAAGGAAAAGTTGTGGAAGTCTGTCCCGGCCAAGAAGAAATTGGGAAGCAGGCGGGCCAATGCTGCATTCAGGGAGGTGGAAGATGTGAAACGAAGGTTGGATTTTCATAATGACGATGAAGCATTGAGGTCTGAATTCGTCTCGAAGATCACTGACCTGAGAGGTCTGATTAGTCCCAGAAAATCAGCACGCTTTAATTCAAAGCCTAATTCTGGCCAGAGTAACAGAGCAAGAGCTGCTGAGGTTGTTTGCTGGTCTGCCTCAGTGAACGAGTTTGATGACTTACGGCATAATGACTACTATTCTGGGAGTAATGAGGACCTGGAGTCTAGAAAGGATTCTGGGCAAACACGAAGAGAGCGGAACTACTGTGTTGTGAACTACAGTAGTGATCCGGCAGATTTCGGTGTCGTCAGGATTGATGATGGTGATGATGATGATGATGATGAAGAAGAAGATGGGAAGGGAGTGGTGGAAGAAACGTTCCAGAGACACTCACAATCAAGACACAGAAATAAGGACAGTGAGGCAGATTCTATGCATGTCCGCCATCAGGAAAAACTGAATCTCAACAATGAATTCCAGAATGACTATCTTTTCAAAAGACCTAAATCAATTTTGGTGTCTCAGAAAATCTCAGAAAGAGACTTTGTTGATGAGGCTGATAAAAAAGTTCTGTTACACAGACTCGAGACTCGAGTCCGAGAGAAGCGTTTAAAGAAGCAGATCGCTGACATCAAGAACACATTGCAAGACCGAGTTTTGGACGACAGCTCAGTGTCCGCTGATTCCTACTCGTCACACGTGTCTGTTGATCAGGCTGTTAGAACTCTTGAAATACTCTCCGATGCCTTGAGGAAGTCTGACAGTTCACTGGGTAGGAAGTCAACAAGTCGTTATGGTAACAGAACAGGCATTTTAGGAGTTGGTGGTGGAGTGCGCAAGGATTACGGACAAGAATTTAACTCTGACCTCAGCCCTGAAGATACTGAAGAACTTCAGGAACAGAGAAGTGCTGGGAAGTCTTCAGGGAGTAAGAAACTGTCCAGTTCATTGCTGAGCAGCTCCTCAGTTCGGCCAGTGCAGACAAACGTGGAGTTGCAGAAGGATGTGTCAGGAAGTGATGGACTCATGTTAAGTCAGGTGTCAAATGGTCACGACATACAGGACAGAGTCAGCGACGTTCCTCAGGACAGACGGTCACTTAGGAGTCCTAAGTATTCTGACAGAGTAGTGGTGAGAAAAGACGTAGATGGGATCAGTTCTCGTTCCTCTATTAAACAGTCTAGAAAGACATTTGATTCTACAAGCAGTATTTATGACTTGCATCACCATGATGTGGAAGACTACCTCTCCAAGTCTGAAAGTCAGAGGTGTAGAAATGGCCATCAATTTAAACATGACAGACGAACATCACTTGATAATGGTAAACAGCAGACATCAAAGGAATACAATGATAACGCTATTGTTGGTGGTTCAGAGTTTTGTGAAAACTCACAGAAAGATGGAGTTGGAGATTCATATGATGATTCTGGTCCTGAAATTGGACCTCTTCATCTGGAAATGTCTCCTGACTCTGATGAAGGCCCTTTGACTCTGACTGAACTGGACTCTGATGCCAACTCTGATTGGATTCTGGAGAGCGGGACAGATTCCGGTCACAGATCTCGCCCACGTTCGTCTCATGGCCAGCGTATTTCAGGAAGAGTAACGTCTACAATTGAAGGAGCAAGGAGGCATCAACCAGTGCCAAATCATCATTCTGAAAGACACCTTTCTCGGGAACGTAGTCAGACAGGCCCTATAGCCAGGGAACAGAAAGGAGGGTCTTCTAAGGTACATTCAGATAAACATAGGGAACATCATGCAAGAAACAGACATGAGGAACACACAGTTTCCAGGACAGGTAATAGAATGGTTTCGCTTTCAAAGAGGGATAAAACAGATTGTAATCCGAGGAAAGGTGACAGAAAGATGATGAAAGACCCTTGTGTGGGTGATGCGGAGACTCTGACGTTAGCTGATGTGCAGCAGTTTCACAGAGAGGTGGATAAGAGACTCCAGGGATGTGAAGATAATGTAGGTGTTGATGGTGGTGGTGGTGGAGGGAAAGACCGAAAGGGAAGTAAGTCTTCACAAGGAAAGGGAGCTCAAAGGATTGTGCATGGGGAGAAGAAAACACTTATTCAGAATAAAAATTACAAGATGTTACCACCAAAACTACACAGGACGTCCTCAAGACCGAATTCACCATCCAAGCAGAAGGGGGTGTTGATTCCTGGGAGAATCAGCAGCCATGCTTCATCTCGAGTCCAGCTTCGGGACCGACCAGGCAACGGGCAGACCAACATGAAGGGTTCTTCTCATGGGCAAGGTGTGTCAGATCAAGCAAGGAAAAATGGAGTTACTTCTTCAATGCCCAACGCAATCCAAGTGTCAGCTGATATCACAATCCCTGACCTCCTCGGTGTGCGTATCACCAAAACCATCGCTCGACAGAAGGAAGGTCATCGGAAACTGGATGAAAGGGATTTTCCAGAGAAACGTAGACTAAACTTGTCCTTTGAAGATTCACTTGATGGAGGACACAATGTCCAGTGTGAAATTCAAGGTTATGAGCTTGACTTGAGAAAGGCGATCAAAGATCAAGGGTCACCAAGGACAGGTAACTCCAGAGACAGGTCAAATAATAGATATAATCAAAATTCAGGACATGTTGGGAATGGGATTGTTGGGAATGAGTCTGCCAATGAAGGGAAGGGATTCATGGAACCAAATGTGGATGACAGGCCTTCCTCACCAGGTCTTGGTTATTCTGGACAGATCAAGAGGAGCGGCATTCATGGCAAGGGGGAAGGTAATACAAGAAAAGGCTTTGCAATGCTAAACAACGAGTCAGTGAAAGAATCTTTTTTGTCCAACTGTGTGAACAAACTCGGAAGGATGAATGGAAACAGGATTGATGATTTTGAGCCGTCCGGGAAGAAGAAGGATCTGAGAGATGACCTCGGACCTGCATCAGTGTTTGAGCCTCCAGAGAGAGATACATCAACACCCATAAAAGTGAGTTGGTCTTTAGTCAGATTAGACATCTCAAGTCAAGGGAATTTGTTATCAGACCTTATTTACCAAGAACTGCTAATTCAGTCTGCAAACATTAGCCACTAATCTGAATCCTTAGCCGGTCTGTTAATAACTAGCTTGGCATGGATTGTTGCCCATGCTTTCAGTCACTGCCTCGTCCAGACTTGATTGTATACAGGTCACACATAGCTGGAATAGAGCTGACTGAACGTTTGACAATATTAACTCTAACCACGCTCACTCACCTTGAACATGATTTCAGTAGACGTTTCAGCATGTTCAGTAGATGTTTCAGTCGACGTTTCAGTAGAAATCACTGAACATATATGTATGACATAAGCTAGCATGAATAATCTGAGCTGGTTTTGAGACCAACCATTTTGTATTTTGTAAGGGGTGCCAGTGATTTTATATGAATAATAATTTGTTCCACAAAATCCTTGAACAATTAATTTAGTTTGCACACCCAAAAATCAATATTCAAGGGATGTCCTCGGAAATAATATGTTTTGGGTAAAATCAATAATTGTTTGGCTCTTTTCAAGGAAAGATTGTCTTGAAAATGTTGAAGCCTGTTCTGTTGTCTCTAAACACAATCCTGCTTTAGACATGTTAAAGCTTACATCATTGGGCTACCTCACACCTCTGTACTTACTGTGTGGGACCCTGGAAGATCCGGAGTAGAATAGGTCTTCAGCAACCCATGCTTGCTGTAAAAGGCGGATCGGGTGGTCAGGCTTGCTGACTTGGTTGATGCATGTCATCACATGGATCGATGCTCATGATGTCAATTACTGCATTGTCTGGTGCAGCCTCGATTATTTCCAGACCGCCGTCATATAGCTGGAATATTGCTGAGTGCGTCATCAAACAACAAACAAACAAAACTTGCTGTGTGGAGCTGATGTGTGGTTAGTGTCTAGACCTTGACTTTTCTTCCTTCCAAGAAACGAGAGCCGTACCAGGGAAACCCACTTCTCCCCAACAGTCAGACCAACTGCCTACAGTAAGTCCTTGTCTTCATCTTAGCCTTGTGGGGAGTCCAGGCTGCCGAACAGCACAGCAGGCATGCCAACGTAACTATTTGGGGGAAATATGTACAGTATTATCAACCAAAATATGAAAATTACATTTGTTGCATATTTTGTCAAAAAGAAATATTGAACAACATTGTTTTAGGTATGTATGCTGGTAGGTATTTAAATTTTGATAGAAAACTTAGGTGTTGTGAATTTTGTAAAGCAAACGGGGTATCAGTAATTGAAGATGAGTATCATTTTGTGAGTATTTGTCCACAGCATTATCATAACAGAGTTAAATATGTTAATTGATTGTATTGGAAATATTCGTTTGATTACAAATTTGTCCAGCTGTTACAGTTTACATTAAAGATAACTTTACTTTATTTGTCGAGATATAAAAATGTTCATCGCAATAACTTAGCGTTACCTGTTACAGTCCAGCCTCTATGCTCTGATATGAATATGTATGCAATAAGGGGTTTAATGAGTCCAAGTCTTTTCCTTGAATGAACTTCTGTTCTGTAATACTTATTAATCTCAAAACACATTATCTCATGTATAACCAATTATGATCAGTTAATTATACTTAATAATCACTTTAGGACGCTCCACATGTCCCTATGAAAAGTTGAGTAGTATAGGTGAACATTCCTGTGGTTGTGCAGGTCGTGTGGAAGTGCTGCCGACACCATCATGGCGCACATCCACAACCCCGACATGCTGCGTCTGCTGACCAACCTGTACCAGGCAGACGACACCAGCAGGAAGCAGCTCATTGTTCTGGTAAGTCTCAGTTGAAGTGACTGGCTAGAAGTTGTGTTTAGAATGTTGTTTTGTAGAGAAATTATCCATGTTTGTGATGTGTTTATCATGTACCTCCACGACTGCAGATGTAATGTGGCTGAATCAGCTGTATAATGGGTACCTGGTAGGAGAAAGTAAGTTAAAATATGACGTTGCACCAGCAAAATATTCTTCCAATTGATGAGCAAATCTTAATAACAAAACCCTGTCAACAAGCATGGTTTATGTGGAAAATGAAAAATTATCCAGATGAGACGTTAAAGAAAGGTTTATGTTCTTTAGTGTCCTTCGTAGTCCTTGATTGCATGACTTGCCTGTTCATTTGTGCCAGTACACAGTGTTGAGTTAGTAGAATGATTACCACTGGGTCCGAATTGGTCCCCAGGCACCCCTGCTTGTCATAGACCTATAAGTTCCCTACTACAGCTATTGTATGCAATGAAGAATATTGACTATTTCTTCTTGTAGATACCACAGGGTATTCGGGTTGGAATTGGGGCGGTCGGGTAGCCTAGTGGTTAAAGTGTTCGCTCGTCACGCCGAGGACCCGGGTTCGATTCCCGACATGGGTACAATGTGTGAAGCCCATTTCTGGTGTCCCCTGCCGTGATATTGCTGGAATATTGCTAAAAGCGGCGTAAAACCATACTCACTCACTCGGGTTGGAATTGGTCCGAAGCAAACTATGCTGGTTGTAAGAGTTGACTTAATCATGTTTTGGGATCAGGTTGTCAGCCTCTGTGACTTTGTTGATTGCGTGACTGTCGTCGTACCCCGACAGTGTGGATCGTTGCTCACTCAATGGATTGTTTAGTCCAGACTTGATTATTCACAGGCTGCCATCATATAGCTGGAATATAGCCGAGTGTGGCAGTAAAGGCCAACGAAATAAAATAGTGGAATGATTATCATTTTCAATTATCCTAGACCCAGCACTTCAAGACTTGGCAAATGAATGCCCTGCGACAGAAGCAGCACCGCCAGAACCGAGACATCTTCATGAACAGGTAAAAAGTGGAGGTCCAAGGCTGGTGTAAATACATCTTTTAAACTTGAATAGAATGATGAATAGAGTTATGTCCCTTTGTCATGTCAGGTTCTCATGGTCGCTCTTATTCCAGACTTGCCCTGATTTTGGGCCTTGTTAAGATCTGCATTATGCCTGGAAAGTGGAAAGTTGGTGGTTCAGTCTCATGTGTACCAAGACACATTAAAAGATGGGTCTATTTGTTGCCATGCCTTAATGGGGGGGCACAGGTGGCCCAGTCGTCTAAGGCACCGCGATTCGCTTTGCAGAGTTGCGTCCCTTGGGCAAGCCAGAAACCGATGATTGTGGGTTCGAATCCAGGTTCGCCCCGATTATGTTTCTAGGTTTGTCAGCACCATACCCGTGCTCGTGGGTTTCACCGAAGTGGTAAACGTCTGAGACCTGCATGACTTCGTGCTTTCCTCCCACATTAAGCTGACATGCCATGATATAACTGGAATACTGTTAAAAGCGTCATTAAACCCAACTCACTCACTCACCATGCCTTTACGGGTCGTTTTAATCACACTCGCTGGGGTCGTACTTGAATGGGCGTGTCACAGTGATTGATTTATTTAGTGTCCAGCGCTTTACTGAATCCCGTTGATGGTAGCCATTACATCATTATTGAGGATATAAAACTAGCCAACTTGAATACAGTATACTATGTCTGATTGGGGTATCCATTTTAAACTGCGGCTTAGTAGTTCAGTTGGCTAGCCCAAGAAATCTGGCATTAGTTTGGACTAGTACAAGCTGAGCCACTCCATTTCACCTGACCTGTGTATAATCCTTCTGTGTCCAGGGCCCAGAAGTTCCTGGTGAACCACCTCCTGGTGCGATACTTCTACACCTGGCATGCCCTGGCTCAGGACCATCGACAGAACAGGGTGGCCACTGATCTCTTCAGACACCACATGCTGAAGAAGGGTCTGGACGCCTTCCGCTGGGCCATCAGTCGATCTATGCACAGACAGGACATGCTGATCCACAGAGTCAACACCATCCAGGTGGCAGCAGCATTCAACAAGGTGAGTCAACACCATCCAGGTGGCAGCAGCATTCAACAAGGTGAGTCAACACCATCCAGCTGGAAGCAGCATTCAACAAGGTGAGTCAACACCATCCAGGTGGCAGCAGCATTCAACAAGGTGAGTCAACACCATTCAGGTGGCAGCAGCATTCAACAAGGTGAGTCAACACCATCCAGGTGGCAGCAGCATTCAACAAGGTGAGTCAACACCATCCAGGTAGAAGCAGCATTCAACAAGGTGAGTCAACACCATCCAGGTGGCAGCAGCATTCAACAAGGTGAGTCAACACCATCCAGGTAGAAGCAGCATTCAACAAGGTGAGTCAACACCATCCAGGTGGCAGCAGCATTCAACAAGGTGAGTCAACACCATCCAGGTAGAAGCAGCATTCAACAAGGTGAGTCAACACCATCCAGGTGGCAGCAGCATTCAACAAGGTGAGTCAACACCATCCAGGTGGCAGCAGCATTCAACAAGGTGAATCAACACCATCCAGGTAGAAGCAGCATTCAACAAGGTGAGTCAACACCATCCAGGTGGCAGCAGCATTCAACAAGGTGAGTCAACACCATCCAGGTGGCAGCAGCATTCAACAAGGTGAGTCAACACCATCCTGGTGGCAGCAGCATTCAACAAGGTGAGTCAACACCATCCAGGTGGCAGCAGCATTCAACAAGGTGAATCAACACCATCCAGGTGGCAGCAGCATTCAACAAGGTGAGTCAACACCATCCAGGTGGCAGCAGCATTCAACAAGGTGAATCAACACCATTCAGGTGGCAGCAGCATTCAACAAGGTGAGTCAACACCATCCAGGTGGCAGCAGCATTCAACAAGGTGAGTCAACACCATCCAGGTGGCAGCAGCATTCAACAAGGTGAGTCAACACCATCCTGGTGGCAGCAGCATTCAACAAGGTGAGTCAACACCATCCAGGTGGCAGCAGCATTCAACAAGGTGAATCAACACCATCCAGGTGGCAGCAGCATTCAACAAGGTGAGTCAACACCATCCAGGTGGCAGCAGCATTCAACAAGGTGAATCAACACCATTCAGGTGGCAGCAGCATTCAACAAGGTGAGTCAACACCATCCAGGTGGCAGCAGCATTCAACAAGGTGAGTCAACACCATCCAGGTAGCAGTAGCATTCAACATTTTCCTGTAACCTTGGTAACTCAGATGGTTGTGGGGCAGTTGATTCAACATAAACATGTGGGGTATTTTACCTAAAACATGCAAATAGTATCCTTTTGGGATTTATTTACTTTAGCATCCATGTCCCATGAAGACTAACCTTGTGTATGTTTCCATCAGTGGCGTGACAGGGCGGACACCAGGCGACAGACCAGACTGGAGATGTCATTTCAGACCTGGCGAGACTTCTCCCTGGAGGCACAGAGGTAGTCACTTTATATAGTTGTAGAAAAGTCAGTTGGCCTGTACCTTTACCCCAGTGTAAGGCTTTAAAGATAACAAGAGTTTGCCACTAACGTGGCTATATCCCCCGCCCCTGTTGCAGAATTTATGACATAATAAAATCTAAACAAACCCTAACCTTTTTTAACCGAGGTGGAACTTGTCATGGAAATTGTATAAAAAAAGAAGAGTTTGGAACTTAAGTCCATCTTGTTGCCATGGAAACATAATTATTTTTTTAAAAATCTAAAATTTCTAAATAGCAAAAGGCACCAGTTCAGCATGTACTTGACAGACCTGCAAAGTTTCATGAAAAAATATCGAACGGTTTCTGAGTTATGCTCCGGAAAAATAATGGGAAGGACGAAGCCCGTTTCTATATCCCCGCCAACTTTGTTGGGCAGGGGATAAAAATATGAAGAAGAACCTCAACGCAACAAAGCATGCTCAAAGTGCTGACAACATATGTAAACAAGAATGAAATGGCTGAGTTATCAAACAATAATGTTTTAAATCTTGACTTGAAAATATCAAATGATGTGGCTGTTCTGAGGGCAACTGGATGTAGGGGTCCCTAGATTCAAATACTATTGCAGCAGTAGGACCCAGGACCCCCCTTCCTTGCGAACACTGTCCTGTATATCTATCCTTTCAGTGAAGGGGGCATTGTTGAAGAGGGTACTAGTGTACCCCAGGTACCCTAAACAAAATGCACAAATGTACCTCAGCTTGGCAATGTGTGCTTTGCATGAGTGGATAGCCTTGGGCTGTAACGATTCACCGAAACCTACAATATCATTGATACTTAGGTATACACGATACTTGAATCGTCAGTTTGTGAGATTGTGATACGCTATAAACAGAACAGGAACTAATAGAGTTACCTCCCAAAATGGCAGAAGTAGCACAGCGCCACCTGAAAGCATGGAAGAACACAATGACGGGGTAGCTGAAGACGGGCTGACTAACTGATACATTTAATAACCATCCCTTCATTTAAACTCATTCACCCCATGAAACGACTCAAAAACACTGTCGTCTGCTTAAAATCAGTTCACTCAGTGAGATTATTACTGCCAATTGACTAAAGGCCCTATGTAGCTGAACGTCCATTCTGTCAGCACCATTGGTGTTAGCTCTGTGTCCAATCTCACCTGGAGAAGCATACATTTGTCATGTGGGAGGGCAAGGTTCAACTCCCAACATTGGGACAAAGCGTGAAGCCAATTTCTGGTGCCTCCTGCCACCATATTAAGGAATACAATGGTAAATCATCATGTCTAGTGATGTTTTATATCAAATTTCATACTTTTATTGACCAAGTTTGTTATAGATCTACCTGCTTATTCACCTGAAGGGATACGATGTTGTTGTTTTTTTAAAGCGCATATTATACTCGATAAATCTTTTTTTACACTATGAATCATAAATAACTTCTATTCTAATCTTTTTTGAAACTCTGAAATGTGCAACATAGATCGTGTTAGGTAGGCAGAGCATGTACTGTTATTTTGGTCATCTACCACCTACGACTCGACCTTCGTTAAACCGCTGATCATCTATAACGCTCATCAATTATTTGGACCCCGAAGGTAGCGTTGTAGCGAGGGATCACTGTATTTCCAACTACTATGTTAAATCATACTCACTCACTCATTCACACACACACTCACTGACAGAGCTCGGATGCTGCGGAGGAGCCTGGACCAGAAGCTGATGTCGGCGATGTTGAAGAAGTGGGTGGAGAGGCATGCGCTGAGGGTGAAGCAGCACAAGGCCGACTACTACCGCAGGTGAGTGGGGCATGCTGGGATACCGACTGTCTAACAAGCATCAGACTAACTAATAGATTCCAACACAAATAGGAGTAATGTGAGGATTATTATTATTAAAGTGAAAAGTGTTTTGAACATGTAAACAGCTGTTTTGTATTCCCTACAGATTTGTGATATTACATGATAGTGCTTGACAGCACAGATATTTCTGTCAGTGATCATGTGAATAATATTTCATGTTGAATGGGTATTATATTTGTATGGGTAGAGTGAATTTGGTTGAATTTAGTATTATATTTATTCTTTTTTAGTTAATTGAACAATTTAAAAGTCAACTCCCATGTTCTCTCCCTCTCCCCTCCTTGCCCTCTCCCTCCCTCCCCCCTCCCTCTCTCCTCGGCCTCTCCCTCCCTCTTCCTCTCCCTCTCTCCTTGGCCTCTCCCCTCCCTCTCTCTTCTTCCCCCTTTACAAATGAACAATTATGACTATGATAACAGTTCAAGCAAAGTTGAAAGTCAACTCCAATGCTCTTTCCCTCCCCTCTCCCTCTCCCCTCCTCACCCTCTCTCCCTCTCCTCACCTCACCTCTCCCTCTCCCCTCTTGCCGTAAAAGGCGACTATGCTTGTCGTAAAAGGCGACTAACGGGATCGGGTGGTCAGACTCGCTGACTTGGTGGATGCATGTCATCGATCCCAATTGCGTGGATCGATGCTCATGATATTAATCACTGGATTGTCTGGTCCAGACTCGATTATTTACAGACCGCCGTCATATAGCTGGAATATTGCTGAGTGCGGCGTTAAACAACAAACCAACCAACCAACCCTCTCCCCTCCTTGCTCTCTTCCTCCCATCTACCCTTCTCTCTCCCTGTCCCCTCCCTCTCTCCTCTCCCCCTCCCCATCATATTCAACGTGCTTAAACTCCACTGGTTGTCTGCCACTCAAATGTTATCATGGATGTCAATCTGGCAGGTACAGATTCCCTACTTACACACAGACATTGTCTCACTTTCACCCAACTGTAGTCTCCCTTAAAGCATCAATCATAACTTTGAAAATCTACATGTTCAGCCTTGTGGTTAGTGGTTTAGATTCAACTAATTTGCAATCTCACAAAGTTTAAAAAATATTCCCATGGTAAGCTTTGTCCATCGTTCTAATGTTTGGTTTATTAAAACTCACCAGTCACTGATGGAAAGGAAGTTTAATTTAAATCCTCTGAAGCATGTGGTATTACCATCTGTTATCTTCCCTACGTCGCCCTACAGCAGTGTGACTAGGACCCAGGTAGGACATATGTGTTGTATCACATGCATGGAACTATGTGTTCATATACTTCACCGGTTCTATATCAGGGACAAAAGTTTCAATATTGTTGGCAAAACTGTTTTCATGGTCGTTCAATGTGTTACTCTGTATTATTATTGACACAAATTTCTAATCTAACTCACTCACTCACTCTCTCACTGTGTGGACACCACTGTGTGACTAACCTTGCTGTTTTTCTCTGATCAGTGTGTGTTTGTATCAATCAGGGGTCTTCACCTCAACACAAACACGTCACCTTTGTCATGTCCATTGTATGTTTTCCCCTGGGTCTTTACAAAAGTTATATTTAAGAAATAAAAGTTGTTTATCGAACAATGAAACACTTCAGGGAGAATAAACCACTCGAGGGCTGCGCCCCTCATGGTTTTTTCTCCGACCACAATTCATTTAATTCTGAGGGCACGGGTGGCCCAGTTGTCTAAGGCGCCGCGATTCGCTGTGCAGAGTTGCGTCCCTTGGGCACGCCAGAAACCTATGATTGTGGGTTCGAATCCAGGTTCGCCCCGATTATGTTTCTAGGTTTGTCAGCACCATACCCGTGCTTGTGGGTTTCACCGAAGTGGGAAACGTCTGAGACCTGCATCACTTCAGGCTTTCCTCCCACATTAAGCTGACACGCCGCGATATAACTGGAATATTGTTAAAAGCAGCGTTAAACCCAACTCACTCACTCATTTAATTCTTATATGTGATATCAATATTATGTACAGCCTCTTTAAGGGTGTCAATAAAATGTACAAGCGTTAAAATTTTTTTATATTTAATATTTATTTATATTTAAATAATGATGACTCCCTGAATAGAATCCGACCTCAGCAATGTCGGACAAGGGGGATTAATTTGGTCTTTCCTGCATATTCTCACGATTACCTGTACCTTTTCTCCCAATACCGATTGTTATATCTGTCCTACTTTTGGATGTGATCGTTCGGCCACTGCGGCCGTCTACGATGTCCAGCTAAATCTACGGGGACCAACTCACTAGACACTTCCCTCTTAAAAATAACGTCATACAGTTTACGTCATTGAGTTGTGAGCGCATGTTCGAATCTCCAGAAATGACGTCACGATAGAGCAATTTTATATCGTGAAATAAACCGTACTTCGATCTTCATTGTTCTTTGCGATTTATCGCTTAGCTATCTACAAAGCTATGAGTCTTGTATATGTCATTATACAAACTATATTTGAACAGTCTGATAAGCTTGAGTGGATACTGAGGCCTCTGCTGCACTGATGACCTGGGGCCTGTTCCACAAAGTGATCGTAGTGCTATGATTGTGGTAAGCCTGTGTTATAGTATGGGAGTTACGATCATCTTAGCGCTAAGATCGCTCTGTGGAACGGGGCCCTGGTCCTTTAAAGCACATCATGTTACTGTGCATAGTTATATCCCTTATGCATGCCAGGCTCCGCTGGTCATAGGTTTAAGTTCCAGACTCACATCAATTTGTCTGTCAACACTAAACCCATGGTGCTATATGTCACTTAAAGATTGATCATGCTGTGATTTAAGAATTTATATGTACAGTCAAACCAGTTACATGTATCTCGAACCTGGGGGGACGCCGGTGTGACCTTGAGATATCCGGACATTCTAGATAACAAGGCATGGACATCCAGACAGAGATGTTAAGTTGTTAGATGTGTGAGGAGAGGTACTAGATAAACTTTATCTAGGAGAATTCGAGATAAAGGTGCAAAATTCTATAGAAACGTCCAAGCTGGGACCGAGCCCCAGTTTCAAGATAGCGTTTTCGTCTTTTTGTTTCAAATTCTAGATAAGCGGGCAAAGTTATGATTAGGTATACATATAGTGCGGTGATCGGCACCGGAGAATAGGTGTGAGATGTCGGTACATTTGAGATAACAGATTTCGAGGTAACGGGCAAAGTTATATGTATTTATACAGTGAAGCGGTTGGCACAAGAGAATAGGTGTGCAATACCGGGACCTTTGAGATAACGCATTTCAACGCATTTCAACATAACAGGCACCGGAGAATAGGTGTGAGATGTCGGTACATTTGAGATAACAGATTTCGAGGTAACGGGCAAAGTTACATGTATTTATACAGTGAAGCGGTTGGCACAAGAGAATAGGTGTGCAATACCGGGACCTTTGAGATAACGCATTTCAACATAACAGGGTTTAAGTGCAATCGAAATGTACAGTTCTCTTTCTGAGTTCTCAGCCTTCAAAATTCATGCTTGTCCACTAGCCAGTGACTACTGAAGTGTGTGAGGACAGAGTGAAATACACTGATGGTAGTCTTCATTGACCAGTAGCATTTGAGCATTATTATCATGATTATTCTGAATCAGTTCTCAACACTTCAGGTTTGCTACAAATTGGAACTACTGTATTTCCTCTATTAGACGCGGGGCGGTCGGGTAGCCTAGTGGTTAAAGCGTTTGCTCATCACGCCGAAGACCCGGGTTTGATTCCCGACATGGGTACAATGTGTGAAGCCCATTTCTGGTGTCCCCCCGCCGTGATATTGCTGGAATATTGCTAAAAGCAGCGTTAAACCATACTCACTCACTCACTATTAGATGCCGGGCCTCTAATAGAAGCCGGGTCAATTGTTCAGTGCAAAAAATAGAAGCCGGGTCGATCCATATCTTACGGATATCTACGAACATAAAATATTTCCATTTCATGAAGATTCAGGATGCCGGGCCTCTAATTGATGCCGGGTCAAAGGCTTGTCCGAAATAAATAGAAGCCCGGGCGTCTAATAGAGGAAATACGGTAAATGTAACTGTGAGAAATTCTAAAAACATAGTGCACATTTGTGTGTTCTTCAATCAGGACTAGCTACACACTCTGAGGAATAGTCTTAATATAACATATTTTCTGCCTGGGTTCTCCCTCTTGGCATGTTTAACCTAACTTGACTAAAGCTCTTGTGGCTAGATTAATGTGTTTGAGAGCTTGTCTTACTGATTCTGGGATGTAGGTAGTGAGTGTTACTACTAACCCTGTTGACGGTGAGTGTTTGTGTACATCATGTCACTTCCTGTACAGTCTGTATGTCCTGTGTGGTGTGTGTCACTCGTGTCGTGGGATGTTTCAGGTGCACAATGTTGTCGCACATGTGGTTGTCGTGGCAACACTTCACAGCACTGTCCATACAGAAGAGGTCCCGGAGGCAGCAGGCAATGTGAGTCAGTAACCATGGTAACACCATGCCAAGGTGGAAAATATGGCAATGAATGGAGGGAACATGTTTTTCCGTAGCCAATAAGATTGATTGTTAAGTCAACAAGACCGTCTGCCATTATGTCCTTGACCTTGATCTTGACTGACGTCAGATCATGTCAGTGTTATGTGGTAGTGTTAATCAATTATGTTGTGTTTTTTTGTGCTTTATAACAGTTTGTGTATGTGTGACATTTCAGATAGATAAGTATATACATCTGACATGGTGACCCATGTCCGACATTAAGCAAGGAGGTGAAAAGGTCCTCGTCATAACCCTAATGTTCAAATTTGGACGTTTTCTAGACTCAAATACTACAGGTGCAAACTTGCATACTTCAGATCTTTCACTCTGATACGATCCCTCTCTGCATGAAACACTTCACAGGAGGTCTTTTAAAAAAAGATTCTTAATTCTTGGTATAAGCCAATGCATTCAGAGCAGCATATCTAATCTCTGTATCTTGAAATCCAACTTAAAGGGCAGTTCCACATGGAAATAATAAAGATTACTCGATTGTACACTATTTCATACACCCTATCGTTTCTGAGTGCCATCTACACCCGAAAGGAATGTTTGTATTCTGTGTGGGTTTTCTTTTGTGATGGTTGAAAGTTCAGAATCATTTTAGAAAGCTGACATATGTTTGGCTTAGGAACCCAGGCAACCTTCATTTTGATTGGGCGATAACAGTTCACTCAGGGTTCACCTGACAGCAACTCCTGTGGACATGACGGAGGGTTGTCAGGTGTGCATGCGGAGAGAAGTAAAGTATCAATCTCATTAAAATCAGATCTGAGTTCTCGCTGCCGCCAAATAAAGATCTGAGGACATCCCATTTCGGGTCATGTCAGAACGACCTTTCATCCAACCAATCAAAGCGTCGCTTACCAGATCGTAAAAGTGACAGTCAGAATGTGTTGTCTCATCATGCAACTTCGAAAACGTTAACACGGGGTATTCCGAACGACAGTTAAGGCTCGTACAACTGATTCCGTCAAAATTATTGTCTATCTCTCGCTTCTGTGGGATAAACTTTTGAACGGGGGAGGAGCTGCACAGTACGTGGGAAGCACTGCCATACAATCTCAACCATATATGAGACATTCCGGAATGTTCGTTTGTTCAGTTTTCAAAATTTTAGTCGATAACTGTGTCAACATACTTTTCAACCGTAGTCTAAAATGGAAGTCGCCAGGTTGAAACGAGTGCCGTAAAGCTCAAGAAAGCTGCTTTCTAATTGGCTGATGTCAACTTCTTGTCAGTCATTTCAGTGGTTGGTCAAAGTTCACCAAAGGTCGTTCTGACGTGACCGGTAATGGGATGTCCTCAGATCTTTGTTTAGCGATAGCAAGAACTATGATCTGATCTGAGATTGAGTAAAGTATCTGATTATTGTGAGATGGAAACACCCACTGTGGAGGCTCATATAGCATGTATATCTTGTATGTACCCACAATGGAGGTTCATATGGGCTTGTTGACTTGATTGACACATGTCATCGTATCCCAATTGCATGGATTGATGCTCATGATGGCAATCACTGGATTGTCTGGTCCAGATTCGATCATTTACAAACTGCTGTCATATAGCTGGAATATTGCTGAGTGCGGCATTAAACAAACAAACAAAAACAACATGTATGTCTTGTATGTACCCACTATTGACTGTATAAGCTTAAGATTCTGACTGGTCAGACAATTTTTGTAAGATGTCAATCCAGAAAATGATGAGTGAAATTAAATATAATGTTTTCACTCTTTTGAGAGTTTGTCACTAATTCATTCTTTGCCAAAATGTTCTGACAACTGGACCAAACATGTCTCTTGACTGCATTTCAAGTATATTTAGTGGTAATATATCTGGAAATATTTTTTCATTCTCACCAGGGGGCACGGGTGGCCCAGTCGTCTAAGGCGCCGCGATTTGCTGTGCAGAGTTGCGTCCCTTGGGCATGCCAGAAAACTATGATTGTGCGTTCAAATCCCAGTTCGCCCTGATTATGTTTCTAGGTTTGTCAGCACCATACCCGTGCTCGTGGGTTTCACCAAAGTGGTAAACGTCTAAGACCTGCATCACTTCGGGCTTTCCTCCCACATTAAGCTGACACGCCATGATATAACTGGAATACTGTTAAAAGCGGCGTTAAACCCAACTCACTCACTCACTCATTCTCACCAGAAAAGCAGGGAATATGCTGCGACACTTTGTGTTACTCAGATACAAGAAACAGGGACACACGACACAGAGATATGTGACAGAATCCTTATACGGTGTTGTGACCTCTGACCCTGTGTGTTTCAGTGCGGTGTACCGGGAGCATCTCCAGCGACGGATGTTGGAGGAGATGCAGCAGACGCACCTGAAACACCAGCGTGCCCGCAGACACTACAGGTAGACACAGACATCACAGGCAGCACTGGACGACCTGCACAAACAGAACATATTTATTTGGGATGTCACGATTCACCAATACATCAGTTCTTCAATAACAATCTCAGACAATACAATACATGATACACACTTACCTATCTATTCATATTTGTATCCCCTATCGTTTCACTCATGGAATGACTTTGTTGGCAAAATGGGTCCTACCTACATTTTAATGAACAATTTATTTATTCTTATTAATTTAGACTGCCTCCGTGGTCTAGTGGTAGAGCGTCCGCCCGGAGAGCGGAAGGTCAGGGGTTCGATCCCTGGCCACGCCATGCCAAAAGACGTAAAAGATGGTATTTGTTGTTACCCTGTCTGGCACTCAGCATTAAAGGGCTAAAGCAAGGACTGGTCGGCTCGGAGTCAGTATACTGTGTCTGAGTGGGATATTCATGGTAAACTGCGGCATAGTATCTCAGTGAGCTAGCACTATAAATTGGCATCAGTCCTGACTAGTACAAGCAGCCACACAAACACACACACGTTAATGCACGTCGCTATATAAGTGCAATAATCTTGGATGCGATGTTAAACCCCATTTCACCTCGCCATTATTAATTTATGCTATATTTACATTGTACAATGTGCATAATTTTAAGACTTCAATTCTGTTCTGGTCTTTTTCTAACTGGTGTTGTAACTCCAGTTTTAACTGAAGTTTGAATGCAATTGATTGAGATGAAAAATATTTATTTTTAAATATCAGTCCAGATATTCGGGAAGTTTAAAGCCCTTCTAAAAGTGTTTATACCCTATGAAAAATATAAACCAGCTGAAAATTGCCGCAAATTAAGTAAAACATATGGTATCTTGAACAAAGTATTGTGGTACGTATCGTATCATGTCATCCCTAATATTTATATGTAGCAACAATATGGTGTTGGCCTTTCCTACTTTCCAGAATCAAAATATGCCTAGATTACCACAAGTACTTAATTTGCTAAACAGTATATACAAAGATATAATAGCAAGCTGATGAATAAGAAAAGTGTTGTGTTACTTGATAAGTTGAACTGCCATATCATTGATAGTTTCATATTTATAATTTTTATCTTGTATTTTTCGACCCGCAACTTTGCGTTTTGTCCTGATTTCACTGATTTCTGAGCAGGTTAGACAACAGTAGACTGGATGATTGTCTACCACTGGTCCTGTCAGAGTGTTTATGTGTGTTTCAGACTGAGGACTCTAGCTCAGATATTCCTGGGTTGGCGCCAGTCGTCCCAGGTCTGTAAAGTGGAACGCCAGCGTGACCTGAGCCGAAGTCGGGATCACTGGCACTCCACCAACCTCCGCCACTTCTTCCTCCACTGGCGCGAGACACTCTGGAATCTCCGTGCCAAACGAATGGCTGAGAGGAATATTGGACTGTAAGTTGGATTGTCATTACCATCATGAAATCAATCTGATTAGCTAACCACCATCTTGTAAAAATGTGTCAATAGCAGGGTGAAAGGGGCTTGTGCAGAGAGGGAGCAGCTCGAGGGGTATACATTTAACATTTAACATTCAGCGTAACAGTCCTGTACCTACACGTGTAGTGCCTTAAAAATGTAATATAGTGACCCACCAGGGGAAAAGTACTAGCCTTATAGGTGCTAGGATGCAATTTTGCTGTGAAGGCATAGAGAAAGACGTTTGATGTCAACTTACTTCCATAATAATGTGTGTGGACAAGTATCTTATTTTTATCTCGGTAGTTCATAATATTTTAAAACTTTCTGTCCCCATGTCTACTTTTAATTAATCTGATATATCTAAAAACTGCAAATCATTACATAAACAGTTGTAAGTCGGAAAATGGGACTTTGCAGAAAGTAAGTCGAAATGTATGATGCTATGTAAATAAATAAGAATTGAAGCTGATAAAATTGTATTTTTTGTGGTCCTAAGATGCTGTAGTTTTAAAATATGATAAAAAGTCAAAATGTGATCTTTCACCCATAAGGTCCCTTATCTCATGGTGGGTCACATAAAATACTCCACACCAGACCATATGCATTTTTAGATGATGTAATACAATAAAATAATAATACATCTATTGAATACCTCAGAGCATAATTTATTGTTTCTAACAATACTATGTGTACTGATTTCAAAACTCACATTGCAGCCATATGTTCTCCCTTTGGAAGGAGAAATGGCTTACAAACTTGGCGCGGCGACGCTACATCGAGAAACAGATTGAGATGAACAAGTTGCGACGGTCACTGCAGGTGTGGCGTGACAACGTGGTGCAACAGCGTCGTCGCCGTGCCGCTGCCGTGTACAGTCTGGAGAATGCCCTCATGAGACAGATGCTTGGAGACTGGCACCGATACACCGGACTGCGGGGGGACATGAGGTGAGATAGCATCTGTTGTTGTAGAATTAAAGGCAGATTATTAACCAAGTTACCCGTGAAGATCCGGGTTAGGATAGGTCTTCTGCAACCCATGCTTGCTGAAATGACTGCTAAGAGGTGACTAACTTGATCAGGTGGTCAGGCTCACTGACTTGGTTGATGCATGTCATCTTACCCCAATTGCGTTGATCGATGCTCATGATGTGAATCACTGGATTGTCTGCTCCTGACTCAGTTATTTACAGACCGTCATCATATAACTGGAATATTGCTGAGTGCGGCGTTAAACAACAAACAAACAAAACAAAATTATCCAACAGATAGGGGTACCGGGTACCGGGTGTGGGTGATACTGTAGACAAACATGGCTGCAAATAATATGTTATTATATGATAAATTTGGCAGTCCACTCAAAGATTGTATTCATACGCAGTCTATTAAGTTGCGACCCCATGTGCATATTTATCGGATTGTGATACGAGTACAAGTATATGATAAGGAAACATCAACAGCTTGACTTACTATTTATGGCCTTGGGTTTTAGGCAGAGGATGAAGACGCACATCTGCTACCAGAATGCAGCCAAAATGGCGGAGTGTTTCCAGGCATGGCGGAGGGAGTTTGAGAAGCGAGTGGATGAACAGACAGCCAAGAGATTCTGGTCCAACCGTTGTGCCAGGTGAGCTAACATGTTAATAATATGCAAGATAGGTGTTTAAACTACATGTTCAAAGAGGAATTGTTAACTTGCATTCTTGTCTAGGACAGTGACGGAATTGTGAAGTGAGGTATTTGGTGTTGCTAGGAAGGCGAGCGTCACATGGCAGCTGGTGTGTCGGAAGCGACGTCTGCGGAACACGCTGGAGGAGACGGAGCCCTTGAGGCAGCTGACCCTCATGCAGGGTGAGATACGCAGACCTTTGTGGTGTAGGGGGAACATGACTGCATGGTGTTGGGGGAACATGACTGTGGTGTTGGGGGAACATGACTGTGTGGTGTTGGGGGAACATGACTGTGTGGTGTTGGGGAACATGACTGTGTGGTGTTGGGGGAACATGACTGCATGGTGTTGGGGGAACATGACTGTGGTGTTGGGGGAACATGACTGTGTGGTGTTGGGGGAACATGACTTCATGGTGTTGGGGGAACATGACTGCGTGGTGTTGGGGGAACATGACTGCGTGGTGTTGGGGGAACATGTCTGCATGGTGTTGGGGGAACATGACTGTGTGGTGTTGGGGGAACATGACTGCGTGGTGTTGGGGGAACATGACTGCGTGGTGTTGGGGGAACATGTCTGCATGGTGTTGGGGGAACATGACTGTGGTGTTGGGGGAACATGACTGTGGTGTTGGGGGAACATGACTGTGGTGTTGGGGGAACATGACTGTGTGGTGTTGGGGGAACATGACTGTGTGGTGTTGGGGGAACATGACTGCGTGGTGTTGGGGGAACATGTCTGCATGGTGTTGGGGGAACATGACTGTGTGGTGTTGGGGGAACATGACTGCGTGGTGTTGGGGGAACATGACTGCGTGGTGTTGGGGGAACATGACTGTGTGGTGTTGGGGGAACATGACTGCGTGGTGTTGGGGTAACATGACTGTGGTGTTGGGGGAACATGACTGTGTGGTGTTGGGGAACATGACTGTGTGGTGTTGGGGGAACATGTCTGCATGGTGTTGGGGGAACATGACTGTGTGGTGTTGGGGGAACATGACTGCGTGGTGTTGGGGGAACATGACTGCGTGGTGTTGGGGGAACATGACTGTGTGGTGTTGGGGGAACATGACTGCGTGGTGTTGGGGTAACATGACTGTGGTGTTGGGGGAACATGACTGCGTGGTGTTGGGGGAACATGACTGCGTGGTGTTGGGGGAACATGTCTGCATGGTGTTGGGGGAACATGACTGTGTGGTGTTGGGGGAACATGACTGCGTGGTGTTGGGGGAACATGACTGCGTGGTGTTGGGGGAACATGTCTGCATGGTGTTGGGGGAACATGACTGTGGTGTTGGGGGAACATGACTGTGGTGTTGGGGGAACATGACTGTGGTGTTGGGGGAACATGACTGTGTGGTGTTGGGGGAACATGACTGTGTGGTGTTGGGGGAACATGACTGCGTGGTGTTGGGGGAACATGTCTGCATGGTGTTGGGGGAACATGACTGTGTGGTGTTGGGGGAACATGACTGCGTGGTGTTGGGGGAACATGACTGCGTGGTGTTGGGGGAACATGACTGTGTGGTGTTGGGGGAACATGACTGCGTGGTGTTGGGGTAACATGACTGTGGTGTTGGGGGAACATGACTGTGTGGTGTTGGGGAACATGACTGTGTGGTGTTGGGGGAACATGACTGTGTGGTGTTGGGGGAACATGGCTGTGGTGTTTGGGGAACATGACTGTGTGGTGTTGGGGGAACATGACTGTGTGGTGTTGGGGGAACATGACTGTGTGGTGTTGGGGGAACATGACTGTGTGGTGTTGGGGGAACATGACTGTGTGGTGTTGGGGGAACATGACTGTGTGGTGTTGGGGGAACATGACTGTGGTGTTGGGGGAACATGACTGTGGTGTTGGGGGAACATGACTGTGTGGTGTTGGGGGAACATGACTGTGGTGTTGGGGGAACATGACTGTGTGGTGTTGGGGGAACATGACTGTGGTGTTGGGGGAACATGACTGTGTGGTGTTCGGGGAACATGATTGTGTGGTGTTGGGGGAACATGACTGTGTGGTGTTGGGGGAACATGACTGTGTGGTTGTTGGGGGAACATGACTGGTGTTGGGGGAACATGACTGTGTGGTGTTGGGGGAACATGACTGTGTGGTGTTGGGGGAACATGACTGTGTGGTGTTGGGGGAACATGACTGTGTGGTGTTCGGGGAACATGACTGTGTGGTGTTGGGGGATCTGTCACCATGGTTACATACTTGGTGTTCCTGTGATGTCTCTGTATAACAAAACACCTGTTACCATGGTTGCATATGTGTTGTTGCAGTGATGTTCCTGCGCTGGGTGGAGGCGAAGAAGAAGGTGGACCGGGAGAAGCAGGAGGCAGCGGAGATGCGTACCATGTTGCAGAGGTGCCAACTACGTAGACGCTTCAACACATGGAAAGCCACCACGCAGCTGGCCCTCACCATCAAACCTATGGTGCAGAGTCGACACCACAAGCTGGTCACACAGTAAGTAGATGGTGTTCAGTGCCATGTTTCATACTAAGTATATGGTGTTCAGGGCACCTTTTCACGCTTATTGTATTGTGTTCAGGGCACCTTCTCACGCTTATTGTATTGTGTTCAGGGCACCTTTTCACGCTTATTGTATTGTGTTCAGGGCACCTTTTCACACTTAGTGTATTGTGTGCAGGGCACCTTTTCACACTTAGTGTATTGTGTTCAGGGCACCTTTTCACACTTATTGTATTGGGTTCAGGGCCACATTTCACACTTAGTGTATTGTGTTCAGGGCACCTTTTCACACTTAGTATATTGGGTTCAGGGCACCTTTTCTCACGTAGTGTATTGTGTTCAGGGCACCTTTTCAGGCTTTTTGTATTGTGTTTAGGGCACCTTTTCACGCTTAGTGTATTGTGTTCAGGGCACCTTTTCACGCTTAGTGTATTGTGTTCAGGGCACCTTTTCACACTTAGTGTATTGTGTTCAGGGCACCTTTTCACACTTAGTGTATTGTGTTCAGGGCACCTTTTCACACTTAGTGTATTGGGTTCAGGGCCACGTTTTCACACTTAGTGTATTGTGTTTAGGGCACCTTTTCACGCTTATTGTATTGTGTTCAGGGCACCTTTTCACGCTTAGTGTATTGTGTTCAGGGCACCTTTTCACACTTAGTGTATTGTGTTCAGGGCACCTTTTCACACTTAGTGTTTTGTGTTCAGGGCACCTTTTCACACTTATTGTATTGGGTTCAGGGCCACATTTCACACTTAGTGTATTGTGTTCAGGGCACCTTTTCACACTTAGTATATTGTGTTCAGGGCACCTTTTCTCACGTAGTGTATTGTGTTCAGGGCATCTTTTCACGCTTTTTGTATTGTGTTCAGGGCACCTTTTCACACTTAGTGTATTGTGTTCAGGGCACCTTTTCACGCTTAGTGTATTGGGTTCAGGGCCACGTTTTCACACTTAGTGTATTGTGTTTAGGGCACCTTTTCACGCTTATTGTATTGTGTTCAGGGCACCTATTCACGCTTAGTGTATTGTGTTCAGGGCACCTTTTCACGCTTATTGTAATGTGTTTAGGGCACCTTTTCACGCTTAGTGTATTGTGTTCAGGGCACCTTTTCACACTTAGTGTATTGTGTTCAGGGCACCTTTTCACACTTAGTGTATTGTGTTCAGGGCACCTTTTCACACTTATTGTATTGGGTTCAGGGCCACATTTCACACTTAGTGTATTGTGTTCAGGGCACCTTTTCACACTTAGTATATTGTGTTCAGGGCACCTTTTCTCACTTAGTGTATTGTGTTCAGGGCACCTTTTCAGGCTTTTTGTATTGTGTTTAGGGCACCTTTTCACACTTAGTGTATTGTGTTTAGGGCCGCGTTTCACACTTAGTATATTGTGTTCAGGGCACCTTTTCACTCTTAATGCATTTTGTTCAGGGCCCCTTTTCACACTAAATAGTTTGTGTCTAGCGACCCATTTCACACTAGATATATATTGTGTTCAAGGCTCCATTTAAAAAGTTGATCCTAGCGCTACAACTATCATAGTTTATCATAGCCTTACATCCGCCATAGCTCTAAAACTGTTTTGTGGAACGGGCTCTTAACACATGCAACCCTGTTCCTGCAGGGCAGTGCAGTTGTCGGTGTGAAATAAGGTTGTCATACATGAAGCACATGCTGGACATTTCCGCCATTTCGAGTGTGATATGCCTCCCTGTCACTGAGAATGGTTTCACACCTAGTACGTGGAGTCAGGTCCTGGTTTTCAACATGAGTAAATGTGACGCCACTGCCACCACTGCTGTGCTGTCATAGTGAGTTGCCTGTATACATCTGACTGAACTTTACTTTTTCATTGAATTTGTTCTGACTGATGTTTGCTGTTACATGTGTTCTCACGATCATTTCTCGTGCAGGTGCTTCCAGGCTTGGCAGCAGTTGGCAGTTCACAAGCGGCAGTGTCGACACAGTCAAGATGACTTCCTCAAAACCTGCTTGCAGAAGGCCCTCAACAGATGGAGGTAGATAGGACTTTGTGCAAGTCTAGATTATGCTGTAACTTTCTTGTTATCCCTTGCCACGAAGTGGATGGGTGCTGTCCGTCTGTCCATCCTTCGGTCCGTCACATTTTCGTTTCCGGAGCAGAACTCAAAAAGAGAGATATCTTAACCAAACTTGGCACATAGATAGGCCTAGTGGTAAACTGGTGCCTTTTGATAGATTGGGATTTTTGAAAGATTTATTTTTCGAGTTTTCATGGCAACAACTTTGACTTGGCGGTAGTACACAACCGGGCATATCATATTGGTGGGGGATATGAGTATTTCATGCTTGTTAAATTGTCCTTCTTGATACTACAACTGAAATAGCTTACAATGAATGGTGTAACCTTTAAGAATAGATCAGTTTCAAGTGGCATGTCTAATATTCTAACTGTCCACGCCCCTGACAGACGTCAGTACAAGGTACACAAGATCGAGCGGCAGATCAAACACAGGATAAAGACTGGCGTGGCCCTGGTGTGTCTGGAGGAGTGGAACTTTGTCATCCGACGCAAACATGCAGCGCAGCAGTTCCACAATGCTTACCTACAGCGAGACATGTTTGCACACTGGAGAGATCGCACTAGTAGAAAACTACAGCAAGAGGCTGAGGCTCGAGAAGAGAAGGTGAGTTGTCTCCCCCTATGTACAGCACAATTGTTTTCTACATCACTAACTATAAAAACCTGAAGCTAATATTTTTTTTATCAGTTATGTATTGGAGAAAACACGCTTACGAGGTTTTGGTAGACAGAGCATGCCCTGGGGAGAGGGAAAAACCAAGGGGGCCAAGCCCCCACGGTTTTTCCCGACCCCCAGGGCATGCCCTGTCTACCAAAACGGAGGGAAAGTGTTTTTCCATACTTATAAACCGGAAAAAGAAACTTAAAACAACATTTATCAACATTTTTATGTTTCGAACATACTTTCCATGAACCTTAGGAAACGGGCGTAAAATATCTGTTGCTGGCGTAGGGATCTTGAAAAGGACATTCTAAAAACCAGTGTGGCTTATCAACACCTCTGTAGCCTCGTGGTACACTCACTGGGCTACAGATATGAAGGTTGCAAGTTCAAACTTCGGGAATATAAAGAAAACATTTGTCATTTAATTTTACATTTCATTACATGTTACAATCTGAACGGAAATTACATTAATAAAATACCCAGGACATTATATAAAATCCCTGGGATATTATAGCAAATATGACTTGAATATCCTATAAAATCCCAGGGACATTACAATGTCCCTGTTTATGAGATTTAACATGACTGGAAAGTAAAACCTCACAATAGGTTTTAATGCCTATAGAAAGAAGTCTCTTACTTAATAGCGATCCCAATGAATAGGTTTATAAGTTAAAGTAAGCCTAAAAGGAAAACCCTAGTACACCCATCTTCCCGTGGCAAGAGAGTTAACTGACTTTAAAAGTCCAGTTTCCATCCTTGCCGGACTAGGCTGGAATTCCTTGGCTCAATTGTAGCACCACCAGTGGCTATTACGAGTTATGTCCTTTCTATGCCTCTCCTATTGACCAATCAGATTCAACCTCTCGTATCACTTGCATTTGCTTCAAACAAAACAGTGGCGCCCAGTCAAGACGATCTGATCGATAATCAATATCTATATTGTGATAAAATGAGTCTTACATCACGAAGTGCATCAAATCACGTGAGCACCTTGATTAAAAACATGAAAAGATTTAGAAAATATCTGTTGACAACGAGTTAGTGGTGCACATGCTTTGAAAATGCTGCAGTCGACCGAAAATGCCAGCCAAAATGTAACTCGATAATACCAGCCTAGTTCGGCAAGGGTTGAAACTGGACTTTTTTAGTCAGTGAACTCACTTGCCTCGGGAAGATGTAGTACACCAAACTATAATATATACAATTGGGAACGTATTGGTTATCAAAGGATAAGTTAAGGACAAGCAAACGATGCTATCTGGTTCTTCAAACTGGGAGCTTTTTTCTCAAACGTCTGTACAGTAAGATGATTTACAGTGATGTTATTAGACGTGACATCGCCACTTCCGGTCACGTGGTAGCTATGGGAGGGTACATGCCACACAACTGGTTGGTACAACAATTTCTGCAGCCAGGACCTCTCGCAGCTCCGTCTTCCTTGTCAAGAACAGCAGTATAAGCATTAAGATAGTAATGCAGGATAAGTATCCAAATGTAAAAAAAATATTTAGATTTTACTAATATTAATTGTTCAATGGCTTCTGGAAAGACACTCTCCTTGAGTTTACCTCACTCAGATAAGATGAAGTTGAAAGATTTGTACAAAGAGAAGGTAAAAGTAGGATGTCAACATGGTGGCCGTGTTGCACGAGGGAACAGACATGTTTTGTAATGAGTATCTCAAGCTTGTATACACAGCTTGTTTCCGTTGCCAGGAGCGACGCGAGAACCTGAAGAGCTACTACTTCCACCTGTGGTGGTCAAACGTCCAGGAGCAGACAGTGGACACGGAGGACGCCATCATGATGCTGCATCAACGGCAGGCCCACAACCGCATCCGCCGCACTTTCCACTGGTGGAGGACGCACCAGCAACACACGCGCAGTAGCAGGTACGTCCTTGGCATCTGTGTCTAGTGTTCGCAGGCTTAGACTCAACTGCTAGTGACTTGTGAAACTCTTGACATCTAGTTAGGTTATGATATGATGGAGATTATTAGCCGAGTGTTTCTGTATGGTAAATATCATATATTAGAAAAGAATATTGTATCCTGCGAGCCCTTGGTGATAATAGTAATCTCTCTATTATATAATGTCATTTTTAAAATAATCAGTGTGTTAGACGTTGGGTAGGCTTCTGGTGTTTCTACACAGATCTTGTTCTAGCAGCAACAAGCTCCCACAAGTCGGGATAATATTCAACTTACCAAGAATATCGACCCGTGAAGATTCCGGGGTAGAATAGGTCTTCAGCAACCCATGCTTGCCGTAAAGGGTGACTATGCTTGTTGTAAAAGGCGAGTAACGGGATCGGGTGGTCAGGCTCGCTGACATGGTTGATGCATGTCATCGATCCCAATTGCGTGGATCGATGCTCATGATATTAATCACTGGATTGTCTGGTCCAGACTCGATTATTTACAGACTGCCGTCATATAGCTGGAATATTGCTGAGTGCGGCGTTAAACAACAAACCAACCAACCAACCAACCAACCAAGAGTATCAATATACTTCGCTGTTTGCTGATTCCAGTTGTTTGATGGTGTGTGTTGGGGTGGTGTGTGTGTGTAATGGTGTATATGTGTGTGCGTTGAGGTGGTGTTTGTGTGATGCTGTGTAATGATGTGTGTGTTTGTGTTGTGTGTGTAACGACGTATGTGTGTGTGTTGCTGTGTAATGGTGTGGTGTGTGTAATGGTGTGTTTGTGTCATATATGTAATGGTGTGTGTGCATGTGTGCGATGATGTGTAATGGTGTGTTTGTGTTTGTGCTGTGCATGTAATGGTGTGTGTGCATGTATGCGGGGATGTGTAATGGTGTGTTTGTGTTTGTGTTATGTGTGTAATGGTGTGTGTGTGTGTTGCAGGGCCTACTTCCAAATGCTGTGTATGTGATGGTGTGTGTGTGTGTGCGTGCGTGCGTGCGCACGATGATGTGTAATGGTTTGTGTTATGTGTGTAATGGTGTGTGTGTGTGTTGCAGGGCCTACTTCCAGATGCTGTGTAGTGGTGTGTGTGTGATGCTGTGTAATGGTGTGTAATGGTGTGTGTGTGTGTGTGTGCATGTGTACTATGATGTGTAACGGTGTGTTTGTTATGTGTGTAATGGTGTGTGTGTGTGTTGCAGGGCCTACTTCCAGATGCTGTGTAGTGGTGTGTGTGATGCTATGTAATGGTGTGTGTGTGTGTGTTATGTGTGTTATGTGTGTAATGATGTTTGTGTTATGTGTATAATGGTGTGTGTGTGTGTTAGTGATGCTGGGTAATGGTGTGTGTGTGTTGCATATGTAATGATGTGTGTGTGTGTGTGTTTGTGTTATGTGTGTAATGGTGTGTGTGTGTTGCGTATGTAATGATGTGTGTGTGTGTGTTGGTGTCATGTATGTTATGGTGTGTGTGTGTTTGTGTTATGCGTGTAATGGTGTGTGTGTGGTGCAGGGCCTACTTCCAGATGTTGTCTAGTGGTGTGTGTGTGATGCTATGTAATGGTGTGTGTGTGTGCATGTGTGCAATGATGTGTAATGGTGTGTGTGTGTTTGTGTTATGTGTTGTGCTACTTCCAGATGCTGTGTAGTGGTATGTGTGTGATGCTGTGTAATGGTGTATGTGTGTGTTTTGCAGGGCCTACTTCCAGATGCTGTGTAGTGGTGTGCGTGTGTTTTTGTGTGTGTAATGGTGTGTGTGTGTGTGTGTGCGTGCGTGTGTGTGTGTGTGTGTGTGTGAGATGCTATGTAATGGTGTGTGATGCTGGGTGTGATGTGTGTAGTGGTGTGTGTGTGCGTGTGCGTGTGTGTGTGTGTGTGAGATGCTATGTAATGGTGTGTGATGCTGGGTGTGATGTGTGTAGTGGTGTGTGTGATGCTGTATAGTGGTGTGTGTTGCAGGGCCTACTTCCAGATGCTGTGTGAGAGGACATTGAGAACGGTGCTGCTGGAGTGGCATCTTAGCACGGACAGCTCCCTCACCGATGCTGTGCACCAGTTCCGCGAGGACATCGGACTCCCACCTCTAGATCCAGATCTATTCCAGGACAACGAGACAGTACTTGGGAACTTGTCCGAGGGGTCCGTCGCCAGCAGTAGCGGATTCCATAGCAACAAAGGTAAAAGTCTATCAATAGGTTCTGACAAATGAACTGCGAGAGTTGGATAGAGGATTAACTATAGTCATAGAAATATTTGGGTGTACTTTAACTTCTTCTTTTGAGTAGAATTTATACCACGTGAAGAGAACTGTTCAGGGATGGAAAATAGCAATTGTCTCCTTGTCTAGGGCTTGGAAATTTCAGGAAAGACTAGTGTCATTTTCTTGTGGACTACCACTTTTACCATCAGGCAACTCTATAGCAGATCGTATTTGTGGACTAGTGAAAACACAAATAAATTCATGGTCCTGCTGTTGGAGTTCTGTGTTGTCATGTCTTATGTCTCTCGTTACAGAGCTGTCGTTATGGCCGGACTTTGATAACAATATTGACAGGGGATCAGAGAGCCCAAGGTCTACATCATCTGTTGGGCTTTCCTTCCGGAGGTAGTTACACTTGAAGCTAGCAAAAAGGTTGATTCACTAATAAGTCTGTGGGGATTCCAGGTTAGAATTGTCCCCAGCAACCTGTTCCCTATGGCATGAATCATTGCTCATAATATCAGTCACTGGTTTACCCATGAAGATCTGGGTTAGAATTGTCCCCAGTAACCTATTCCCAATGGCATGAATCAGCATCAATGCTTGTCGTAAGAGGCGATTAACGGCATCGGGTGGTCAGGCTCACTGACAGGGTTGATGCATATCATGGTATACCAATTGCATAGATTGATACTCATGACTTCAATCACTGGATTGTTTGGTCCAGACTTTTTACAGGTCGATGCCATATAGGTGGAATATTGGCGTGGCGTTAAACGACAAACAAACAAATAACATCAGTAACTGATGTGAGTGTGAGCTTGTTTCCTGCTTGATGACAGTGTCCTTCTGTTCTCATCAGGTTGATGTCCAGAGCTGGCAGCCAGGACAGAGTCTGGGGAGAGGATGACCGGTCCCTCTACGGGAGCAGCCAGGACAGGGCGTGGCAGTCGGGAGAGGACAACCGGTCTCTCTATGGTGGCAGCCTCACGGTGTCCGAGGAGAGATCTCTCAAGCGGGAGATGCTCAAGGTAGAGCAGTAAACTGAGGTCTGACACATGTCATTTCATGATTTGCGTTTTGGGATCTGGAAATTTGTTCATACCACCAATATACTGTGCTGTTAAGATATCCTAACTTTGTCCACTTGCTCTTTCTCAGGTCCTGGTGACAACGGCAGTAACTCGACTGCGAATGTGGCCGGTCAGTTCGGTCTTTGACCAGTGGCTGGAGTTCACAGCCAGACAGAGGGAGCTTAAGTCGCTGTCGTCGCGGTTACAGCATCTGCACGATCACACCACGCTGGCCGTCTTCCTCCATGACTGGAAGACCCAGCTTGCTGCCATGGTCAAAGCTAATACACATTTTGTAAGGTTTTCTCCACTACTCGTTTAACCTAAATCTTAAAATAAAATATTTACAGAAATTATGATAGTACAGTGGTCAATAACCAAGTTGAGTTGATGAGAGAGTGAGATGCATGACAGCCCTGCATCTGTATCATGTGATGGAATCATCTGGAGGGAGACATTTCACGGGTTCATAAATACGTATACATGTTGATGAAAAACAGCTATTGACTCCAGTAGAACTTTCTGGGCCCCAAACGGGTCACTCAGACATGTTGGTCCCCCATTCCTGTGGTCAAGGTTGGTTGGTTGGTTGGTTTGTTGTTTAACGCCGCACTCAGCAATATTCCAGCTAAATGACGGCGGTCTGTAAATAATCGAGTCTGGACCAGACAATCCAGTGATTGATATCAAGAGCATCGCTCCACGCGATTGGGATTGATGACATGCATCAACCAAGTCAGCGAGCCTGACCACCCAATCCCGTTAGTCGCCTTTTGCGACAAGCATAGTCGCCTCTTATGGCAAGCATGGGTTGCTGAAGACCTATTCTACCCCCTGTGGTCAAGGATACACAAGTTAATTATCAGAGGCAACACTAGTTGTGGAAAACTGATTATCTTTAAAGTCAAGTGATAGGGACGTGAGGACATTTTCTGTCAATACACCGAATCCTGGTTTTTCCATCACTTAAAAAAAGCATGAGGTATTGTGGACCGGTTCTAACCCAGATAATATTTAGTGTTTGAGATAATGTAGTAACAATTGAATCATGTTTATATAGAACAAAATCCTGATGAGGAAGTCTGTGAGAGCCCTGGCGGAGTACAGGCAGCAACGCGCTGACAAGAAGACGTTGTCCAACCTTGCCGGACGCTACAACCAACTCATTGTCTACAAGCAGTACTTCCCTCTGTGGCTAGCCAAGGTAAGTACTAAAATAGAACATTCACATACAAAGTTACACAGTTTTTGTTATCGACAAATAAGAGTGTCTGTTTTTGGTAAGCTTATGAACTGAGGCCATTTATGACTGATGGATGTCAAATGTACCCTACGCCATGTAAGAATCATGTGCAAGCCCTAACATTGCCTGCATTAATGCAATCTCATTAAAATCAGACCTTAGTTCTCGCTACCGCTAAACAAAGATCTGAAGACATCCCATTAGGGGTCACGTCAGAACAACCCTTCATCCGACCAATCAGTGCGTCGCTTACCAGATTATGAAAGTGACAGTCGGAATGTGATTTCTAATCATGCAATCTCGAAAACTTTAACATGGGGTATTCCTAACGATAATTACGGGTTTAATGACTGAATCCTTACAATCTAGACCATCTAATAGCCATTCCAGATTGTTTTTTTGTTCAGGTTTCAAATTTGTAATCGAGAATTTGTTAAAATATGTTTTGAAGCATAGTCACCAATTTGAAATTTGTGCCGTAAAGCACGAGAAAGCTGCCTTCTGATTGGTCATTCCATTGGTCGGTCAAAGTTCGCGCAAGGTCGGTCTGACGTGACCCGTAATGGGATGTCCTCAGATCTTTGTTTAGCGGTAGCGAGAACTGAGATCTGATTTTAATGAGATTGGGATTAATGCAGTTGGTAGACAGCCACATGGCTATGGTACATGCTGAACACATTGTCGAGTGAGACACATTGCTGGTCGTACAATGTAAGCTGAGCCCCCATTGCTTGATGACTTCCCTCTCAAGGGAACCAGGCCTTGACTTCATTCCTTGGTTAAAATTAGCAACAACACCACACAGCAACTGTATATATCTGTGATGATGGAACAGAGTGTTTATGATTTTTTAAAATTTCTACAAAATGGCATATTCTTGTTAAATTGTTTACTAATCCTGCATTATTCCTTAATGCATTTACTGCTTACCTTGCGAAGACAGCGCCTAGTGATTGTCCTTTGTGAAAAAAGATAATAAAAGGGTTAAAAATTCATGATTTATTTTTGTTTATTTGCTGGTTGTGAAAATAAATCTAATTTGAAATTTTGTAATGTTCATACTGCATTTTAGGTCTTACGACTAATATATAGCATGCTGTATTTTAAACAACGTTTACCATGTTTACAGACTATCATCAATTATTTAGACATGATAGAAGGATACAGACATGAATTTTTTGTGTGGATAAAATAACCCACTTAAAAAGCCTTGAAAAGCCTTGATAAGACCTTGAATTTTAGTGTTCCATATCTGAGTGAACCTTCATCTAATATCTTTGACTTGCTCTTCCACTGTTTACAGTACATGTCTGTCCAGTAGACAGCAGGTCAATTTTGACCCATCTTCCTGAGGCAAGAGAGTTAACTGACTATAACATTCCAGTTTCCACCCTTGCCGAACTAGGCTGGTATAATGGAGTTACATTTTGGCTGGACTAACGAGTCTATGCATAGTCCAATCTGAATCGCGCAACGAAAATCGAAATCCGGTTCGTAAACGATGGCAGGATTTGCAAAGCATGTGCAACGCCAACTCGTTGTCAGCAGATATTTTCCAAATCTCTTCATGTACTTAATCAAGGTGCTCACGTGATTTGATGCATTTCGCGATGTAAGACCCGTTTTATCACAATATAGATATCGATTATCGATCAGATCGTCCTCACTGGGCGCCGCCATTTTGTTTGAAGCAAATGCAAGTGATACGACAGTTGGAATCTGATTGATCAATAGGAGAGGCTTAGAAGATACATAACATGGTAATAGCCACTGGTGGTGCTGCAATCGAAGCCAGTAATTCCAGCCTAATTCAGCAGATTGGAAACTGGACTTTTAAAGTGGGTTAACTCTCTTGCCCCGAGATGATGATTTTGACCAGATTGTAGTCAGATTGTAAATTGAATGTTCAAGGGAATACAATAAGTTCCTCTGATACTAGCTATGCACCAGATTTGTTTGTCTGTGGTTATATGATACTGCGTGGTGTCAAGCTGGGCAGTGGATAGGGCACTCTGGAATGTCTGTTGATGCAAGGCAGTTTCGTCTCTTATAACACCGAGACCATATACAAATACTACAAATACTGTCCTGGCCAAACACATTTGAGTGCACTCAACCAAACTTGTCTCGTAATACCTGGTCTCTGGTAATACCGTATTCGACATAATAAGCGCCCAGGGCGCTCTCAAAATTAGAAATAGGGGGCTCTTATTAGAATATTATTTTGGTGAAAAACAACAGAGTTGAAGGATCGTAAATTTCGTGTTTTTTGCTGACAGCCTGAAATGTTTATATATGACAGATATATTTTTCCAGAATTTAATTTCCCATGATTAAGGATGCATATAACATGCATATTATACGCGAATACATAAGTCTTGTGTACATTGATCAATTGGAAGGGGTGCTAATTGGGATTGTTCACTAGCCAATATATTAGCAATTATCGCCGTGGGCGCTTATTACGTCGAATAAGGTACATCAGTTTTTATTAGGTGAATTTACTGTACAAGGTTTGATGAGACTCTGGCTACTTATCCCACAGACTCAGGATCGACAGCACCAGCACAACATCCTCCACCTGTGGGCCAACACCACGCCTGAAGAGCAGCAGTTGCTTCCCTTGGAACGGAGTCTGACACAACAGTTCTCTCGACGGACGCTGCGACTCTGCTATGCCATCTGGTCACTCAAGTTCCAGTTCGCATCCAAAATAAAACATGCCTACCATACAGGACTGCTGAGAAGGTGGGTGCAGTGGGATCGGGGGATGCACTGAAATGGGAGCAAGGTGTACAAGAGCCTAAGGGGCACATGTAGCATACACTGAGTTACTTAGAAGGCTCTGTATGGCTTCATCCCAGTGGGGATTCCGGCTGGGAACTGGCCTCATGGATCCTATGCTTGTCTTAGAACTGACTGGATCAGGTGGCCCAGCTTGGTGACTGCATTGATTGTGTGTTGTTGTACAATGGTGGCTGGGGAGGTTGCTCCTGATTCAACCCCTTTTTTCAGAACCAGACTCCATTTCAGTTTTTGTCCACTGGTCCTTATAATAACATATAGCAAAGCCCTTAAAATGGGCCAATTTCTACTAGTCCTTAGGATACCTTTACTATTGGGCAGTTTGGTAAGGGCTACAGGACAAGTGCCTATTTCTAAAGCTGTTTTTACAGGCAGGCATTAAACATGAAACATTGCAGGAGAAATAAAGCTTCTGAGGTGCACCTTGAAGGGCACAGAGTGTCATGAGGGATAGTGATGTAAAGAAGAAGAAATAGGTTTCATGGTTGCATGTAGGAGGTGCATTTAGTTGGAATCTCTTGGGCTATTTTCTTGCCACCCACTGATTAAGGTGTTGAGGTGTTGATATTCTGTTTGTGTGTTCAGAGTGCTGGCTGGCTGGCATGAGTGGAGCAAGCAGCGCCAGGAGAGGAGGGACAAGTGTGAGACGTTCAGACAGACTCGGGTCACAGCACTGGTCAGTTGAACACAATATAAACACTATACATGTAAGATCAGAGTTACGTTCAGACAGACTCGGGTCACAGCACTGGTCAGTTGAACACAATATAAACAATATACATGTAAGATCAGAGTTACGTTCAGACAGACTCGGGTCACAGCACTGGTCAGTTGAACACAATATAAACAATATACATGTAAGATCAGAGTTACGTTCAGACAGACTCGGGTCACAGCACTGGTCAGTTGAACACAATATAAACAATATACATGTCAGATCAGAGTTACATTCAGATGTTTGGCTTTTCTTGTTCATCTCACCGAATCACCTGACAAAGTGTTTATCGTATGTGATCCCTGACCCGTGAAGATTCCGGGGTAGAATAGCTCTTCAGCAACCCATACTTGCCGTAAAAGGCGACTATGCTTGTCGTAAAAGGTGACTAACGGGATCGGGTGGTCAGGCTCGCTGACTTGGTTGACACATGTCATCGATCCCAATTGCGTGGATCGATGCTCATGATATTAATCACTGGATTATCTGGTCCAGACTTGATTATTTACAGACCGGCGTCATATAGCTGGAATATTGCTGAGTGCGGCGTTAAACAACCAACCAACCCATGTGATCTGTGCACTCGTTTGTGTTGTGGAGACAGGTGGGGTGCCTTCTACTGCTAATTATGATGGTGTTTGGTATATGTTATATTTTCTGCGTTGGAACAGGTATTCAAAATGTGGCAAACACGTCTCGAGCAGAAGAGAGAGAGTAACCGCCGTTACACCGAGTCCTGGCAGAGGTATCTCCAGTTGGTCCTTGTCACATGGAAACAGTGGGCATCAGGTGGGGAAACCAGTCTTCACGAGCTCAACCATTGAATATGTCGACACTGTTCATTTCAAAGTGTTGAATGTATGGGTGGGTGTGACTAGAGTGGAGTGGAGTGACTGTGTGTGGCTTTGTGTAACTGTGTGGGCTTGTTTGACTCTATGTGGGTGTGTATGACTGTGGGGCTTTGACTGTGTGTGCGTGTGGGAGACTTTGTGTGACTATGTGGGTTTGTGTGACTGTGAGTGAGTTTGTTTGGATCTGTATGACTGGGTTAGTGTGACTGAGTGAATGTGTGGGTTTGTGTGAATGTGTGGGTTTGTATGACTTGGTTTGTGTGACTGGGTTTGTGTGACTGTGTGGCTTTGTTTGACTGGGTTTGTGTGACTGTGTGGCTTTGTATGACTGAGTGACTGTGAGTGAGTTTGTTTGCCTGTACTTGACTGTGGCTTTGTATGGCTGTGTGTGCGTTTGTTTGACTGTGTTTGTTTGACTGTGTGGCTTTGTGTGACTGTGTGGGCTTGTTTGACTGTGGGTGTGTATGACTGTGATTAAGTGAGTTGATTTGGGTCTGTGTGACTGAGTGTGATTGTGTGGGCTTGTGTGATTGGGGGTTTGTGTGACTGTAGCTTTGTGTGACTGTGTGTGGGCTTGTTTGACTGTGTATGGCTTTGTTTGACTGCAGGTGTGTATGACTGTGTGACTGAGTGAGTTTGTTTGGGACTGTGTGACTGTGGGTTTGTTTCACTGGGTTTGTTTGACTGGGTTTGTGTGACTGAGTGATTTTGTGTGATTGTGTGTGTTTGTGTGACTGTGTGGGCTTGTTTGACTGCAGGTGTGTATGACTGAGTGAGTTTGTTTGGGTCTGTGTGACTGTGGGTTTGTTTGACTGGGTTTGTGTGACTGTGGGTTTGTGTGACTGAGTGAGTTTGGGGGTTTGTGTGATTGGGGGTTTGTGTGACTGGGTTTGTGTCCCTTTGTGTGACTGTGAGTAAGTTTGTTTAGGTCTGTGTGTCTGTGTGAGCAGGAAACAATCCGTGCAGTGTTACTGAAACAAGTCACTGTACACTTATGTTTACCCTGCTTGTGTTAAGATGACCTGAGACAATATCATGCTACTGTTGCAGTGACCCACCAGCGCCGTGACACCGCCATGAGCTTGATGAAATGGACCAACCAACGCCTACTCAGACAGAAGCTTGTGTATTGGCGGAGTCTCACTGTGAGGGCAGAGGTCACCAGACACAGCAGGAACACACATCTCACAGCACGGTGAGTCGACAACACACACATTCCCACAGTGAAACGATACAGTGAAGCCTTGAAGCAAATAACAGACCATGTGTATCTACAAGTATATATACCACTCAAACGAAGTTAAACAAAACGTGATTCTTTCATATGGCATGTCAGATTTACTATAGTAATATGAAAGAATTGGGTGTTCCTTAATTTCTTTTGAGTAGTATATATCACTGATGCAGGTCATTCATGATCATCATATGGTGATACGCTGCTTTTAGCAATATTCCAGCAATATCACGGCGGGGGACACCAGAAATGGGCTTCACACATTGTACCCATGTCGGGAATCGAGCCCGGGTCTTCGGCATGACGAGCTAACGCTTTAACCACTAGGCTACCCGACCGCCCCTCATCATATGGTGCTGTGTAGTGTAACAGAATATGCCTGTACAGAATTCTATGTGGGGAATGTCGGTGTCACAGAGTCAGTGTGATCAGTCATTGTTTGTTCGTGTTCCTTCTTGCAGGGTGTTCTGTGCGTGGCAGGAGTTCATCGTACACAGGAAGAGGACTCGCCAACTCATCCTCCACTTCCAAGTACACTGCTACACCAGCCTGGTAAGATCAACCTCCTTGTCTCTAACAATGGACCTGTAACTTGCTATGGCATACAATCTACTATTTCCTCCTGGGAGATAACCCTAGGTATTCCAGGTTCCAAACCCACAGTCACACAAACCCACACACAGTCACACAAACCCACACACAGTCACACAAACCCACACACAGTCACACACAGTCACACAAACCCGCACACAACCACGCATGCACACACATGCACACTATTACACAGCATCTCTCTCTCTCTCTCTCTCTCTCTCTCTCTCTCTCTCTCTCTCTCTCTCTCTCTCTCTCTCTCTCGCACACACACACACCATTACACAGCATATCACAATACACACAACGTGTTATGTGCTTTAGTGTGTTGGGTACCCAGTGAATCATTATGCCATCAAACACATGTTTTCTTATCCCAGACTCACTTACATGTAGGTCGGTGTCATATGAGAAACAATAGCTGGAATAATGCTGAGTGGTAACAAGCATCATTGATTCACTCACGACTCCACTATGTCGGAACCGAGGAAGAACTACACACACGGTTGTTCTGTTGTCAGGTGAAGCGACTGTTTGGGCGGTGGCGGCGCCAGTACATGAGTCGACTGCGGGAGAAGGCGGAGCACCAGGAGCTGGTGCAGCTGAAGGCCCTTCACCTGGGGCGTGTGTGGAGGAAGAAGGCACGGGCTGGGCGGGGCCGGAGGCTGTACGCTCACCTCCAGGACAACAAGGTCAATACTCAGCCTCTCTATTAATATTTGGCACAGTCCCTAACCTTGCTGGTCGAAATAAGACACTTAGCAAACTGTTTTCTTGAAGGAATTTGTTGATTGATTGAGCATGGTAAATTAGAGACACGCTAAAAAATTGGATTTGTTTTATTACAGGATGAGTGAGTCAGTTGGACACTTTACTTCCTGTATTGACCTTTTAAGAAGTGAAATCATTTTAATTATAATTTTAGTTGTGTTCCACATTTTGGGTTGGTTGGTCTGAAAGCCAAGGGACTAAAGACAATCTCATCTGGTCCTAGTGGCGTGTGAAAATGATGGGCTAGGATTGATGGATACCTCTGAATGAAAGTCAAGGCTTCCTTTTAACACTGATGTTACAGATTCAGGGATTCAGATTCAGGGAGTTGCTAGATTCAAATAGCATAGGAGAAATCTCAAGGACTCCAGATACCCACCGTGATTTAAGACGCTGGGTACTATGTTGTGAAGTGTATAGTGTATGAGCCCACCAACAATTGCATGTAGTTTGTCATGGGCCTGCTGTAGCACAAGCATATCAGCCCACCATGCACTATATGTCACAAACACGTGAAAGTCTGGGTTAGAATAGGTCTCAGCAACCCATGCTTGCCGTAAAAGTCAACTATCTTATCGTAAGAGGCAACTAACAGGATCGGGTGGTCAGGCTCACTGACTTGGTTGATGCATGTCATCGTATCCCAATTGCGTAGATCTATGCTCATGATATCAATCACTGGATTGTCTGGTCCGGACCCTATTAATTACAGATCGTCGTCATATAGCTGGAATATTGCTGAGTGGCGTTAAACAACAACAAACAAACAAACAAACTATATGTAACACGTGGCATAAAATAGAAAGGCATTGTTCATGCTATCAATCTCACATGAAGACAAGATCTCCTTGTTTACAATTGTTGACCAACGCCCCAAAGATTCTCATCATGGTAATGATGGTGTCCCCGATATAGTGCTGGTTTATGGTGTCCCCGACATAGGGTGTTTTTACGCTGTTCTATATCAGCACTATCTCACTTGCTCATTTCTATTCCAGGTAAAGCAGTATTTTTCTGCTTGGAAGATTGCCTATCAGATGTGTCTAGAACGGGAGGAGGTGTTAGAGCGCTATCTAGTGGCCAGAGCACAGCAGCGACAGCGTGAGGTGTTTGACACATGGCGGACGCAGAGACTAGCTGACCAGGCCGGCCGGGTATACAACATGAAGCTGAAGGTGGCCGTGGTGCAGGAATGGCGAACCTGGACTAGAGGTGAGATCCAGTAGCTGCATGCCCATCCTTGACTGTCTCCCCATTGGAATAAAAGACACCCTATGTACCACGTGCCCATCCTTGACTGTCTCCCTATTGGAGTAACAGACACCCTATGTACCAAGTGCCCATCCTTGACTGTCTACCTATTGGAATAACAGAGACACTATGTACGGCGTGCCCATCCTTGACTGTCTTGCTATTGGAATAACAGACACACTATGTACCGCGTGCCCATCCTTGACTGTCTTCCTATTGGAATAACAGACACACTATGTACCGCGTGCCCATCCTTGACTGTCCCTCCATTGGAATAACAGACACCCTATGTACCATGTGCCCATCCTTGACTGTCTCCCCATTGGAATAACAGACACCCTATGTACCATGTGCCCATCCTTGACTGTCTCCCCATTGGAATAACAGACACCCTATGTACCATGTGCCCATCCTTGACTGTCTCCCCATTGGAATAACAGACACCCTATGTACCATGTACCCATCCTTGACTGTCTCCCCATTGGAATAACAGACACCCTATGTACCATGTGCCCATCCTTGACTGTCTCCCCATTCGAATAACAGACACCCTATGTACCATGTGCCCATCCTTGACTGTCTCCCCATTGGAAAAACAGACACACTATGTACCACGTGCCAATCCTGCTTGGTGATTTGGTTGATGGCATGGCAATGTATTTAATGGCATAGCTTGTTGCTCATGACATCAATCACTGGATTGTCTGGTCCAGACTTGATTTTCTACAGGCCGCTGTCATGTGAAACAACATACATGTACCAATCCTTAATTGTCTCCGGTTGTAATCACAGGAAACACAACGTTCCCATCTTTGATTGTGTCCGGTTCCAATCACAGGGAACACAATGCTCCCGTCTTTGATTGTCTCCAGTTGTTGGTTGGTTGGTTGGTTTATTGTTTAACACCGCACTCAGCAATATTCCAGCTACATGACGGCGGTCTGTAAATAATCGAGTCTGGACCAGATAATCCAGTAATTAATATCATGAGCATCGATCCACGTAATTGGAATCGATGACATGCATCAACCAAGTCAGCGAGCCTGACCACCCGGTCCCATTAGTCGCCTTTAACGGCAAGCATGGGTTGCTGAAGACCTATTCCACCCCAGATCTTCACGGGTCTCTCCAGTTGTACTCACAGAGAACACAATGTTCCCGTCTTTGATTGTCTCCAATTGTCATCACAGGGAACAAAATGTTCCCATCTTTAATTGTCACCAGTCGTCATCACGGAAAAAAATGTTCCCATCTTTGATTGTCTCTGGTTATAATCACAGGGAACAAAATGTTCCCATTTTTGATTGTCTCCGGTTGTCATCACAGGGAACACAATGTTCCCATCTTTGATTGTTTCCGTTGTAATCACAGGGAACAAAATGTTCCCATCTTTGATTGTTTCCGTTGTAATCACAGGGAACAAAATGTTGATATCTTTGATTGTCTCTGGTTGAAATCACAGGGAACACTATGTTCCCATCTTTGATTGTTTCCGATTGTAATGACAGGGAACACAATCTTCCCATACTCATCCTTCACTGTTTCCCCTTGTCCAATAGAGGGAGCCATGCCACTGTCAGATGCTGTTTTAATTATATCACGACATGATATCTATGTCCATCTAGGTGCTCGAGAACGCCGGATACGTGGTCTGGCACTACAGAAGGCATTGCAGGAGCGTGTGCTGACGGTGTACTTCAAGTACTGGACAGAGCTGACCCGTGTCCGGCAGATGGTGCAGAGTCACAGCCACCTCAAACTACAGCTCAGGTGAGTGTCTGTGCGTGGGTGTGTCTGGGTTTGTCTGGGTTTGTCTGTGTCTGTGTGCTGACAGTGTACTACAGGACAGGGATTACATGTGTCCGTCAGATGTACAATGTCAAAGCCACCTCAAACTACAGCTCAGGTGTGCACATGCGTGTGTGTGCCTCTGTGTGTGTCTTATAGATAGATGTGGGATCGTATCAGTTATTATTACACACAATCACCGGCTCTTATGGGTAATATGGCCCAATACATTTACTCTCTTACTTAGATCAAGTAGGGCCACTAGTGGTCCAAGGTACTGTAGAATGCTCTACTGAGTTATGCCCCTTAGCCATGAAGGATAACTGGTATTGGGTTTGAATCCCAGAATCACCCTGATTATTTGGTTTGATAGCACCATGTCCATGCTCATTGGGTATTCATCTTTATGGGATTGATAATCATCCATATGTGACGATACTCTCTGACAACTTCAAGCACCTCAACTAGTAGGGAACTACCACTGATTCCATTCAGGTTCTGACAATATCTTTGTTCTCCAGAATTGTCCAGGCATGGCACTTGTACACCCAGCGACAGCGCACCCTGGTCCACCTGCACAGCTTCCTCACCAACAAAGTGAACCATCGTATCGCCCAGTCGGCCTTCCTGACGCTGCGATGTCGCCTGGATTACTGCCAGGGCCTGACTGACATGGCAGCCAGCCTCCAGGACGACCGGGACCAGAGACTGATGCGCGACGCTCTCCGGACCTGGCAGACCAGACTGAACAACAAGATGGCCGCCAGGTGTTACGGCAAGTTGCTTGTTGTCCGCACGGTGCGGAAGTGGCGGAGGTTCGTACAACAGCGGAAGGAGGAGCGGAGGATGGAGAGGGAGAAGATGGAGAAGGCTGCAAGGCACTACAACAAGAAGCTGTGGTGAGCGAAATACAACATGTCTGGCATTCTCCCGCCGCAAACAATTCCAGGAACAGATACTGTAAATCAGGAAATAATGCAACGCCTGGTTAATGCTTAGTCTCCCCTAGCCTCAAATGTATCATGAAATTAAAGCAAGTTGCACTAACTGGGATATATATAAAACTGATCAAACCACAACATGACTGTTGACTTCCATGACACAGATGGGCGGTGGTTTAAGCGTTCGTTCGTTCATTATGCCAAAGACCCGGGTTCGATTCCCCACATGGGTAAAGCCCATTTCTGATGTCCCCCACCATGATAATGCTGGAATATTGCTAAAAGCAGTAAAAACAATGCTCCCTCAATCACTCACTACAACATTGGCAATTGTCATAAACTTGTCCAGACAAACTGAACATACTTGAAATGTTACTTGGTAAGAAACACAAAATCTACTAAGGATGACAATATGTGAATTGTTATTGTGATTGCAGCCGACTGGCTCTGAGAGGGCTGCAGAACGAGCTGCATGTTAAGCACCAGCAACTTCGGCGACAGGAGAGATTGGCTGCCAAGTATGCCAGGCAGTGGAAGAGACAGACAGACCTCGCATACACCGCCAGATGTGTGGTGAGTAGTTGCCATGGTTATATTGACAGACGGACCTCGCGTACACCGCCAGATGTTTGGTGAGTGGTTGCCATGGTTATATTGACAGACGTATCTCGCGTACACCGCCAGATGTGTGGTGAGAAATTGCCATGGTTATATAGACAGACCGACCTTGCATACACCGCCAGATGTGTGGTGAGTGATTGCCATGGTTATATAGACAGACGGACCTCGCCTACACCGCCACATGTGTGGTGAGTGGTTGCCATGGTTATATAGACAGACGGACCTTGCGTACACTGCCAAACATACCTGGCTAGATTGTTCTTTGCTTGGTTAAGGTAGTCTATCAAAGCGGGAGATTTTGTTATTGGTGATGTTACCATGGTTACCCTGGAAGTAGGATATGCTCATCAGTCCTCATCAGTGTGTGTAATCTATGAATGAATTTCTGGTAAAGAACAGTGCAAGTTTGTGCATCATTGTTTGTTTGTTGTTTAACACCGCACTCGGCAATATTCCAGCCATATGATGGCGGTCTGTATATAAATAATCGAGGCTGAACAAGTCAATCCAGTGATTGACATCATGAGCATCGATCCATCAATTGTGATACGATGACATGTCACCTGACCACCCGATCCCGTTAGTCGCTTCTTACGATAAGCATAGTCGCCTTTTTTTTAAACACAAGCCTGGGTTGCTGTTGACCAATTCTACCTCAGATCTTTACGGGTCTTGTGCTTGATTGTACAGTGATGTGCACACAAAAGTGCTTCCTGTACATCATGGTATTTTTGCTGATTTCACCACAAATGTTTGTGTGTTCTAGGAGAGGGAGCGTTTATACAGTCAGATGTGGAGCGTTTGGCGTGTAGCCTTCAGTCGCAGGAGGGCCGCTAACCACATCGGAACATACGACAGGCGCCACCTCATGTCTCGGGTAAAATAACCTTTGAATTTCTCTTGTTTGCTTGTTTGTTCGTTTGTTGTTTAATGCCGCACTCTGCAATATTCCAGCTCTATGACGCGGCCTGTAAATAATCAAGTCTGGACCAGACAATCCAGGGCTTGACATCATGAGCATCAATCCACGCAATTGGGATACAATGACATGCCTCAACCAAGTCTGACCACCCCATCCCATTAGTCGCCTCTTACGACAAGCCTTTGAAGACTGATAATTTATAGTAAATTAGTAAAATATGTGATCTTCAGATGTTTCATGTCTTGGCATTAGGAATGGTAGATGATAACATGCAATAATATTTGTAAGGCTTTCTACATGTTATTAGACTTACTACATGTTTCTGCAATCAGCACTTGTAACACATTTGTACCCAAATGATGATTGAAGTCTTGGTATATATTGAGTTTCCATGCTAATCTGTCCAGGATGTGATAATACAAGTCACATTGTAGCGCAGAACTAACAGTTGACATGAATGACTTATTCTGAAACTGACACACAGGTTTTCTCGGCATGGAGAGGACTCACGGTGAAGAAGCCATCTACACAAAGGTCGTCATCCATTCCGGTGGCAACATCTACTCTGCTCCACATGGCGCCAGACAATACTGGTCACGTGACACGGTCTTCTCTGATCCCAAGTCTTCAGACCAGACAGATCTACACAAACAGGAAGTGAGAGGCCACAGACCTCGAGGTCATCCCAGGTCGATTTCAGCCTCACCAGGTTGTATTGTCTGTGGCCAGTGACAGGAGGGATATCTTCCAAATCAATGATATCATCCTCAACTACTGTGTTAAAGACTTAGCATCACCTTCAGGATAATACAGGATAGGAGCAGGTGATGGTGATGTGATAGAGGACCAGTAGTAACATAGCGTATTAGTGTGGTACTAATATCTTGTCATACTGTTATGACCAAATAAGTCCAGCCCTGGAGAAGCTGGCAGTCATTTGAGCTGGGTGGCTATGTTCCAACACTTGTACAACATCATTCAAGTAAATCATTGCTTCAAATAGTCTGTTTGCATCTTCCCGAGGCAAGGGAGTTAACTGACTGGGAAAGTCCAGTTTCCACCCTTGCTGAACTAGGCCAGAATTTCTGAGTATGATCGTGTCACCACCAGTGGCTGTTATGAGCTATAATTAAAATCTATGTTGTAATAAAACAGGTCTTACTTTGCGAGGTGCATCAAATCACATGAGCACCTGTATTGCAAACATGAAAAGATTTGGAAAATATCATTGACACTAAGTGTACACAGTACATATGCTTTGCAAATCCTGTATTCGACTGAAATCTGCAGGGATGTCGAACCGGATGTCGATTTCGTTACACGATTTTGATTGGATTATGCTCTTGCATAGAGTTGTTAGTTCTGCTAAAATAGGACTCCATAATTACAGACTAGTTCGGCAAGGGTGGAAGATGGTCTGTTCGTGGAGTGATGGGAAATTTATAGCCGAGCTAAATACAGCTCACTATGGTGCCAATGTAAACTGTCTAAGATGTTGAAGCATTTCTGTGATAAGGGTGCTATGATATGTCAGACTTATTTATTACGTTTTGTACTGTGTTTACATCAAGTACCTGTAGTAGAATGTGTTCTGTGTGTTATCTATTCTGTTCTTCTATTTTATTTCATATCAGCTTATGATTCTAGGGTAAGATGGGAATGTAAAGATGGTGATATTTTTAGTATATTGTTATCAAAATGAAATTAGTCACAAGGAATTATCAAACAAATATACCACTGTAATGTACATTGTAATTTATTATTCCCGCCACGAAATGGAAGGAGGATATATGAATGGGTGTTGTCCATCCGTCCATCAGTCCGTCATGTTTCGTTTCCAGAGCAGAACTCAAAAAACATGAGAGATATCTTAACCAAATTTGGCACATAGATAGGTCTGGTGGTGAACTGGTTTCTTTTTCGAGGTTTCATGGCAACAACTTTGACTTTAACCTGAAAATAGCGGTTGTGCTTCTTTCCAGATGAGATCTTGAAAAATGGACAATATCTCTTCACCAAATTTGACACATAGACTGGTCTAGTGATAAACTTGTGCCTTTTAATAGTTTGGGATTTAATTTTTTTAAGTTTTTTTTAAGTTTCCATGGCAACCGGACATGTCATATTAACAGGGATATTTTAACATTGTATTTGAAGATTGTATTCAATACAATTATATAAAACTAAACATTAAAACCTGATCCTGTTTATTGGTTCTGTTATCTGTGAAATACACAAAGCCATATATTTGTTTATAAAATTAGTTATATATATTAAAATGAATTGGGATTTTTTAAATTCTGATTTGGTAGTAATGTTTAATGATGTTAGCTGCAGAAATGGGGCCTAAATTTCTAGGTAAATCCCTGGCGAGAACTAGATATTTATAAATCAAAACCACTAGTGCCATCCAGATCATTATGTGTGATATGTTTGTTTCTGTAGATATAAAGGAGTTTATAGCAAGTCATGACAGGTTTGTTAATAGCTGTTGTATATTGTACAATTGAACTGTGATTTGGAAGCAAACAACAGGCAAGAAGGTGACAGGTGGCATTGGTTCTAGGTATCACAACAGTATCTTCAGTGGAGTAGTTATGAGATCCAACAAAGGGAGGCACCTGTATGCCTACTCAAGCATGTATGACATGCAGAGTTGTTCAACCATGTCCATACATCAGGGGGGCGGTCGGGTAGCCTAGTGGTTAGAGCGTTTGATCATCACGCCGAAGACCCGGGTTCGATTCCCGACATGGGTACAATGTGTGAAGCCCATTTCTGGTGTCCCTCGACGTGATATTGCTGGAATATTGCTAAAAACGGCGTAAAACCATACTCACTCACTCACTCACTCACTCACTCACTCCATACATCAGGCAGGTCTCTGTGTGTTTGAGAAGAGGATGGCACTGATATAACCAATCAGTGTTGAAGTGTGATGGGAATGTACTGTACACAGTCATCTTGTTTATCCCGTCTTCACTTAGGAGATAAACCTACTGTGTTTTGAAATTTGATGTAGTCCCACTGTAGAATTGATACCTCTTTATTTTCATTTTGAACCGACCGGGCTGGTATTTGAGACCCAGCGTGTATTAGAGGAAATATAGATACGTTTTACAGTTCATATGGGGTGATCGATCGGCAGCCATTTTCTATGAATCGATATGTATGAAAAGACTTAATATATTTGAAAGGGGTTTCCGTAGCAAAAAGGAAACCTCTTTTTAACCAATCAGAATCAAGCATTCATCAATGTCATGGTAGAATACAATATAGCAGCCAATATATGCCATTTGTTCACCTCAGTCATCCCTGATGTCACATGGGGTTCTGCCTTGTAGTGCGAGATAATTTAGGGTGTGCGCTCAAATCTAATTCCATCATATGGTAGAATTTTGAAAACCTGTTATTTTAGAAATAAATGACGAGTTGGAGCTTTTAATCATACAATAAACGCTTCAGGGAGAATAAACTATGAGCGGCACAGCCCCGAGTGGTTTATTCCCACTGCAGTGTTTTATTGTATGATAAACAATGACCACGAGTCGATTATTTCTTGTACAAGATATCAACATTATGTACAGCCTCTTTAAGGATGTTGATAAAATGTACAAGCTTTAAAAATAGTTACTTACTTTTAATAATGATGACTCCCTGAATAGAATTCTCACAATCATCACGTCGATTATCTGTATATGTTCTGCTAATATCGATTATCATCTCTCCCACTTTTGGAAGCAATTGTTCGGCTATTGCGTTTATCTGCGTACCCCAGCTAAATCTGTGGGGAACAACTCACTACACACTTCCCTATCTTAAATAACGTCGTCCAATATATGACGTCATCAAGTTGCGAGCGCATATTTGAGTCTCCAGAAATGACGTCATGATAGAATATGTTTTATCATGAAAAAAACTGTTTCGTTCTTCAATGCTCTGTGTGATTTATCGCGTAGCTATCTTGTATTTGGGAATAACTGTGATATCATAACGCTGGTCACCTAAGTATCAGATTGTAAAACTGTTCAGTACACTTACAACAGTGATAGTGTAGGTGTGTTCTCTGCTCTGTGTGGGGACGGTCGGGTAGCCTAGTGGTTAAAGCGTTCGCTCGTCACGCCGAAGACCCAGGTTCGATTCCCCACATGGGTACAATGTGTGAAGCCCATTTCTGGTGTCCCCTGCCGTGATATTGCTGGAATATTGCTTAAAGCGGCGTAAAACCATACTCACTCACTCACTCACCCTGCTCCGTGTGATTGAGATATAGCAACACCTGCAGCCACTTTCTGAACCCAACTTGCTCAAAGTGCACTGCAATGTTAAAGTTCACTGTTAGACAATGGGAGTTACAGAACTAAGATCACTTTGTGCATGTGGACCCTGGTCATCGCTGTAAAGATTTTCACATTAACAGGTAAAGCAACTAAATGTTCATAAGACACGAACTTCATCAACATGTGCAGTATATTCATGGTGGCTATCTGCTTCTGAGTAATTCCTATGTTTTATCTCACTATTGCAGCCATTTATGTTCCATGTCTGAAATATGGCATCTCTGTGTTCAACAGTGTTTGTTGTGTACATGTTATGTGTATTTTCAACAAGATCCTCGGCCCCGTTCCACAAGCAATCTTAGCGCTAAGATGATCGAAACTCCCATACTTTAACACAGGCTTACGACAGTCACTAAGATCGCTTTGAGGAACGATGCCCAGGTCCTCAAACAACATGAAATAAGTGTTACCAATTTTAATCATGATCATTTTCTGTCCTTTTTGACATTCATGAGTTAGATAAGTAAGATTTGTATTAACTAATATTTAGTTTTATTTACTGATAGTTTCTATGGAAGATACTCTCTCGACATGTGCAGCAATACTGTGTTCTGCTTCACTGCATACTCTAAGTCATTGTTGTTCTTTCCCTCTGTGATAGCGTCCTTTGTGCCAAACATTAGCTGTCTCTCACTTGTTTTTTACTGACATGCGTGTTTAATAAATAAGATACTCATAGGGCGTGTTCTGTCTTCATGTCATCCTGGGGGGCATGGCTGGCCCAGTCGTCTAAGGCGCCACGATTCGCTGTGCAGAGTTGCGTCCCTTGGGCACGCCAGAAACCTATGATTGTGGGTTCGAATCCCGGTTCGCCCCGATTATGTTTCTAGGTTTGTCAGCACCATACCCGTGCTCGTGGGTTTCACCGAAGTGGTAAACGTCTTAGACCTGCATCACTTCGGGCTTTCCTCCCACATTAAGCTGACATGCCACGATATAACTGGAATACTGCTAAAAGCGGCGTTAAACCCAACTCACTCATGTCATCCTGGAAATAGTATTTCCTTTTCAACTGGAAAAGTTTTATGATTTCTAAACTCTTGGATGTGGTGCTAATTTCAAATCTAGATTCCATTGTAATCAGTGCCTTGTGTTATTCGTTACAAGGATGCTGTTATGTATTCACTGATTGTTGGCTGTGAATGCATTGCGTCATTTTTGTGATCTGAAGAAGGGAATGCTTGAGTGATCTATTCTCACAAACCATTGGCAAGCCAATAGCCTTGTTTACGGTTTGATATCCTTTTTGCCTAATAAGGAGGCTGTCGGGTAGCCTAGTGGTTAAAGCGTTCGCTCGTCATGCCGAAGACCAGGGTTTGATTCCCGACATGGGTACAATGTGTGAAGCTCATTTCTGGTGTCCCCCGCCGTGATATTGCTGGAATATTGCTAAATGCGGCGTAAAACCAAACTCACTCACTCACTCACTATGTGTAACAAGCAGGTGTGAAAAAACTGTTCAAAATAAACACACTGGTCCAGCAGTAGAAACTAACAGTTTCAGTCCACTAGTCCTTATAATGATTAAATATAGCAAAACCCCTAAAAATGGCAAATTTCTACTAGTCCTTATGACACCTTTACAATTGGGCAGTTTGGCAAGGACTACAGGACTAGTGCCAATTTCTTAATCTGTGGTCAACAGGGGCGATCTGAACAGTTATTAATCGGTATAAGAATACTGCTATTGTCAACAGGGCTTGCCTGTTGCTATTTCTACTATCCATGAGCCAGAGGTCTCGCAATTAGCCAACTTGATGTCTTGAGAACATTGAGAGGATAATAGTAAATATAAACAGAATTTAATAAAGGTCACTGACAACAAACACTTCAAACTTACAGAAATGAACATGAATATATCTCAAGACAACCTGGCTGTTCTGAAATGCAAACATGCCAGTGAATTTGGATGTAGTACCTACATCAGTGAAACATCAAAAACAGCTGGTTTAATGTATTCAGGGAGGAACAAACTAATAGCAATTGAGATAACTGATTGTTTCACCTCTATTCATGCCATACACTGTTCATGACATACATTGATACACAAGCCGATGCTACAAACCAAACATGCAACAAGTTTTCAAGAACAAAACATTTCAACTTCTCAGTACATGAGATATTTCAAATAGGTTTTGAAAGATTTAGGCATTGAAATCAAATGAATTTTCTGGGCATTCACATGAATGATAACATATAATCAATAAACTGTGAAATGAATAATTTTCCCAAAGCCTGAAAGATACTTTCAACTGGGGTCAGATCCTTTGGATGAGCGGTGAATGCAGAATGGCCTTTGTGAAACAGCAGATCCACAACTCAGTTGATCCTCCGCTGCTGGAAGTAGAAGAAAGTCTCCTTGATAATATCATTCCTGTGTCTGCCTGGCAACATTTCTTCCTGGTGGGAGAAGAAGGTGGAGGGTTGTCTCCCTTCAGCAAAATCAACGGCATTAATATTGATGTTGGGGAAGTTGCTATGCATCCAGTTGAGGAACCTATGTGTTGGGAAATTGATCTTCTTCAGCAGGGCTTCCATGAAGTACATGTCCTTACTCTGGAATATGTTGACAGGGATGGTGTAGGACTTTGATATCTGTGTTATGTTCTCATTCTCTTGTATCAGATGATCAATGTACCAGGAGATCATATGACGAGGTTTAAGAGTGTGGACGTTTGTGGAGATCTGGTACTTTTCTGCAGCTTTGTTGCAAGAACTTGGTGCCAGTTTGGCAGATTTGTCAGCATGTTGATAAGGATTATTGATGATATCCTCAGAACTTGTGCTCTGCTTTCTCTTGGCAGCTCTAGTGGTTTCCCTCATACATTCAGAATTAGACAACATTCTTCTCTGGGAAATATTGCCATTGACACCTGGCTGGTTAATTTTGGGTGACATATCCAGAGGTGCAGACTGCTGAGGAGGAACATACATGTGTGTCTGCGGAACTTGGGCCCTCTGGGAATCTGCTGGTATCATACTTTCTCCTTCAGGAGTTGCATTCCAGTTCCGGTCTAGAACCTGATCCTGATTGTACATCAGTCCAGGTGGAGGCACAGAAGGCACATTGTTTGCCATCCACTGTATATGTTCTGGTGCGAGATGTCTTGATCTCTCCTGCCCATAGAAAGAACGTGGTTCTTGAAGGTTCTGGTAAGCCGGTACACCAACCTGGAAGAAGTTTCTCTGACCACGATTTGGCATTGAGACTTGCCTTCCTCCAACATCAGGAGTAGAGCTAGCCAAAGGACATCCAAAGGATGTGTCTGTACCTGGCTGGCTCCAGGTTGAATGAGCAGATTTACCCAGGGATTCTGACATCCCGAGCCGAGCCTGATCAAGGGTATGGTGTTGCATCGCTGACATTTGCTGAGACATAACAGGCTGTCCAAATGCATCAATGCCAGGAACTGAATCATATGCACAGTTGTTATCTACGGGTACAAACAATGTGTCCGGGACAGATTGCTGGGAACACCTGTTCTGAAGCTGGGGAAACATGTCATGACTTTGAGCATTGTGATATAGAGTTGGCTGACTGAGAGACTCCATTTCAGGGACCATCTTTTGATTCCTTGTGTTCAGTGCATGATTCACATTGTTCTCAAATGCAATATGAGTGGAATCAAAGGAGAGTGATGTGATGAATTCACTGACACCTGATGTTGACTTTGCTCCAGGTTGTGAAGGTTTTGAAGTTCTGATTGAATGATCAAGGCCACTAGTTTGGAGGGAGCTGTTCTGTGTTAAAGAGCTTTCTTTGTAGCTTGAATTGCAGGTCTCTGGGTTGGATGCCTCAAATGAGGATCCAGTGGTTGAAGGATCCAATGTTTTATCGCTATTCTGGGTACTGATTTCGTCAATACTGTCATCATTTCCATTAGTAAAATATATCATATTTCCATTTTGTTCAGCATTTCCATCTGACATTACAGGATGCTTCGTTGCACAAGGATTCATCATGATAACTCCAGTGTGGCTGCCTTCGACTGACAGCCTGTTATTGTTACAGTTCCCTTCAGCAGGTCTCTCTTTGGCTTGTTCATTTTCACAACCAGTGCTGACATGTTGATGTGATGATTCCAGCTTGGGGATGTTCATGGCAGCACTGTTGCTGTTGCTATCCTCAACTTCTATCTTGATTTTGACACTGCCAGTCCCTTCAGTTGGTTGTTGACACTTGTCTCTCATGGCTTCACTCTCTGCCCCAGATGTGTTGCACAGTAACAGGAGGTTGCCGCAGTTTTCCATTCCAAGCTGTTGACTCTGAAACATACAGACCATTATTACATCAATTAACCAAACATACGGAAATCGAATCAAAATATTGGACACGATTATATCCATTCTAATGGCTCTGAGACCGCCTCTGTGGTCTAGTGGTAGAGCGTCTGCCCGGAGAGCGGAGGGTCCGGGGTTCGACCCCCAGCCGCGTCATACCAAAAGACGTTAAAAGATGGTACTTGTTGTTACCCTGTCTGGCGCTCGGCATTAAGGGGCTAAAACAAGGACTGGTCGGCTCGGAGTCAGTATACTGTGTGTGAGTCGGGTATTCATGTTAAACTGCGGCATGGTATCTCGGTGAGCTAGCACTATAAATCGGCATCAGTCCGGACTAGTACAAGCAGCCACACACACACACACATACACATGCATGCACGTCGCTATATAAGTGCAATAATCTTGGATGCGATGTTAAACCCCATTTCACCTCACCTCTTATTCCTGTCAGCTGTCAACATTAAAGCTTCAACTGGGGGTTTATGGGTTACAACTAGTCCCCAGCTACCAATGCTGGTCGTAAGAGGGGACCAAATGGATGGGGTGTTCAGGCTTGGTGACTTGGTTGACAAGTGTCATTGTACAACACAGGAACGTTGTTCACAAAATTAATCTGAGATTGTCTAATCCAGACATGATTATTTACAGGACATTGCTGGAATACTGCTGAGTTCATAAAAGTAACTTATTCTGTCAACTATATTTTTCACTGGCAATAGCAGGTTTGACTGAATCGACACACCCCTGTTAATGGCCCAATCACCAGATTCATGCATATTTATCATTTAGTGACTTTAGACGGCTGGTGACTGCTATCGGATGCTGCGCTGGCTGTAAGGAAGGCAGCTTCACTTGCCTGTAGAGACAGATTTTCATCTCGTAAAACGATAGTACTCATAGTATGTGACGTAGATGTAATGAAATTAATAGGAAACAATTGTTTACAAATGTGGTAAACATCTGCTGAACGAGAACAATTGGGGTTCACTTAGGCCTATAGCCTGGGTTCAATTCCATATAACCTACTGTGTTGTACCCTGGGTACGTTTCGGTGGTAGGCTATTTTGTTTAACGCCACCCTCAGCAATATTCTAGCTAGACTATATGACGGCGATTTGTAAATAATCTGGTCTGGACCAGACAATCCAGTGATTGACATTATGAACATCGATCCACGCAATTGGGATACGATGACATTCACCTGGCCTGACCACCTGATCCCGCTAGTCGCCTCTTACGACAAGCATGGGTTGCCGAAGACCAATTCTACCCCGGATCTTCACGGGTCAGTTTCGATGGTAAACCGATCGCGAGTGTCCCTGTCAGTTTAACCCTACATTATTTTCAAACGCTCTCTTAAATCTTTAAACTAAACAAAGCTGTGAATTGGAGTTTGAAATGGTCTCGCAGTGCATAGTTTTGAAAAACGAAATTGTTTGAAGGATGGCGTTCTGTTCACAACGTCTAGGCCTATTTTGATTCTATTCCCTCACTTTTCGCCCACGAATATGATGACGTTACGGTCAATGTTACGTAAATTGAATTATGCGTATTCAAACAACACTAATATAAAACAGAAACCGCGATACTTTAGGCAAGATCGATAATGTATCTGTAATATTTGGCAACAATGCTTCCTTCGCACAGCAAACATTTATGTAACGTTAGACCTGGCGTTTGTGTGAAAGTGGGGGCCTATCCTTGCTGTCTAGTTTCACTATTCAAAGTTGATCCTCTCGTTAGTTTGTATGAAAAAGAATACAGTGAGGTCTCACAGACATCCTCTAAAATATAAAAATATATTTAGTCTGTAAATAGATTCAGATCATGAAGCATTATCTGGTAATAGTTCGTACCGTCATAGACGTTTCAACGCTGATTTTACCGTCTGCAATCAAGAATTATGGGAAATATTTGACCGGATGCAGACCGCTAAAATAGTTATTTGGATTTTATTACCCAGTTGTTCGTATACTGATAATTTCAGACTCATATGTGGACATTCAAACTGCTTGACATCTTGTATTTTATGAGTATAGTTTAGGACACCATATTATATTGATTATAACCATTCGTTACTTCCTTTAACAATATTTAATCGTCTTATAATCATAAAACGACTTATTTTTACACTATTGTATGGCTACGCACGGGTCCGTGTCTTACTCCAGGTCGTATTACGTATAACCCTGTTCTTGTCTTATATTTTAATCCCTGGGAACTCTGTCGTTATTTGAACAGAGATTTACATTGATTTCTGTAAAATACTTTTGTAAAGAGAGTTCAACAAATAGCCTTTACATGAATAAGGATGAAACGGCTGGCTCTAATATTGATAAAAGTGCATTATTTTAAGCGCCATGCCTCGGTTCTTTTCACTACTGGCACTACACATTACACAGTGCCTCAATGTTTGCCTCCATTACTAGAGCACGAGTTCCACAACAGGAATTGTCCGAGACATTCTTGTCACTCAGGTCAAATATAAGTGTCAAATGAACCTTCAACAATGTCAAAACCTTAAAAAAATGTTACTTTAACATGCATAATAGTTCCGAGGTATTGAAAGCACTGCTCACTTAAAAAATAATTATGTTTTTAACTCACATACAAAAAAAAACATGGTCTGAATCGTTATCTTGGTTGTTGTTTAATTGTTTAAAAAATGCGAAATATATATGTTGTAATTCATTTTTCTCATAATGTACAGAGACTGCTTCAGTAAGTGTTGTATATACACTTGTATCGACCCCAGCCGCCTTCTCGTATCAAAATCGTGTTCAGCCCCCCGGCGATTTTGGTCATCAACCCTTGTAGTCCGTAAGGGGGGACACACAGTGACTGTGGGTCAGGCTCGGTGTTTGCATCAACCCCGACAACGTAGATCGTTGCTCAGGCATCAATCACTGGTTTATCTGGTTCAGACTCGTTCTTTTTAAATCTGTCGTGATGTAGCTTGAATAATGATTATTTCGGCGTTAAGTTGTACAGAAAGCATCTGCTTGTAAGGTCATCCTCGATTGTTCGATCCGAAATAGGCGACGATACAAATATTCCTCCAATCAAATTACACCAATGAGCGAGAACAACTTTGTGCACAGTTATTTACATGAAAGATTGAGATGTATGGAAAACGAATTTAGGGACTATGAGGAAATAATTTATTATAGTGTGTGTGTGTGTGTGTGTGTGTGTGTGTGTGTGTGTGTGTGGGTGTGTGGTGAGATTAAAGGGTTTGGGGTGACCAAAATACCGGTTCATAGAAATACAGTAAACTACGTTTATTACGAACACGCTTATAACGAGCTGACGGATAAAACGAACTTATTTTTTAGTCCCGGTCATTTCTTGTATATATGCTGTATGTATGCTTATAACGAACTACGGTTATTACCAACTAAAATTAGTGGTCCCTTTGAGTTCGTTATAACCGTAGTTTACTGTAGAAACAAAATACAGTTGAACATAATTTAGGGACAGGTAATTTATTAAAGGGAGGGGATGTCATGAAAGAAATGTGTGGGTGTGTCGGCAAAATATCACAGTGCTAAGGCCAATCTCACCCCCACCCCATAATAATAAATAGCCAGTGCCTTGCCATAATAGAACAGATATATAGTCCAGGTACTCTTGTGTTAGTTCCAGTGACAAGTTCGCGAACACAAGCAGTCACATGTACACGAACCCTCAGAAGCCTAAATCTGCATCATTAACGTGTATATGTTTTAACACAGGATGTAGCTATAGATGTGTCCCCCGTTGTAATTGTATGGGCATGAGTCAATGGGTACCCGGTAGTCCTTTATTGACACGACCCGTGAAGATTCCGGGGTAGAATAGGTCTTCAGCAACCCATGCTTGCCGTAAAAGGTGACTATGCTTGTCGTAAAAGGCGACTAACGGGATCGGGTGGTCAGGCTCGCTGATTTGGTTGATGCATGTCATCGATCCCAATTGCGTGGATCGATGCTCATGATGTCAATCACCGGATTGACTGGTCCAGACTCGATTATTTACAGACCGCCGTCATAAAGCTGAATATTGCTGAGTGCGGCGTTAAACAACAAACCAACCAACCAACCTTTATTGACACACAGCTGTCCTAGGCTATGATCGTGGTTTCATTTACAAGATTCGCCCTGATTTTGGGTTTGTCTGCACCATGGTAGGGGTAATCCTGCACAACCTGCATCAGCTCGGATTTCCTCTCAGGGGAATTGAAAACTCCTCAAAGCATCCTTAACCAAGTCACTCGATGTTGCAGCAACCCATGCTTGACTTATAATAAAAGGCGACTATATGCTTGTCGTAAGAGGCGACTAACGGGATCGGGGGGCGAGGTGCACATCATCGTATCCCAGTTGCGTGGATCGATGCCCATGATGTCAACATTTGGTCAACAGTTGAATTTACTTTTCAGTTATAAAATAGCTGGTCGGTATGGTTATAACAACTCACCACAATGCCCTCAGTTCGTCAGAACCATACCCCAGCTGGGTGGTTTCCACTGTACACACGTCAAGATAAAACTGAAATACTGTTCAAAGCAGGGTTAAACACACTCCCTCACATTTCACATCACAGACCCGTGAAGATCCGGGTTAGAATAGGTCTTCAGCAACCCATGCTTGTCGCAAAAGGCGACTAAGCTTGTCGTAAGAGCTAGGCGACTAACGGGACCGGGTGGTCAGGCTCACTGACTTGGTTGATGATGCATGTCAGCGTATCCGAATTGCACGGATCGATGCTCATGATGTGAATCACTGGATTGTCTGGTCCAGAATCGATTATTTACAGACCGCCGTCATATAGCTGAAATATTGCTGAGTGCGGCATTACACTAACAAACAGACACAAATAAAGCTTAAACCTCTCACAGAGGAGTCTTCTGGCAGGTTCAACCAGATCATGATGTCACACTGTCTTCACAATCACTTTATTGAAGGTCTTTATTGAAGACTTTAATGCCCACCTTGTTGGAGGGTCTCTTCTTTGATTTGAGACACGCGCAGAATGGCGGAAACTGACATTCCGGTTCGTGATTTACAAACAGTAAACTAATTTTAATTTCACGTCTATGACATCACTCGGCTTAGCTTCAGCTCCCAAAAGTACAACCCAAATCAAAGCGAACAAATCATGAAATATTACAAAAACACAACTATATTTAAATTTATTGTATAAAATAGAAATTAATGACACTCATTTATCAATTGATATTGAACAAATGGGAAAAACCTTTACAACTCAATTTGACATTATTGTAAAAAATGAAATTATAGATATTTATGAATTATTACACAAATGGGAAAAATCGTAACAACTAAAGCATCACAAAAATAGTCATAAACTCTACAGACGAAATGATGCGTCATCCTCGATTAACCAGTGGATCCAGTGTATAATCGAGGTAAATGATGACTGACTATTACTAGTACTCTGACCATTAATCATTACAACAGTCGATCAGTAGCGCAGCTTCCTCATCCGAGGACATCCCCGTGGGGGTGGTGCTGGGGAAACTAACAGACACGGGGGTGGTCTCGGGGGGTGGGTCGGCCTCACCTTGCTCACCGCCCCCACAATACTTGGCCAGGCTTTTCCGGAACTCCCGGGAGGGCACATCAGCTGGGGGGGCGGGGCCGTCAGGGAACCCCATGGAGCCCATTAGCTGGTAGCTGTAGGGGCTGGTGGTTGGCGGGGTTGGGGTCAGGAAGGGCGGGGCCTGCTGGTAGGGGGACTCGGCAGCGTGGTAGCTCTTGTAGGCGGCCGCTACGGATGGGGTGGATCTGGTGTAGGGGGGTAGGGTGCCGTACAGGGGGGTGTAGGCGGACGACTGGGGGTAGTAACCGCTTGGGTAGAACTCGCTTGGGAAGAATGGCTCGGCTTTAAACGATCTATGAGATCCCTGACGAAGACCCAGAGCTTCTGCGGTTGTAGTCATCGTTGTGGTTGTGGATGTGGATGTTGTCGGGCCTGCACAGGAGATAATGGTCTGTTGTTTGTAAATACGTTTTGACTTGCATTTTTATTTTCACATTTTACAGTGGGTTTCTTTCATATGAAGTGTACTTAACAGGTGTATGCGTTTCGCGGAGTTGGTCAACATTTGGAATTTACTTTTCAGTTTTTAAATAACTGGTCGGTATTGGTATGACATTTCATCACAATGCCCTCAGTTCGTAAGAACAATACCCCAGCTGGGTGGTTTCCACTGTACCAAACATGTCAAGATATAACTGAAATACTGTTCAAAGCAGGGTTAAACCCACCCACACACTCCCTCACATTTCATATCAGACCCGTGAAGATCCGGGTTTGAATAGGTTTTCAGCAACCCATGCTTGCCATAAAAGGCGACTATGCTTGTCGTAAGAGGCGACTAACGGGACCGGGGGACCCTCGCTGACTTGGTTGATGATGCATGTCATCGTATCCTAATTGAGTGGATCGATGCTCATGATGTGAATCACTGGAATGTCTGGTCCAGACTCGATTATTTACACACCGCCGTACTATAGCTGGAATATTGCTGAGTGCGGCGTTAAACTACAAAAAACAAACAAACAAACTTTTTGAAACTTGAAGACATTTAGTTTGTTGTCAGGGCATGTGGTGTGTGGCTTACCTGAAGTGGCCGCCCAATCTGTGCCCTCTCCTCTTGTCTCTTCTGAAAACATCACACCTTGTTGAACATTTAAAGAGTAAATATTGCTGGGTAACTCGTTATCTATAAAAGAAGATGCTAGACAAGTAATAACTGGATAGCCTTTCCTCTGCAGGGTTAGAAACTAACAGTTTTTGTCCACTAGTCCTTATAATAATAACATATAGCAAAACACTTTATATGGGCCCATTTCTACTCGTCCTTAGGATACCTTAACTATTGGCCAGTTTGGTAAGGACTACAGGACTAGTGCCAATTTCTAACGCTGCTCTGGGGAGACGATTTTGGGGCAATGGTGGGAATTCAACAAAATCGAACACAGAAAGGGCAGGGAACTCTGAGCGCATTCAGAACTGACTTTCACAGGAACACATACAGATGTACACAAAATTCAATTTAAAGTATCAATTTGCACGTCATGTTTAGAGTGTCTTGAATAGTTGTATTTGTGTGAAGGTGTGGATTTTCGTATGATATGATAAGTGAACCTCATCTTTCATCTCTGAACAACAGGTGCGGCTGGGTGGTCTAGTGATTAAAGTGTTCGTTCTTCACGATTAAGGCCCGGTTCGATAACCCACAAAACGTGAATCCATTTTTTGTGTCTCCTACCGTAATATTGAGGGAATGATGTTTTGTTTGTTTGTTGTTTAACGCCTCCCTCAGCAATATTCCAGCTATATGACGGCGGTCTGTAAATAATCGAGTCTGGACCAGACAATCCAGTGATTAATATCATGCGCATCGATCCACGCAATTGGGACCGATGACATGTATCAACCAATTCTGCGAGCCTGACCACCCGATCAGTTAGTTGCCTTTTACGACAAGCATAGTCGCCTTTTACGGCAAGCATGGGTTGCTGAAGACCTATATTCTACCCCGGAATCTTCACGGGTCTTGAGGGAATAAACGCGGCAAAAAATGGTACTCGCTCAGTCACTCTGAACCACAGAAGAGAACAAACGCGGCTTCGCACCTATTTCAAAAAGATAAACAAGAAAATAGGAAGTAACCCACCCTAATCATTCTGATAGATACTGCCCTTAGCGGGACGTACTTATTCCAGTTGTAGTTATCTCCCTTGACTGATCAATGCACTTGAACACGATGGCGGATTGTTTTACCTTTCTGAAGACGCATAATGGTCTGGCGTAGGCTGCCTGTTTCCGTGAGGACGGCGTTGAGTCGACCGACGCTGATGTTGGGGAACTGTTGTCTCAGTGACTGAAGGTTTGCCCCTGCCAGCGAGCTGTGCCCTCGACCTGAAAACCGATACCGTATTTCCTCGATTTAACGCCCGGGGTTACGAATAACGCGGGTAGTTTATGTTATGTAGTTAATGAAATTTTACACACGGATGTTACTGGTCATGATCTAAAAAATAATGAGTTCGAAAATTTGTGTCGTACATTTGGTGAGTTGTGGCCCTTGCTCCGTGTTTTTCAACTTTGTGCATAGTGTGTGCAATGGGGACAAGTTTTCTCAGAAACTACTTAAGTTACATGAATAAAAGTTTGCATGCTTACCTAAAACATACATGTCAAGACAGTTCGAAAATTGGTCCCGTATTTTTTTTACAGAGTTAAGGCCCTTGATCCATGTTATTTTACTTGGTGGATAAGTGTCTGCAATGGGGACAAGGTTTCTCAGAAACTACTCAAGTTAGTTTATCGAAGTGATACTTATCAAGACTAAGGGGGATAGCGATGACACTGTTTTCGTGTCATCTTTCCGATGAGTGAGTGAGTGAATATGGTTTTACGCCGCTTTTAGCAATATTCCAGCAATATCACGGCGGGGGACACCAGAAATGGGCTTCACACATTGTACCCATGTCGGGAATCGAGCCCCGGTCTTCGGCGTGACGAGCGAACGCTTTAACCACTAGGCTACCCGACCGCCCCCTTTTCCGATGAAACGCCGGGGTTAAATAGTGTCTGAAAGAAATATACGCACGTGCGTTTAATCAAGGAAATACCTAAACATTCAGGGTGGAAGTTTTTTGTCAAAGAAGCTGGGTCTTTTAACCCACTGATCAGGTTTGTGGAGAAATTGGGAAATGTAACAGTTGTTCCCTTTATGTCGTAGGTCAAGGACAAAGTGGAAACGTATTTGTATGAGATCGATTTGGCTAGTGACAAAACGTAGACATGACCTTGGATGACGTGTAATACGTCATCCAAGGTCATGTCTATGTTTTGTCATGATTCGGCATGATTCTTAGAAACACGGGTCAGTTGTCCGCATACTATAAATGCCAACCCAGCGTTAACGGGAACCTACCCATCTGCACCTCCTCGGGTACACTATACTTGCCCAACCTTCGTCTAAGCGAACACTATACCTGGTCACACCGCTTCTATGGGATCCTACCCGTCTGGACCTCCTCGGGTAGACTATACCTGCTCACCCCGCGTCTAAGCGAACACTATACCTGCCCACCCTGTGTAAACTGAACTGAACCTACCCGTCAGCACCTCTCGGGTACACTATACCTGCCCACCCCACGTCTACGGGAACCTACCCGTCAGCCCCTCTCGGGTACATTATACCTGCCCACACCGCGTCTACGGGAACTTACCCGTCAGCACCTCCTCGGGTACACTATACCTGCCCACCCCGCGTCTACGGGAACCTACCCGTCAGCACCTCCTCGGGTACACTATACCTGTCCACTCCGCGTCTACGGGAACCTACCCGTCAGCACCTCTCGGGTACACTATACCTGCCCACCCCGCGTCTACGGGAACCTACCCGTCAGCACCTCCTCGGGTACACTATACCTGCCCACCCCGCGTCTACGGGAACTTACCCGTCAGCACCTCCTCGGGTACACTATACCTGCCCACCCCGCGTCTACGGGAACCTACCCGTCAGCCCCTCTCGGGTACATTATACCTGCCCACCCCGCGTCTACGGGAACCTACCCGTCAGCACCTCCTCGGGTACACTATACCTGCCCACCCCGCGTCTACGGGAACCTACCCGTCAGTCCCTCTCGGGTACACAATACCTGCCCACCCCGCGTCTACGGGAACCTACCCGTCAGCACCTCCTCGGGTACACTATACCTGCCCACCCCGCGTCTACGGGAACCTACCCGTCAGCACCTCTCGGGTACACTATACCTGCCCACCCCGCGTCTACGGGAACCTACCCGTCAGCACCTCCTCGGGTACACTACACCTGCCCACCCCGCGTCTACGGGAACCTACCCGTCAGCACCTCCTCGGGTACGGGTATCGAGCGTCCCGCCTCCTCATCCTGCACCTGACGGCGGCGGAGGGCGATCTGTTCCCGGGACACCTTCTGTCTCTGTGCACTCAGACAACAGCTGCTGCAGCCACAGTTGGCGAACAGACAGAAGCGTTTGTGGCCCTTCAGTGGGCTGATGACGGCATGGTTACGACATCGCGCGCAGGAGCGTAGCTGGGTGTCTTTCTTCTTTGCTTTGGTACTCGTAAACTCCTCGGCCATCTTACACCTGTAATTATTAATTAACAATTAACAACCCGCTGCCTTGAAATAATTCACGGCACCTATAGAGAAGACGGAACAATATATAAACCATGACACATTTTGCGGATTGGAAACTACTAACAGGTTGGTTGGTTGGTTGGTTGTTTAACGCCGCACTCAGCAATATTCCAGCTGTATGATTGCGGTCTGTAAAAAATCGAGTCTGGAGGGGCGGTCGGGTAGCCTAGTGGTTAAAGCGATGGCTCGTCACGCCGATTCGAAGACCCGGGTTCGATTCCCGACATGGGTACAATGTGTGAAGCCCATTTCTGGTGTCCCCCCGCCGTGATATTGCTGGAATATTGCTAAAAGCGGTGTAAAAGCATACTCACTCACTCACTCGAGTCTGGACCAGACAATCCAGTGATTGACATCATGAGCATCGATCCACGCAATTGGGATCAATGACATGCATCAACCAAGTCATCGAGCCTGACCACCCGATCCCATTAGTCGCCTAGCTTTTACGACAAGCATAGTCACCTTTTACGGCAAGCATGGGTTACTGAAGACCTATTCTACCCCGGAATCTTCACGGGTCCTACTAACAGGTATTAAAATCAGAATTAGTTACTGTCAATAATAATAATAATAATAATAACAATAATAATAATAATCACCATCATCTGAAGATACGTGTGTGTGGTGGAAGACACATTTGTCTTGAAAATATCTTATTAATTTGCTTCAATACTCAGGAAATATTATTTTTCATATTCATTCTCGCCCGGCATATTCCTGAGCTTACACATTGCGACTGGCCAGGTGATTGAAATCTAACGTCGAATCGGCATTATTTTAGGCATATAGCCACTGACCGGCTAGGTAATCATATTTCAATATTTGATATATATATTTGTGTGTTGAATAAATAAATTCGGTTACCACGTAACAGGGCTCAGCATCCAGCTGATTCCGGCATACCACTACAAAAACTTGAAAATGTTCCCTCTAACTCCAAATGTAGTGACATTAATATTTGTCTTTGAGAATGTCAATAGTGATCTGGGGAAAAATACCAACTTTATAATCCTATTTCCATGATGATAACGTTTGTGTGTTTTTTGTGTGAGAAAGTTACACAGGGATAACCTTTTAATGAAACCTTTTCTTTATCTGCACATGTATAATAAATTACCTCTGAAGCCTTGAAAGAAATAACAACATGTTGTGAAAACATATATATTTTCCTATAGTTTTATTTGCATGATATGTTTGTTTTCTATTTTTATACTGCATATATATGTATTTGAAGTTAAAAGTGTCAAATTCTGAAGAAACCACATGTAAATTACATCTTGATTCATATTCTGGGTTACACATGCTCACTTTGTGACTTGCATAACAAATGTAGGTATGCGACAAAATTTCTTTGCGCCGTATTGTTCCTCTGGATCAGAGTTATCTGGTTACATGATTGTTGAAATGAAAAAGTAATTCAAACTTTCAACAAACAAACAAAAAATAGCTCGGGCCGTTATGAAGTCCGTTCAACTCCATGCATGGTTGTAGCATTAGGAAGCCAGATTGGTGGCTGCGATATAGTACAGAGAGTTCCGCGAACAGGCTATCGCTGTAAGGAGTTTGGTCATAAATAACTGATGACGTCATATTCACGTCACAATGACGTCATGTTGCTTCGTGCACTTTGGGAAGAAGTGAGCAAAATGTAGGAAGCATTCCGACAGTTGTGCATCGTTTAGAAGCTGCTTGACCACGGATGACGACTCCGTTTCCAAAGCGATCGTAGGATTTCAGTCCCCAGGAATCGGCGGTTCCGAGTGGGTCCTATTGTTACTGTTGTATACGCACCAACCAGTTCGCAAAGCGATCGTAGGATCTCAGTCCCTAGGAATCGGCAGTGTCGAGTGGAGTTGGCCTACTGTTGTATAGATTCCACGCACCAAATTTTATATCTTTGGTCTTGGCTTAAAAGTTGTTCATGGTATAGCAATCTAAAATATTCCAGGCACATTTATGAATACCAGAGGTCAACCCACAAGGGATAGAAGTTATCACTGAAAATGAAACCCCAGATTAAATTTTCCAGAATATTTTCTGCCCCTGAGCAATATGGCCGTCGCCTCTACGCCAGCCCCAGTTGTGATGTACCGATCAAGCCCGACCTGCACCTCACTACCTACCCCACACTAAGCTATATATAATATGATTCACTACAAAACTATACTGTTTATTCGGACTTAAATCTTCATTCAAGACAAAACGCAATAATTCTCCATTTCGCAAATTTAAATAAAACTGACATCAACTCATTCAACACCGATCAATGTCCTGCGGTCACCACAAATTCATCGAAATTATGATCGAAGATGTACATGTACATGTATTTATATTTACATGTCCTAAATGCATATGCAGTTAATTCCAAACTGTAAACTAACAACATGTCGATTTCACAGGCAATGTTACATGTCAAACGCCAACACGTGCTACACAATAAATGAAATGAACTACAAAGTTGTCAATATCACTTCCTACCTTTCTTGCGACCAAAACCATAAAGGCGGGCACCTTGTAGTACAATGTTGATACCATTTCTCAAAAAGGGTGTCTACGGTCGTCCGTCGACAAGAAATATTTTCACGCAATGAACATTATGTGGCGTACATCGTAAATATAAATGAGGATCTTTCAAATGAAGGAAATAATAGTTTTGCAAATATAATCAAAATATTTTTTAAATATTTTCGAGGGATGAAGACCTGACTCACCTACCCATGAACTTTACTAGAGTGGACTCTTCCAAGTAAACTATTCACCACTCGCCAAGGAGGGTGCCAACCCCGTCTTCCTCTGTATCCCGAATACCATATCTAACTTTTCACGCTTGTCTCGTTCGCTAACACACGTATCCCGAATACGACTAACACAAATCTCAAAAGCACATTTGTCGGAATTCACTGGTCAAAAGCAGAATATCAATCACAGACGCAAATATTATATAACACGTTCCTAGGCTAGGCATGGGCGGATACAGCTTTTTTTAAAGGGGGGGTGCACAATTAAGATCTATTTATTGTCTTTGGTGGTAATTTATACAGAAATAAAGATTTTTTTCGAAATAAAAACGGGGGGTGCGCACCCCCGCACACCCCCTCTGTATCCGCCCATGCTAGGGTACATATAATGTGAAGTGAAGTTAAAAACAGAAAAAAAGAAAATAAATAAGGTACATTTTCAGTTCAGATGTTGAATTAATCTGCGTACCAAATACGATTTGATTTGTGTCCCGCGTACCACAATGCAGCGTCCCGAATACCCCCTAATTGATAAACAGAACCCCGAATCCCGAGTATTAACCGAAAAGGGGGTTGGCAGCCTCAGATAGTAGATGAAGTCAGCGAGCGAGTAAACTTTAAAGTCGAATCAACAATATTGAACCATATACGTCACTTTCTGATACAACACGGTTGGAATAACGACTAGATATAGAATTCGAAAGGTTTAATTAATATCATATATAACTTTCCTACCACTAAAATTGTAATTTTCATAAATGAGGTTTCAATTAAAGTTTGTCTAACGCCGCATTCATGCTATAATTATGACGGCGGTCTGTAAATAGCCGCGGCTGGACCAGACAATCCAGTGATTGATATCACGTGGTACGGGCATCTACGGGACACGAGGACATGTATCAACCAATTAAGTCTTAACAAATTACAAGAAGATCATGGGAGCATGTCACCGCTTCTGTGGTGTTGTAGTTTCAGTTACTGCCGACAGCGTTCGTGCAAGAACAGAACAGTGTTCAGCATATGTAACGTACGTAACTCGAAGCGCAGTATTGCGTTAGTGCTATTTTGTCAAACATCTCTGATAAAATGTCATTCCTTTAAATGGAATTAACTGTATCACGTCTGAATGAAGTTAAAAGTACAACGTTTCCTTGTAAGGTTCAGATTTTCAGAGTCACAACACTGGTCAAATACTGGTAGATGGAATTATTTTCGTATCGGCAATTTAAGGTGTAGTATACTTAACCGCAAAAGAAACGCAAGTTGTACAAAAAAGTGGATGACGTTAAATAAAGACCATAAAAGATAATGTTAAGAACTGATACCAGAGAAAATATTTGATATCAAATGGGCGTTGATTGTTTGATGGAAAACAGCCGCGTTTACTGAAAAATCACCCCGAAAACAGGGTACCCCACAAACATTAGAATGACAAGAGTCAGTCGTGTTCATCAACATGTGTGGCATCCGTTAGCTGCGATACAGGCCACACATCTCTGTCTCATTTTGTCGAAAAGTGTTTTGAAGAAGGCTTGAGGAACCGTTCCATTTCCGCACCAAAAAGGCGTCTATAGTTCCTGTAGTGTGTGTGTGTGTGTGTGTGTGTGTGTGTGTGTGTGTGTGTGTGTCTGTCTGTCTGTCTGGCAGTCTGAAGACGTCTCCCAATCTCGTCCCAGACATACTCATTTGGCGACAAAGACGGCCAGGGCATTACATTAATTAAGGAAGTCCATAGAGACCCGTGCTGTATGGGATCGGGACGAGCGTTGTCCCTCTGACGGTTGGTTGGTTTGTTTGTTGTTTTACGCCGCACTCAGCAATATTCCAGCTATATGACGGCGGTCTGTAAATAATCGAGTCTGGACCAAACAATCCATGACTGACATCATGAGCATCGATCCACGCAATTGGGATCGATGACATGCATCAACCAAGTCAGCTAGCCTGACCACCCGATCCTGTTAGTCGCCTTTTACGACAAGCATAGTCACCTTTTACGGCAAACATGGGTTGTTGAAGAACTATTCTACCCCGGATCCATTAATTAAGGAAGTCCATAGAGACCTGTGCTGAATGGGGACGGGACGCGCGTTGTCCGGCTGGAGGACCTGGAAGTGATGTTGACACACCCCCCCCCCCCCCCCCCAACACACACACCATGATGCTTCTCCTCCCACCGGTCGGCCTGTAAGACACAGCAGTTAGCGCAAGGCTCATGACGTCGTCTCCACACTCTGATGCGGCCATCGGTGGTAAAACGGGAACCTTGATTCGTCTGAAAAGACAACTTCTAGCCACCGTTGACGTCATCAACGCAGGTGCTGTTGGGCCCACTTCAGACGTTGTTGGTGGTGACGTTGAGTCAGTATATGGACCCGACGTAAGGACGACGACAACTGATTCCCGACACGGGAAGACGTGGACCTTGAATGGTTGCAGCTGTCTGTGTCGCTCGTCGCTGTCGGTCACGCAGATGTGTCACCCGGAAGTAATTATCCTGTGCTGGAGTAGTGACCCTCGGCCGTCCAGAACGAGGCTGGTCTTGGACACTGCCAGTCTGTTGATGCCTTCGACCAATCTGGTGATGGTTGACATCCAAAGTGCCTCGCCACCGCAGTTGACGTTGGTCCGGCCCGAAGCATCATCCCCATGGCAACGCCTCTCTGGAGTTGGGTTAATCGAACCATGTTTCCTGTCCTTTTTTAAAGTCGAGTGTGAAATGCTTGGTGTTTTTTATATGGCGGATTATAAAAGATGGACAAGGGGGAAATGCACACGTTCGCATGTGATTTGTGCTGCTGCTGGTATAGAAGTTGACATTTCAAGGTATAGAAGTTGAAATTTCAAGATACTAAGTTGAAATTTCAAGATAGTTTCTTGAAATTTCAACTTAGTATCTTGAAATTTCAAGATAGTTTCAAAAAAAATATAAAAATCAAATGGCCCTAAAAGGCTTCGGTAGGATCTTGATATTTCAAGATTATTCACTTATTCACGTATTTTTACATCTTAGGATGTTAACTTATTATCTTGAAATATCAACTTAAAATCTTGAAATTTCAAGATAGTATCTTGAAATTTCAACTTCTGTATCTTGAAATTTCAACTTCTGTATCTTGAAATTTCAAGATAGTATCTTGAAATTTTAACTTAGTTTCTTGAAATTTCAACTTAGTATCTTGAAACTTCAAGACAGTATCGAAAAAATATTTAAAATACAAATGGCCCTAAAAGGCTTCCGTAAGTAACCACCGTGTTGTGACATTTATTGGTTGGGTCTCGAGAGGAGGATCTGAGAGTAGGACCCAAAAATATTTGTTAAAATCTTTCCACACCTTTTATACACCTTCAGAGTTGATGCTGATTGTACATGTGTGTGATACTTAGTTCACACTATCTGTTTTCACCTAGTAAGGTGAGGTGAAATGGGGTTTAACGTCGCGTCCAAGATTATTGCACTTATATAGCGACGTGCATGCACGTGTATGTCTGTGGCTGCGTGTACTAGTCCGGACTGATGCCGATTTATAGTGCTAGCTCACTGAGATACCATGCCGCAGTTTAACATGAATACCCCACTCAGACACAGTATACTGACTCCGAGCCGACCAGTCCTTGTTTTAGCCCCTTAATGCCGAGCGCCAGACAGGGTAACAACAAGTACCATCTTTTGACGTCTTTTGGTATGACGCGGCCGGGGATCGAACCCCGGACCTTCCGCTCTCCGGGCGGACGCTCTACCACTAGACCACGGAGGCGGCTTTTTCACCTAGTAATAACGCCCGGGGGCGTCCGGAAACGTCCGGAAGCGTACGGGGGCGTCCGGGCAACGCAAGGGAGCGTCAGGGAGAATGATAATAAGTGTATTTTATATAATGGTGTTCTTTTATTAATTATTGAATATAACATATACCTAGAAAAAAACCATACACCACTTTTCTTTTTAAATGGTGAATCAGCAAAGCAGATACGATATTAATTTATTCGAACTGACTTGGCGGTCGTAACGTAGTCTTTGAAGGATACAATGTAAAGTTGCTTATGGAACAAACATAATGTACATTTATAGTGTCATATTCTGTATATTATTTCATAAGTAATATTGAAAGACAGACGTTTTCAAAAGTTCATTCGTGGCCCCAGATGGTTCACTGAGTGTAAAACGTTCCCGGACGTTAAATAGTAGGACCCTCCCTGTGCAGCTAAACTGAAGCATTTTCTAGAAACAGTCCTATGCTAAGGGAAGCCAACTGATATCTTGACCATCTTGAAGTTACACTTCTGTCAAAAAACATCACATTTGTATACTGAGTAACATTGTATATATTTCAAAACATATCTCACAAGTCATCATCACAATTGTCGAAGGACGAGCATCATGTGACTACCAAGAACCATCTGTAACCATATTAATAAATAAACACATGTATGTAAGTTTATATTGATTCTAAATTCGGTTTTTCAGCAAATACTCTAGATGTGTATGTATGCTGATGTTGGACAATGGGTGGTGGGATTGAGCAAAATATGTTGAAATACCTTTCAACCTGGCGACTTCCATTTCACACTACGCTTGAAAAATATGTTGACACAGTTCTCGATTAAAATTTTGAAAACTGAACAAACATACAATCCGGAATCTCTAATATATGGTTGAGATTGTATGGCAGTGCTTCCCACGTACTGTGCAACGCCTCCTCCGTTTAAATGTTTATCCCACGGACCAGAGAGATGGACGATAATTTTGACGGAATCAGTCGGCCGTAACTTTCGTTCGGAATAGGCAATGTTAAAGTTTTCGAGGTTTCATGATTAGAAATCACATTCCGACTGTCTGGTAAGCGACGCCTTGATTGGTCGGATGAAAGGTCGTTCTGACGTGACAGTAATTGGATGTCCTCAGATCTTTGTTTAGCGATAGTGAGAACTAAGATCTGATTTTAATGATATTGCACCTGAGACGTCCCTGTCACAAGAGTGAGTGAGTTGGGTTTAGCACCGCTTTTAACAGTATTCCAGTTATATCACACGGGTGTCAGCTTAATGTGGGAGGAAAGCCCGAAGTGATGCAGGTCTCAGACGTTTACCACTTCGGTGAAACCCACGAGCACCGGTATGGTGCTGACAAACCTAGAAACATAATCGGGGCAAACCAGGATTTGAACCCACAATCATAGGTTTCTGGCGTGCCCAAGGGACGCAACTCTGCACAGCGAATCGCGCGGCTTAGACTACTGGGCCACCCGTGCCCCCACACGAAGCTGTAAGATAAGATATGAATGAAATCCTGTACACAGCAGCTTCAAACTCCACCGACTCACTCACTCATAGAATCAAGTTTCCAAACATGCTGGAAGGTTAACAAGATGACAACCAGGAGGAGAGCGAGGGTGAGGGAGAGGCCCGGCGACACGTAGTTCCTCCTCTTGTCTGTCTGGAGGTCAACAACCTCCGAGGTCGCCTCCTGTTTGGAACATTCTGACCACTTCCTTTCAGACTTTTCAGCAAAACTGTAAAATCTATTTGCATTTTTTCTAACAATGGCTGCAAGTTGTTGCGGAGTTCGTTGAACTCCACCGGATGCCAACTCCAGGATGCTGTGCACGCTGAATGGCTCGTTCCGCTTGGAACAGTACTTCACTGTCAGCTGTTGGCAGGCCTCTGTCATGTTCAAACAATCAACTTTGTAGAGTGCTGCATGGTAAGATCTCGTTGCAGCAGTGAACTTGCTGAGGAAGTTGGGGAACTTTCCCGGAGAGTCACTGGCCAGAAGTAGTCGTGTGTTGTCTACGTCATGTGACACGCTGCTCAGCCAATCTCTTGGACCTGCCTTATAAGGGGTCATCCAGGCATATCCTTGAATAAAAAAAATATTCGAATTTCAAAATTAGACATTAATACATGAATTTGGTGTGTAGAAAAACGGAATAACATTTTAAATACAATTGCCATGGTAATCACTTCAGTATATGAAGTAGATGAACGATGGAATAATTCTATCAAAATTGGGATAAATGTGAGCTGAAAAGGCCTTCTGTAGCTGTTGGGATTATTTTGGCTTCCTTGTTACTTTGTGTGATGAACAGTAAACAAAAAATAAACAGTTATTCTTGTGCAGATCTGTGACGATCTGGGGTAGAATAGGTCTACAGCAACCCATGCTTGCCGTAAAAGACGACAATGCTTGTCATAAAAAGCAAGTTACGGGATCGGGTGGACAGGCTCGCTGACCTGGTTTATTGTGCATCCTGATAAGTATCACCTATTGCATCATTGCACTCCGTGACAGATCATTGACAATACTTGTGAAGATGGTGGCGTAGCTCATGCTGCCGACCGTGATGACCTTCAGTACAGTTAACAGTAATATGTATTGACCAGGTGTTTGTATATTGCTGTAAACTTCTACTCACTCACTCACTCACTCACTCACTCACTCGTGTGTGAACAGAACACAGGGTAGAAACACACCTAGGGGTCACTAAGAGGCAGGGTGGGAGCCCTATCATCTCACCTGTCATCAAGGAAGTGCTACCTGTTAACGAGATGTGTTACCTGTCATCAAGACAGTAGTACCTGTTACAAGATGCATTACCATTTCATTAAGACAGTGGTACCTGTTAACGAGATATATCACCTGTCATCAAGACAGTGCTACCTGTTAACGAGATGTGTTACCTGTCATCAAGACAGTAGTACCTGTTACAAGATGCGTTACCATTTCATTCAGTGAGTGAGTGAGTGAGTTGGGTTTAACGCCGCTTTTAACAGTATTCCAGTTACATCACGGCGTGTCAGCTTAATGTGGGAGGAAAGCCCGAAGTGATGCAGGTCTCAGTCGTTTACCACTTCGGTGAAACCCACGAGCATGGGTATGGTGCTGACAAACCTAGAAACATAATCGGGGCGAACCGGGATTCGAACCCACAATCATAGGTTTCTGGCGTGCCCAAAGGGACGCAACTCTGCACAGCGAATCGTGGCGCCTTAGACGACTTGGCCACCCGTGCCCCCCCATTTCATTAAGACAGTGGTACCTGTTAATGAGATATATCACCTGTCATCAAGACAGTGCTACCTGTTAACGAGATGTGTTACCTGTCATCAAGACAGTAGTACCTGTTACAAGATGCGTTACCATTTCATCAAGACAGTCGTACCTGTTAATGAGATATATCACCTGTCATCAAGACAGTGCTACCTGTTAACAAGATGTGTTACCTGTCATCAAGGAAGTGGTACCTGCTAATGAGATATATCACCTGTCATCAAGGAAGTGGTACCTGCTAATGAGATATATCACCTGTCATCAAGACAGTGCTACCTGTTAACGAGATGTGTTACCTGTCATCAAGACAGTAGTACCTGTTACAAGATGCGTTACCATTTCATCAAGACAGTCGTACCTGTTAATGAGATATATCACCTGTCATCAAGACAGTGCTACCTGTTAACGAGATGTGTTACCTGTCATCAAGGAAGTGGTACCTGCTAATGAGATATATCACCTGTCATCAAGGAAGTGGTACCTGCTAATGAGATATATCACCTGTCATCAAGACAGTGCTACCTGTTAACGAGATGTGTTACCTGTCATCAAGGAAGTGGTACCTGCTAATGAGATATATCACCTGTCATCAAGGAAGTGGTACCTGCTAATGAGATATATCACCTGTCATCAAGACAGTGCTACCTGTTAAAGAGATGTGTTACCTGTCATCAAGGAAGTGGTACCTGTTAACGAGATGTGTTACCTGTCATCAAGGAAGTGGTACCTGCTAATGAGATATATCACCTGTCACCAAGACAGTGCTACCTGTTAACGAGATGTGTTACCTGTCATCAAGGAAGTGGTACCTGCTAATGAGATATATCACCTGTCATCAAGGAAGTGGTACCTGCTAATGAGATATATCACCTGTCATCAAGGAAGTGGTACCTGCTAATGAGATATATCACCTGTCATCAAGGAAGTGGTACCTGCTAATGAGATATATCACCTGTCATCAAGGAAGTGGTACCTGCTAATGAGATATATCACCTGTCATCAAGGAAGTGGTACCTGCTAATGAGATATATCACCTGTCATCAAGGAAGTGGTACCTGCTAATGAGATGTGTTACCTGTCATCAAGGAAGTGGTACCTGCTAATGAGATATATCACCTGTCATCAAGGAAGTGGTACCTGCTAATGAGATATATCACCTGTCATCAAGACAATGGTACCTGCTAATGAGATATATCACCTGTCATCAAGACAATGGTACCTGCTAACGAGATATATCACCTGTCATCAAGACAATGATACCTGTCAAGGAGATGTAGCACCCCATGTTGTGGAATGTCTGCAGTGCTGAGGATGTGAGGCGGTCTCCTTTAACACAAACTGGCGGCAGTTGGTCCTTGAACTCTGTGAGGATGGTGTGTATTGTCTCTGACTTACCCCCATCACACAACACCAGGGGCATATCCATTTCACATGCCAACTTCACCTGCCAACATGACACACAACATCACCATGACACAACACCAGGGGCATATCCATGTCACACAAAACTAGGGGCATATCCATGACACACAACACCAGGGGCATATCCATGTCACACAACACGTGGGGCATATCCATCACACACAACACCAGGGGCATATCCATTTCACATGCCAACTTCACTTGCCAACATGACACACAACATCACGATGACACAACACCAGGGGCATATCCATGTCACACAAAACCAGGGGTGTAACGATCACACACAACACCAGGGGCTTATCCATGACACACAACACAAGGGGCATATCCATGACACACAACACCAGGGGCATATCCATGTCACACAACACCAGGGGCATATCCATGTCACACAACACCAGGGGCATATCCATGTCACACAACACAAGGGGCATATCCATGACACACAACACCAGGGGCATATCCATGTCACACAACACCAGGGGCATATCCATGTCACACAACACCAGGGGCATATCCATGACACACAACACCAGGGGCATATCCATGTCACACAAAACCAGGGGCATATCCATGTCACACAAAACACCAGGGGCATTTCCATGACACACAACACCAGGGGCATATCCATGACACACAACACCAGGGGCATATCCATGACACACTACACCAGGGGCATATCCATGTCACATGCCAACATCACCTGCAACATGACACACATCACCATCACACAACATAACATCCCCTGTCAACATCACACTCTATCCTCATCACTTATCCCGAGTGTCTCACCTGTGATGAGAACATGTCTCGCTGTGTGACTGTCTCATCCTTGTCCAGCCCGATTTCACCCAGGGCAACACACCCAGGGTGTGCTAGAAGGCCACGCAGTCCCTGTAGAGTTGTCTCCCCCTTCCAGGTAATCTCTTTCATTGGATGGACGCCTTGTAAACATGTGATTTCAGACATTAGAATTAAACCATCCCCAAAAATCTCTCCCTTGTGTTACAAGTGAGTTACACTATTCATTTGATACAATCCTTTTTTCAAACCCAAAATGTCTATAGATTTCTTTTAATCCGATTTTCTGAATTATATCATGTTTTGTGTAAATGTTTTCATGTATATAAAATCACAAAAGGAACTGTGATCAATTGAAAAATCTGATAATTTGGGTGATTTTTATCAGTTTCTGAAAGGAAGGTAAAAAATATGGGTCTCCCTTTCACACAGTTATATCAAAAAACATTTCCCCATAACAGTAGGGATGGTCGGGTAGCCTAGTGGTTAAAGCGTTCGCTCGTCACGCCGAAGACCCGGGTTCGATTCCCGACATGGGTACAATGTGTGAAGCCCCTTTCTGGTGTCCCCCGCCGTGATATTGCTAGAATATTGCTAAAAGCGGCGTAAAACCATACTCACTCACTCACTCAATTCAAATTTTTAAAGTACAATTTTCAAAATGGTGCTCCAGCAGTATAGCTCACATAGAAATTCATGTCAACAAAGACAGTTGCCATCAGCATTGATACCCAAACATTTTCTGCAGAAATCCTGAGAACTGGAAACTAATAATGGATTCAATGGATTTAACAAAACATGATGTCATCAAGAGACTAAAGATACATGCCGAAGTTAAGCTTCTGTCGGGGCAGTGGGGTAGCCTAGTGGCTAAAGCGTTCACCCGTCACCCTGAAGGCCTGAGTTCGATTCCTGACATAGGTACAATGTGTGAAGCCCATTTCTGGTGTCTCCCACCGTGATATTGCTGGAATATTGCTAAAAGTGGCCAAACATCCAACTCACTCACTCAGCTTCTGACTGGCAATTTGATAGGAGAAGATGTTTACAGAGACAAAACTTCATTTTGAGTATATTTAAGAGCATGGTCAAAGAGCAAACATCAAATCACGGGCCCAAACTTTATTTTGACTATCAATCAAATGGTTTGAGAAATAAACTCTGTAAACCAACCTATTAAAGTGATATTTTAATTTCCTTTTTTCAATTTTTTAAATTGTTTCCTGTTCCTTTCATGCGGCAATGATGATATTATTAGAATATTCCTTTTCAGGGCCTTATAGGTGAATGCAGTGTGGCCCTAACTGCAGAAAATATGCCGACACTCACCTGCTGTGAAGTAGATGATCCCAGGGTAGGCGTCGGCCAGTGCCTGGGCCTTCATCGCCTGTCTCACTGTCAGCGCCTTCACCACGATCTTCTCTACCCCTGGAACACAATGTCCATCTGGTCAACACAGCACACAAGAGAGTAGGATTGAGTAGACATGTAACTATCTTTGATGGAGAAGACAAACAAGTGACAATCTTTGATGGAGAAGACAAACAAGTGACAATCTTTGATGGAGTAGACAAACAAGCGACAATCTTTGATGGAGTAGACAAACAAGTGACAATCTTTGATGGAGTAGACAAACAAGCGACAATCTTTGATGGAGTAGACAAACAAGCGACAATCTTTGATGGAGTAGACAAACAAGTGACAATCTTTGATGGAGTAGACAAACAAGCGACAATCTTTGATGGAGTAGACAAACAAGTGACAATCTTTGATGGAGTAGACAAACAAGTGACAATCTTTGATGGAGTAGACAAACAAGCGACAATCTTTGATGGAGTAGACAAACAAGTGACAATCTTTGATGGAGTAGACAAACAAGCGACAATCTTTGATGGAGTAGACAAACAAGTGACAATCTTTGATGGAGTAGACAAACAAGTGACAATCTTTGATGGAGTAGACAAACAAGTGACAATCTTTGATAGAGTAGACAAATAATAAAACCACAAAAATCAAACATCAAAGTTAACTTTGTTAACCTACCAATGGTAATTGGTGAGCAAAACTTCCCTCACCCATCAAAAATACAAACAACTGTTGCCTTATGATTAACCATCAGTACAACATGCTTTTTTTCATTAAACATTGTATTCATTATACCAAAATCTGAAATATTTCGATTTCTGATTATGTTGTTACCATAGTAACAAGATAAATGATAAATGTAAAGCATTGATATTATTTAACATGATAGAGTGTCGATGTTATTTAACACATAAGAGTGTTCATGTTATTTAACATATCATAACATATGTTATTTAACGTATGAGAGTGTCCATGTTATTCAACATATAAGTGTGTACATGTCATTCAACATATAAGAGTGTTCATGTTATTTTACATATCAGAGTGTCCATGTTATTTAACATATAAGTGTGTACATGTTATTTAACATATAAGAGTGTTCATGTCATTCAACATATAAGAGTGTCCATGTTATTTAACATATAAGAGTGTCCATGTTATTTAACGTATAAGAGTGTCCATGTTATTTAACGTATAAGTGTGTTCATGTTATTCAACATATAAGTGTGTACATGTTATTTAACATATAAGTGTGTTCATGTTATTCAATGTATGAGAGTGTCCATGTTATTTAACATATAAGAGTATCCATGTTATTCAACATATAAGAGTGTCCATGTTATTTAACGTATAAGAGTGTCCATGTTATTCAATGTATGAGAGTGTCCATGTTATTTAACATTTAAGAGTATCCATGTTATTCAACATATAAGAGTGTCCATGTTATTTAACGTATAAGAGTGTCCATGTTATTCAACATATAAGTGTGTACATGTTATTTAACATATAAGTATGTACATGTTATTTAACATATAAGAGTGTTCATGTCATTTAACATATAAGAGTGTCCATGTTATTTAACATATAAGTGTGTACATCTTATTTAACATATAAGAGTGTTCATGTTATTCAACATATAAGAGTGTCCATGTCATTTAACATATAAGAGTGTTCATGTTATTGAACATATAAGAGTGTCCATGTTATTTAACATATAAGTGTGTACATCTTATTTAACATATAAGAGTGTTCATGTTATTCAACATATAAGAGTGTCCATGTCATTTAACATATAAGAGTGTCCATGTTATTTAACATATAAGTGTGTACATCTTATTTAACATATAAGAGTGTTCATGTTATTCAACATATAAGAGTGTCCATGTCATTTAACATATAAGAGTGTTCATGTTATTTAACATATAAGAGTGTCCATGTTATTCAACATATAAGAGTGTTCATGTTATTCAACATATAAGAGTGTCCATGTTATTTAACGTATGAGAGTGTCCATGTTATTCAACATATAAGAGTATCCATGTTATTTAACATATAAGAGTGTACATGTCATTTAACATATAAGAGTGTACATGTTATTTAACATATAAGAGTGTTCATGTTATTCAACATATAAGAGTGTCCATGTTATTAAACGTATGAGATTGTTCATGTTATTCAACATATAAGAGTGTCCATGTTATTTAACATATAAGAGTGTTCATGTCATTTAACATATAAGAGTGTCCATGTTATTTAACATATAAGAGTGTCCATGTTATTTAACATATAAGAGTGTTCATGTTATTTAACATATAAGTGTGTACATGTCATTTAACATATAAGAGTGTTCATGTCATTTAACATATAAGAGTGTTCATGTCATTTAACATATAAGAGTGTCCATGTTATTTAACATATAAGAGTGTCCATGTTATTTAACATATAAGAGTGTTCATGTTATTTAACATATAAGAGTGTTCATGTCATTTAACATATAAGAGTGTCCATGTTATTTAACATATAAGTGTGTTCATGTTATTTAACATATAAGAGTGTTCATGTCATTTAACATATAAGAGTGTCCATGTTATTTAACGTATAAGAGTGTTCATGTTATTTAACATATAAGAGTGTTCATGTTATTTAACATATAAGAGTGTCCATGTTATTTAACATATAAGAGTGTCCATGTTATTTAACATATAAGTGTGTACATGTCATTCAACATATAAGAGTGTTCATGTTATTTAACATATAAGAGTGTCCATGTTATTTAAAATATAAGAGTGTTCATGTTATTTAACATATAAGAGTGTTCATGTTATTTAACATATAAGAGTGTTCATGTTATTTAACATATAAGTATGTACATGTTATTTAACATATAAGAGTGTTCATGTTATTCAACATATAAGAGTGTCCATGTTATTTAACATATAAGAGTGTTCATGTTATTTAACATATAAGTGTGTACATGTCATTTAACATATAAGAGTGTTCATGTCATTTAACATATAAGAGTGTCCATGTTATTTAACGTATAAGAGTGTTCATGTTATTTAACATATAAGAGTGTTCATGTTATTTAACATATAAGAGTGTTCATGTTATTCAACATATAAGAGTGTCCATGTTATTAAACGTATGAGATTGTTCATGTTATTCAACATATAAGAGTGTCCATGTTATTTAACATATAAGAGTGTTCATGTCATTTAACATATAAGAGTGTCCATGTTATTTAACATATAAGAGTGTCCATGTTATTTAACATATAAGAGTGTTCATGTTATTTAACATATAAGTGTGTACATGTCATTTAACATATGAGAGTGTTCATGTCATTTAACATATAAGAGTGTTCATGTCATTTAACATATAAGAGTGTCCATGTTATTTAACATATAAGAGTGTCCATGTTATTTAACATATAAGAGTGTTCATGTTATTTAACATATAAGAGTGTTCATGTCATTTAACATATAAGAGTGTCCATGTTATTTAACATATAAGTGTGTTCATGTTATTTAACATATAAGAGTGTTCATGTCATTTAACATATAAGAGTGTCCATGTTATTTAACGTATAAGAGTGTTCATGTTATTTAACATATAAGAGTGTTCATGTTATTTAACATATAAGAGTGTCCATGTTATTTAACATATAAGAGTGTCCATGTTATTTAACATATAAGTGTGTACATGTCATTCAACATATAAGAGTGTTCATGTTATTTAACATATAAGAGTGTCCATGTTATTTAAAATATAAGAGTGTTCATGTTATTTAACATATAAGAGTGTCCATGTTATTTAAAATATAAGAGTGTTCATGTTATTTAACATATAAGAGTGTCCATGTTATTTAACATATAAGAGTGTTCATGTTATTTAACATATAAGTGTGTACATGTCATTTAACATATAAGTATGTACATGTTATTTAACGTATAAGAGTGTCCATGTTATTTAACATATAAGAGTGTTCATGTTATTTAACATATAAGAGAGTCCATGTTATTTTACATATAAGAGAGTCCATGTGATTGAACATATAAGAGTGTCCATGTTATTTAACATATAAGAGTGTCCATGTTATTTAACATATAAGTGTGTACATGTTATTTAACATATAAGAGTGTCCATGTTATTCAACATATAAGTGTGTACATGTTATTCAACATATAAGAGTGTTCATGTCATTTAACATATAAGAGTGTCCATGTCATTTAACATATAAGAGTGTTCATGTCATTTAACATATAAGAGTGTCCATGTTATTTAACATATAAGAGTGTTCATGTTATTTAACATATAAGAGTGTTCATGTCATTTAACATATAAGAGTGTCCATGTTATTTAACATATAAGAGTGTTCATGTCATTTAACATATAAGAGTGTCCATGTTATTTAACATATAAGAGTGTCCATGTTATTTAACGTATGAGAGTGTCCATGTTATTCAACATATAAGTGTGTACATGTCATTCAACATATAAGAGTGTTCATGTCATTTAACATATAAGAGTGTCCATGTTATTCAACATATTAGAGTGTTCGTGTTATTTAACCTACATACCAGATAGGAAAGCTCTGTTGATGACCTCATCGACATCTTTCTTTGCTGTGAAATTCTGATCTGTGAGATAAGCACCAGCATCAGTCATGTGATACAGCAACTTCATCTCCGCCTTTGCCATTCTCTCCACAGACTCGGAATACTGGGAGCCACAAAACATGACCCCTTCCTCATTCTTTTTCCATCTTGACAAGATAGCTTTGTGCATCGTCTCTGGCTTCTTGACTGATAACATCTTTCCTTTCAGAAGCCTGAAGAATTTTGAGATAAGATAGTTCTAGCAGCCATTCATGCTTATGTGAAATCACATCCGTCATCAGCTTATCACAAGCCCTAAACAGTTTGTTATAAGCAAATAAAATATGACAAATGAAACATAACAAAAACATCTTGGTTAAATATTAAATAAATAATTTTTAAATTACTGGAGAATTTTTTGGTGAGGGAGTGTTGAAAGTCTCAGATTACAGTGTCAGACTGTCAACACTTTGTTGAGCATGTAGCCTTAAAGAGAACCCTTCTTGTTTCTTGGTTTACACAAGTAGATGGGAAAAACTGAAGTAAAAGTACTGTCCAGAATATCTGAATATGTTGCCATGTAAACAGTTATAGTTCTGCTTGCCTTCAGTGTTGCAGTTCAAACAATTATATACATATTTCGTGTTGAACATTCAGAAGAATACCGCATTCGACGTAATAAGCGCCCATGGCGCTCTCGAAATTAGAAACAGGGGGCTCTTATTAGAATAAAATTTTGGTGAAAAAAAACAGAGTTCAAAGATCGTAAATTTCGTGGTTTATGCTGACAGCCTGTAATGATACAAACGAAAAGTCTGTGTGTATTATACACGACAGATATATTTTCCAGAATTTTATTGCCCATAATTTAGGGTGCATATAACACACGAGTGGGTATCATACACAATTAAATAAGTCTTGTGTACATTGATCAATCGGAAGGGGTGCTTATTGGGATTGTTCACTAGCCAACATATGAACAAATATCACCGTGGGCGCTTATTAGAGCGGGGCACTTATTACGTCGAATACGGTAAATACAAAAAAATACTTTTTCAGATTTCACCCCTACTTTACATTATGTAAGAATCAGTGTAATATGTAAATTAATGGCAAAAAAGAGAATAACCCTTAGTGGGAAGTGCTGTGACATCCCCTTACATGCCATCCATCTGTAACACCTCTTTTATGAGGGTCTTGGGCACCAGCACCTCTGCACACTCCATGGACCTGCCCTGCCTGTCCACATGTATGTGCACCTGAAGGCTGGGGTCCAGACACATGCAGCCCTTCAGGTACTGGGCGCTCACTGACTTGTCAACATTCACTGTGGTCAGAAGAACATACACAGTCCCCAACAGTCATCATACAAGGATTAATCATATCATACAGTCCCAAGCAGTCATCATACAAGGATTAATCATATCATACAGTCCCAAGCAGTCATCATACAAGGATTAATCATATCATACAGTCATCACACAGTCATCATACAAGGATTAATCACTAAAGCAGAGCTCCAGATAACTTTTTGAGCAATTGAGTTTTTACTCTAGGGTTTCTATTTTAATTGGGTTATTACATTTTTCATTGGGTAACCAATATTTTTTCACTCATATATTCATCACTCTATTGGGTTTTTCCCCAAATTAGTGAACATTTTAAGATTTTACAAAATAATTAACTGTTCTTAATAAATAGGCTTGACTCGGAAAGTAAATTAGCTCGTATTTGTGTTACGGAAATTAGCTCCTTTGTACCATACTGAAAAAAGCTTCATTGGGTATTTACGCGTGCTGTTTTCATACATTTGAGTTTTTCATTTAATGCATGTGTTTCTGTACGCAAGTTAATTGAAAGTAATTGGGTTTTGAATATTTTGGGGGGGTATTTTACGCAAATACGCTGCTTATCCATAGCTCTGCTAAAGTAATATATCATGTGTAATCACAATGATTCATTGTTCATATGCAGCTTCTGAGTCTGTGATGGGATTCAAACCAGACCTTGTAAAACCAAGGAAGGACACCTGTCCACATGACCAAAGAGTGAGTGAGTGAGTGAGTTTGGTATAACGCTGCTCTTAACAGTATTACAGTTATATCGCAGCGTGTCAGCTTAATGTGGGAGAAAAGCCCGAAGTGATGCAGGTCTCAGACATTTACCACTTCGGTGAAACCCACGAGCACGGGTATGGTGCTGACAAACCTAGAAACATAATCGGGGCAAACCAGGATTCGAACCCACAATCATAGGTTTCTGGCGTGCACAAGGGACACAACTCTGCACAGCGAATCACGGCGCCTTAGACTGCTGGGCCACCCATGCCCCATGACCAAAGAAATCAACCCCGTCAGAATGCTGAGAAGGTGAGGACATCATCTGTGGGGCTGCTCCCTCTCCTGCTTCCTATTTACCTACCCTTCGGTACACATGGTACAGGTGTCAGGTATTTGATACATAGGTGATACAATGACAAAAAGAATTTTGTAATGTTATTGTATAGAGCCCTTCACATTTGACCATAAAGCAAAGAGTGAGTGAGTGTGTTGGGTTTAACGCTGATTTTAACAGTATTCCAGTTATATTGCGGCGTGTCAGCTTAATGTGGGAGGGAAGCCTGAAGTGATGCAGGTCTCGGACGTTTACCACTTCGGTGAAACCCACGTGCACGGGTATGGTGCTGACAAACCAAGAAACATAATCGGGCGAACTGGGATTCGAACCCAAAATCATAGGTTTCCAGCGTGCCCAAGGGACACAACTCTGTACAGCAAACCGCGGCGCCTCAGACAACTGGGCCACCCCTGACCCCCATAATGCAAAAAGGTGAGGTGAAATTGGGTTTAACATTGTGTCCAAGATTATTGCACTTATATAGTGACGTGCATGCACGTTTGTGCGTGGCTGCTTGTACTAGTCCGGACTGATGCCGATTTATAGTGCTGACACAGTATACTGACTCCGAGCCGAGCAGTCCTTGTTTTAGCCCCTTAATGCCGAGCACCAGACAGGGTAACAACAAGTACCATCTTTTAACATCTTTTGGTATGACGCGGCCGGGGATCGAAACCCCGGACATTCCGCTCTCAGGGCGGACGCTCTACTACTAGACCAGGTAGGCAGACCATAATGCAAAGAAAATTAATTTACGTGAATAACTTGCTATAACAGATGCCTCACTTTCGTTATTATCAGAGGAGAATGTTTATAGACAGGCATGATGACATTGCTAAATCTGTAAGGCCATTACAAACTTGGATAACTTACTGATAAAAAACTTCTGATGAGAGCTGAAAGCGTCTGCTGTTGAGGACGTCAGTCCATCACTCATGGTATCCGTCATTATGAGATGAAACAAATTGCTGAGGACAGTCGTGTACTTTGTCATCAGCCAGTGATGCTGGAGTGACAAGTCTTGACTGTCAGTCACATTTCACTTCCGCATTCTTGATCGAGACGACAGTTACCTGAGTAAATTATCCGTAAAAAAACAACAACAATGAAATCTTCCTATTCACGATAACACCTCTCTTCAAAATGTGCAATTCCGTACAATCTTTATAACGTGTCACGTCACTCAACACTTCAAAAACCAAAGTCGCAAACAGTATCCAGGTGAGAAATATTTGTTTAGAGAAACCAAGGGCAGGTAACTCTAATAATACGTCACATGTACGGCGCTTCTTGTGATGTAAAATTCTTATTTTTTGAGGGGTTACGTCAATCGAAATTGTTTGATATTACTATGAATATGTCATTCACACTGTTTCATTATTAAACTGTCGACATATTCATATGATCGGAAGAATCTTCATTTCAGGGGCGACAACTCTGTCAGTACTTGTGGACCCGGAAGCGATCGACGGATTGCACAATTTATTGAAAATCATATATATGTAGTCGTCGAAGCTGGAGCCTCGTGTATTGAATGCACTGATTGAAGATTGAAGAGTTGTTTCAGAAGGCAATGGATAACGAAGAAAGCTCATCATCGTCATCAGCTGTGAAGCAAGTCGTGCGTAAAACACTTATCATTGGTAGGTTAATTGGACGTTCATACATCATACGAGGTTTATTGTAAATATAAGAGAAAAATAAAAGTAACAGTAGTAACTAGATAATATTTAAAAGTTACGGTTTGTTAATACCTCACTACAAACCTGGATTTAGATTGAATAATTACCCCAGACACAATAAATGCCAAATGGGAACCTTTGTCAGGTAATCTGAGTGGTGCTACAACTAATTATATCTGTAATAAATTCATTAACTGAGCATCAAATGAATGACGACAAATACACAAGTGTAGGGTTATACCAGAAAACGTGGATGACAACAAGGGAGTAGTAATCGTATTATCGACGCAATCCGAAATCCGAAAATGCTTTTACTGCATGGATGCTTTTTTATGATTGAACTATAACCATCTGGGGTATTTCCAAATGACGACATCCGATGAGCTCCGCCGTTCTTTCGTCTGTTTGTTTAGGCTGAAGAAATTAATTAACATGCGTCCTTTTTTTAAATCTTTATAGATCACTGTTAACCAATCAGTTGCGTAAAACAAATATTGTCTCCAGTTTATTTAGCTGTCCTTGCAGCATGCAGACGGTAGCCCAGTCTCTGGTCACGCTCAGTTGCGTTGCGTATCATCAGTGCCCCTTTAATGAATGTTCACAATTCGATGTTGATGGTGTAGAATTTTCGATCATTAAATTATATAACTATTTCCAGCATGTCAGGACATGTTGGTGTGGTATGATTTAGTCTGGCCATGGCCTGTGAAATATGTCCCCACTAAATAAAGAGTGAGTGAGTATGTTTTGGTGCCTCTTGAAGCAAAAGTCCAGCCAAAGACGTGTATAGACGTCCGTGGTCCAGCCATATCTTGATGGGACACCAATAAGGGGCTTCACATATTTTAGAAACTTCATAATGAAATTGAAAAAGAACAAAACTTATTGTAATAGTACATTTTGAGTTTTTACAATTACAATACTCGTAAAATATGACATCACTATATATAATTAGGGTTACATGTTATGAAAACCAACATCATACAAACGTCTCAAACGTAACTCAGTGTCACTTGGTTAATTGACTTCTCACGAATCAAAGGATTACCACCAGCGGAAGTGTATTGTCCGGATAAGTGAGACAATTTTGTGTGCATTTCAGTGTTTTGTGTATGAAAATGACCGTCCGGTTCCGGAAACTGAATTTCCGGATATACGGGTAAATTGATATAGTAATTATTTCGTTTTGAATGAAAATCATCCGGGAACCGAGGTTTCCGGGTATCTGAAGTCCGTATAAGCGGGGCATGACTGTACTGTTATTATCAAATCAGGTTTCACACAAGAGAAGCTAATTTCCCAACTGTTATTGCAATGTTACCATATTGTTACCATATTGCTATTATCACATCACCATATTGTTATTACCATATTGTTACCATATTGCTATGAAATCATGCCTCTCACAAGAGAAACTTATTTGTAATATTGTCTCATTATTTTTGCTGTTACATGCGAATGATGTTGGTCATTTGAAGAAAATACAATGACATTGATTCAAGTTTGTCCTGGAAATAAAAGAACATACTAAAGAAGGGGTTTGTGTTTTTTCGGATACACTTAAACATTTTGAATGAAGATGGGAGCCATTAATCACCTGATATGGTGAAGATTTATACTATGCCCAAGGATATGAACGATGAAATCAGGATTAGAGTGAGTGTGTGAGTGAGTTGGGTTTAACGCCGCTTTTAACAGTATTCCAGTTATAATGCGGCGTGTCAGCTTAATGTGGGAGGAAAGCCCGAAGTGATGCAGGTCTCAGACATTTACCACTTCGGTGAAACCCATGAGCACGGGTATGGTGCTGACAAACCTAGAACATAATCGGGGCGAACCTGGATTCGAACCCACAATCATAGGTTTCTGGCGTGCCCAAGGGACGCAACTCTGCACAGCGAATCGTGGCGCCTTAGACGACTGGGCTACCCATGCCCCCATCAGGTTTAGAATTGCTCCCTAGAACCTATGCTCTAGTCCATATCAGATCACCAACAGCTGAAATATTGCTGAGTTCACCAAAGACAAATAAGCCACTTAAGTACTCTCAGGAAATCACAATTCATATGGGCTTATCTTTGTTGTAGAGAACATCGGCATGGCAACAACAGCTGATGATTTGACTCGCTGCTTTGCCCCGGCACTACAGAAGTGTGGTAAGGACCGCCCCGTTATACAACTAGCTATTGACAAGAAGGGCCGGTCCCTGGGGTACGCAACCGTCACAGTCCCCCTCAGCACGGTGGAGCTGTTCCTGGACTTCAACGATAGGTGAGTTAGTGAGTGAGTGAGTAGCTTCATCAGTTGAAGAAGGAGTGAGTGGGTAGGTCAGTGAGTGAGTGGGTAGGTTGATGGGTGAGTGATTGTGTAGTTTGATGGGTAAGTGAGTGGGTAAAGGTCAGTGGGTGAGTGAGTGGGTGAGTAAGTGGGTAGGTCAATGGGTGAATCAGTGTGTAGGTCAATGGGTGAGTGAGTGGGTAGGTCAATGGGTGAGTGAGTGGGTAGGTCAGTGGGTGAGTGAGTGGGTAGTTTGATGGGTGAGTGAGTGGGTAGGTCAGTGGGTGAGTGAGTGGGTAGGTCAATGGGTGAGTGAGTGGGTAGGTCAGTAGGTGAGTGAGTGGGTAGGTCAGTGGGTGAGTGAGTGGGTAGGTCATTGGGTAAGTGTGTGGGTAGGTCAGTGGGTGAGTGAGTGGGTAGGTCAGTGGGTGAGTGAGTTGGTAGTTTGATGGGTGAGTGAGTGGGAAGGTCAGTGGGTAGGTCAGTGGGTGAGTGAGTTGGTAGTTTGATGGGTGAGTGATTTTGAATGTTCATAGGTGAGTGTGTAGGGTAGGTCAGTGGGTGAGTGAGTGGGTCGGTCAGTGTGTGAATGATTGAGTGAGTGGGTAGTTGATTGGTGAGTCAGGGAGTAGGTCAACAAGTAAATAAGAGGGTGGATGGCTTCATAGAAGGATGAGTTAGTGAGTGACCTGTGGCCTTTAATAAAATAAAGACTTGAATGGAGTGATATTCTAGTGTCACTTGAGTAAAAGAAATTGTGTCAATCACTTGAGGCTATCCAAGTTGCCGAACTTGTTTCAAGTAATAAAGAGTATTTCAAATTATTTAACAGGCTTTTAGCAATATTGCAAGGGGGCTATCACAGGACATAGGCTATATGTAATACAGGGGAACCCAGACTAGCCAGCACACCCACAGCACTACCAAACATTCCTCAAGTACATTGTGACCGCCTCCGTGGTCTAGTGGTAGAGCGTCCGCCCGGAGAGCGGAAGGTCTGGGGTTCGATCCCCGGCCGCGTCATACCAAAAGACGTTAAAAGATGGTACTTGTTGTTACCCTGTCTGGCGCTCGGCATTAAGGTGCTTAAACAAGGACTGGTCGGCTCGGAGTCAGTATACTGTGTCTGAGTGGGGTATTCATGTTAAACCGCGGCATGGTATCTCAGTGTGCTAGCACTATAAATCGGCATCACTCCGGACTAGTACAAGCAGCCACACAAACACACACACGTACATGCACGTCGCTATATAAGTGCAATAATCTTGGACGCGAGGTTAAACCTCATTTCACCTCACCTCACCTCAAGTACAGTGTTATAGAACTGTAGGTACATCAACAACGACAAGGTCCGAGTGATGATGGGTGATAAGCGGGTTGGCACTTGGCAGTCACAGGGGAATGGCGTGTTCATGTCGTCACCGGCGAGAAGGTCGACAGCCGACACCGTCACCTGCAACACCACCTTCGTCCACAGCCTCATCGATGGTGGAATGTATCTGAGACACAAGAAGTTTAAGGTTCCCGATCATGTTATTGCAGCAGCGCTCACAGACGGTAAGCTGAGTCTACTGGGAGATCTCAAAGTCTCTTATTTGCATGTACCGTATTCAATGTAATAAGCGCCCAGGGTGCTCTCAAAATTAGAAATAGGGGGCTCCTATTAGAATATTATTTTGGTGAAAAAACCGATGAGGACATTTCGAGGCATTGATTGCTAAGAATACGTTCAGTGACACTTCACTGTCATGAAGACACCTTGGATGCAGAAGAATTCTATGACATCTCGAGGCATTAATTGCCAAGATTATATTGAGTGGCACTTGATTGTCATGACGACACCCCTGAGACAGAAGAATTCGATGAGGACATTTCGAGGCATTGATCGCTAAGAATACGTTCAGTGGCACTTCACTGTCACGAAGACACCCTTGGTTTAGTGGTTTATGCTGACAGCCTGAAATGTTTATATACGACAGATATATTTTTCCAGAATTTAATTGCCCATAATCTAGGGTGCATATAACACACGAGTGCGTATTATACGCGAATAAATAAGTCTCGTGTACATTGATCAATCCGAAGGGGTGCTAATTGGGATTGTTCACTAGCCAACACATTAGCAAATATCGCTGTGGGCGCATATTAGAGCGGGGCGCTTATTACGTCGAATACGGTAATTGAAAATAGCATAATTAGCATTCAGTTACACAAGTCATAGTACTAACATGATGTTGAGGAAAGTTGCTTACTATTGTACTACCTCCTAAACAGGTCATTGATGTGTTCTATAAGGTGTGCCAGAAACCTATGGTCATGGGTTCGAATCCTAGGTTTGTCTGCACCATACCTGTGCTTATAGGTTTCACCAAAGTGATCAACGTCAGCATCACTTCAGGCTTTCCTCCCACACTAAGCAGACACGCTGTGATATAGAACAACTTAAATGCTGTTAAAAGCTGTGTTGAACCAATTGCATAGTGGTGTATGTTATATCATTACGTAAATATTACCACTTTCTAAGCAAAGTGGGGCATGGGTGGCCCAGTCGTCTAAGGCACCACGATTCGCTGTGCAGTTTTGCATCCCTTGCGTCCCCCCAGAAACCTATGATTGTGGGTTCGAATCCCGGTTCATCCCAATTATGTTTCTAGGTTTGTCAGCACCATACCCGTGCTCGTGTGTTTCACCTAAGTGGTAAACGTCTGAGACCTGCATCACTTGGGGCTTTCTTTCCTCCCACATTAAGCTGACAAGCCGTGATATAACTGGAATAATCTTAAAAGCGGCGTTAAACCCAGCTCACTCACTCACTCACTCTACGCAAAGTCAATGTTGTTCATGGTGTATTCATATGTTGGCGTTATTCTTGTCAGGTACAGACAAACTGGTGTCCCTTGGAAAGTCTGTCTTTGAGAGCCAGGAGACCCTTAAACTCAGCCGACTATTCTCTGGGGCAGTCTATTGTACAGCAGGTAGGTCATATGTTACCAGGAACAGTCTACTGTATAACAGGTAGTTTATTTCTAACCAGGAACAGTCTACTGTACAGCAGGTATGTAAGTTCTAACCAGGAACAGTCTACTGCACAGCAGGTAGGTCAGTTCTAACCAGGAACTGTCTACTGTACAGCAGGTAGGTCATATCTAACCAGGAACAGTCTACTGTACAGCAGGTAGTTTAGTTCTAACCAGGAACAGTCTACTGTACAGCAGGTAGGTCAGTTCTAACTAGGAACAGTCTACTGTACAGCAGGTAGGTCATATCTAACCAGGAACAGTCTACTGTATAACAGGTAGTTTATTTCTAACCAGGAACAGTCTACTGTATAACAGGTAGGTCAGTTCTAACCAGGAACAGTCTACTGTATAACAGGTAGTTTATTTCTAACCAGGAACAGTCTACTCTACAGCATGTAGTTCAGTTCTAACCAGGAACATCATCATTGTAGGTGAATGACACCATTGTCAGGAAATGATTGGACCGCTGTTACAGGTTTTCGTTGTTATCTGCCTTGAATATACAACAATATATACCATAGCTACACGATAAATTGCAAACAATGAAGAACGAAGTGTGGTTTATTTCATGATAAAACATTGATCTATCATGATGTCGTTTCTGGAGATTCGAATATGCGCTCACAACTTGATGATGTTATGCATTGGACGACATAGTTTTGAGATGGAAGGGTCTAGAGAGATGTTTGCCATAGATTTAGCTGGGGTACGCATGTATAAACGAGATGGCCGAACAATCGCATACACAAGTGAGAGAGATGTGACGGCATTTTGGAGAAAAGGTACAGATAATCAACGTGTGGACTGTGAGAATAGGCGGGATATACCAAACCTTACCCATCTGTTTATAGACTGGACTGAGGTTGGATTCTATTCAGGGAGTCATCATTAGAATTAAGGTCACTATTTTGAAAGCTTGTACATTAGATTAACATCCTTAAGGAGGCTGTACATAATGTTGATATCTCATAGAAACAATATATGACTTGTGATCATTATTATCGTATAATCAAACACTGCAGGGAGAATAAAGGGCGCATGGGTTTACTGTCCCTGCAGTGTTTTATTTACGATAAACAACTCCCACTCGCCGTATATTTCTTAAATATATGATGGTGAGAGACAGGTCGCTGACCCAGCCATGCACCTGTCCTTGGTGTTGCAGGTGTCAGCCCACGGAACGCTGTGTTCTGGACCGATGAAACCTCACACCAACTGGAGGAGATCACCAAGAGCCCTGGCTGCGTTGCCATTGGTCAGTGCGGGTATGACCTGAGTACAGACAAGCTGGTGGACACAGCTGTACCCCAGCTGCAGGCGTTTGAAGCACAGGTAACAACTGCAGCATTCAGAGACCACTTTGGGTGTCCTGGTCATGTTCATAGACATCTTCCCGAGGCAAGGGAGTTAACTGACAGCATAAGTCCAGTTTCCACCCTTGCCAAACTAGGCTGGAATTACGGAGTTATGTCTTGGCTTGACTAACGTGTCTATGCATAGTCCAATCAAAATCGCAGAACGAAATCGACATCCGGCTTTATTTCAGTAAATTGCATGATTGTGCTGACAATCAAGGTTCTCATGTGATTTGATGCATTTCATGTTGTAAGACCCGTTTTATTACATTATAGATCTTGATTATCTATTGGATCGTCTTTACTGGGCAATATGAGAAGTGGAATCTGATTGGTCAATAGGAGGGACATAGAAGGGACACGCTAGGATCGAGCCCAGAAATTCCAGCCCAATTCGGCAAGAGTTGAAACTAGACTTTCACAGTCAGTTAACTCCCTTGCCTCGGGCAGATGGTTCATAGACTGTTGTTGAGAGAGCTGAATTAGGATCGTGAGGCAGCATGTGTGACCTGTCTGATTGCGTCTGTCACACCTTGATAGTGTAGCAGGGCGTGGAATCATCCCACAGATGACATCCTTACCTTGTCAGCTTGCTGACGGGGTTAACCTCTTTGGTCATGTGGATAAGGCGCCCGACCTCGGTCAGAAGGTCCGCGGTTCGAAACCCATTTTATGGCCGCAACATTGGCGCTCAACGTGGGGCTGAGCACGTTCATATTAGATTTGAGCAAATAAGCCTCAGTACCCTACTATGCGGCCCGGGACGTGCCTTCTGTCGACGGGGGAGCATGTAGCAGGGTGTGGAGTCATCCCACAGATGGCCGCAACAATATCATAGAATGCTGCTCATACTATCAATCACCAGTTATCCTCGCCCAGATTCATTGTTCACAGACTGCTTGGACATGGCTGAAATATTGCTAGCTGAGGCATTAAACAAGTTCACTCACTGAGAGATGTTCTGTGAATGTCTGCAAGAGCTCATACAATGATATGTTAGTTTGCATGATACAAAATATTTTTTGATAATACCAGTTCATGTTTTCATGATGGGCATGTCTGGATGTGTGCTACAAGTTGCCTCCCTTGTTTGAATTTGTAAATGTTAGTTACTTCCCTTGTGTTACTACTATTTCATACCAAGCATGAGTGAGTGAGTGAGTGAGTTGGGTTTAACTCAGCTTTTAACGGTATTACAGTTATATCGCAACATGTCAGCTTAATGTGGGAGGAAAGCTGAAGTGATGCAGGTCTCAGACGTTTATCACCTTGGTGAAACCCACAAGCACGGGTATGGTGCTGACAAACCTAGAAACATAATCGGGGCGAACCGGGATTCGAACCCACAATCATAGGCTTCTGGCGTGCCCAAGTGACGCAACTCTGCACAACGAATCGCGGCGCCTTAGACGACTGGGCCACCGGTGCTCCCACCAAGCATGACACAAGCTCAACAGCTCCAATATTGTATTTGTTAAACATTACGAAGTTGCCTTCTCCTACAGCAGATGTAAGCCATTAGTGTAAATTTTGCAGGCATCAGGTATACTGAAAGCCTTGAAAACATGCCATGAGATTTAAATTCCAAAAGTATGGCTAGCATCAACTTTGGGACTGATGGCAGTGTTTGTCAGCGAAATTGACCAGGCCGCAGGTGGCAGTGACGGCCTAACTGCTTCCATTCCCGTTACAAGCAGGGTGTGAACAACTGGAACATGACTTGAACTGTTGCACTTTGAAAAGAAAAGAAAAGATCTGAAACCTGAAATACATCGGATGACTTAGCAGTATATTGCATCTGCCGATCATGTTACTCACAACCGACAGTCTCTGTCGGAAGGTCAAGGTCAAAAAGATGGCGGCACTTGTCCTAGATAAACAAGGCGATTATCTGAACTTCATTTGGATTGACTTGATACACAAAGAGAGGTATGTGGAAAAAAGCAAGTGAGTGTTAAAAGACTTTGGCAAGGAGAAAAAACCTTTGTCAAAAGTATCTCCAGAGATGTCTCCTGGTACAAGGTGCTATACCAACTGTATCTACCATGTACAAGGTGCTATACCAACTGTATCTCTCATGTACCAGGTGCTTTACCAACTGTATCTACCATGTACCAGGTGCTATACCAACTGTATCTCTCATGTACCAGGTGCTATACCAACTGTATCTACCATGTACCAGGTGCTATACCAACTGTATCTATCATGTACCAGGTGCTATACCGACTGTATCTATCATGTACCAGGTGCTATACCAACTAATGTAACATGTACCAGGTACTATACCGACTGTGTCTACAATGTACCAGGTGCTATACCAACTGTATCTACACTGTGCCAGGTGCCATTGCAACTGTATCTATCATGTACCAGGTGCTATACCGACTGTATCTATCATGTACCAGGTGCTATACCGACTAATGTAACATGTACCAGGTACTATACTGACTGTATCTACAATGTACCAGGTGCTATACCGACTGTATCTAACATGTACCAGGTGCTATACCGACTGTATCTAACATGTACCAGGTACTATACCAACTGTATCTACCATGTACCAGGTGCTGTACCGACTGTATCTACCATGTACCAGGTACTATACCAACTGTATCTACCATGTACCAGGTGCTGTACCGACTGTATCTACCATGTACCAGGTACTTTACCGACTGTATCTAACATGTACCAGGTGCTATACCAACTGTATCTAACATGTACCAGGTGCAACACCAACTGTATCTACCATGTACCAGGTACTATACCAACTGTGTCTACCATGTACCAGGTGCTATACCGACTGTATCTATCCCCAGATTCAGCTGGCTATCCGGCTCAGCATGCCACTTGTTGTGTGTGAGAACAAGGCCAAGTCGGAGGTGATGGCGCTGCTCACCTCATACAAGGACAAGTTGCCTCGGGTCGCAATCCTTGCCACCCCAGCCAGCCAAGACGACATCACAGACTATCTGGATCATGGTTTTTACTTTTTCATAACTGGTCAGTTCTCACTTTGTCATCATACTGAACCTCTGATTGGTTAATCAGAGTCAAATATTCTTGTAAGAAAAATATGCATATTTAGATTCAAAGAAATGGAAACAAATTACCATTCACTATGTCCATAGCACATGAACTTAGAGTTGTAGGATACTCTGTTCGATGTGTATTGTTGTTCATTGCATGTGTGTTACTATTGGTCACATTAATGGCGTTAGGAATTTAACCTTTAGCCTGCTGAATTGTTTTCACACTTATTAGCCCTGCCTGCTTGATTAATTTTAGCATAAGGCGCTGTAAAGAGGGTGGGTGATTTCAAACAGTCGATGCTCCATTTAACAAGGGCCAATTAAAGACATATTATGCACATTTATTCCTGATAGAACGGTTAAGGCCAAAACGAGCACAAAATTTGTAAATTTTCATGATCTTGCCTGAATTCCGTTATTGAAGGTGGTTTACCTTGCATGTTAGGAACCTTTTTAAATCGTTAAATTTGTGCAAATTGATTTCAATAATCAGATCTCCGATATCTTAATTATAACTGAGAGTAAATTCGACAGTAGCAACACTGCTATTGAAACACTCTGTCGAACTGGTTCGACAGTAGCTTTGAGAGCTTTAAGTCTTCTCAGAAGTCAGTTCAATTGTACCTAATTTGTAAACAGTAATAGCCGATGTGTAAAAAGTAGGCTTCGCTGGCACAGAGATTAGTGATGTCATTAGAAGGTGGTCTGTGCAACCCAAGAGGGGGGTTTTAGGGGTTGCTTATATAGAATTTGGGAATTTTGTGATTTGTACAAACTAGGTATGAGCATGATATATATACATAACAATAGATAGATAAGAATTCAGCCAGCCATAAACAGAGATCAAGGATACTACATCCCTCCAGCTTACCATGATCTCATCAGCTCGCCAAAACAACACTGAACTATTATCTCCCCACTGGCTTCCCATACATTCCTTCTTAGTAATCCTTGTGTTAATCCCATACCCATCAATCACTGTACATCAACCCTATCTCTTGTATAAACTTGTTTATCACAACTACCTATCAATCAGTGTGCATCAACCTTATCTGTTATATAAACATCTATCTATTGTTATGTATATATATCATGCTCATACCTAGTTTGTACATCATTTGCTTGATAACAGTGTTAGAATCTACACCGAAACGTCGCCCAATTGTAATAAAGAAGTTGCTCATCCATAACAATTTTGTCTTAGTCATTGTTACGTCATCGGTTACCATGACATCACAATCTAATGACATCACTAATCTCTGTGCCACCGAAGCCTACTTTTTACACATCGGCTATTACTTACCGACTCCCTAAGTGGACTGCAAGCCCTCCAAAACAGAATACCAAAAACCGACCTAAATTAATAAATAAAATACTTAAAAGCTCCAACGACCTAACTAAGGCAGGCAAACAAATAACCTTCTTGTGGATACCCGCCCAAGTAGGAATATACGGTAATGAAAACACTGATAAAGTAGCTAAACTATCCCTCAAAATCCCAGAAATAAGCTTAAACCTACCCATCTCAAAATCGGAAATTAAAAGTGTAAACAAGCAAAAAATCACACAAAAATGGCATAACCTATATCTAAACTCAAAAAACCAAATCAAAAAAGTGCTCAGCAAACCACTAACCAAACCAAAAATTCTCCATCCATCAAAAACATTTGACAGAGTAATCACTAAACTCCAAACAGGGCACACCAACCTAAATAACCACCTAAAATTTTTAAAAAAAACCACTACAGGTAACTGCCCACACTGCAAACAACCAGAAACCCCAGAACACGCACTCATCCACTGCACACACTACCTAACACATCGAACCGCATTACAAACCATCCTCAATCTAAACAAGGCTCTCACTCTAGAAGCAATACTAAACCCACAAAATAAACTAGAAAACTTCAAGGCCTTAGGCGTATTCTTAATTAAAACGGAACTAATAAAACGCATCTAAAAACACAATAACCTACCAAATCAAAATCACATAAACAAACAAACATCCACCATACCCAGCTCCCTTAGTTCTCCTCCCCAACCCCATCGGCATCTATTCCAAATCTCAAAATTCCCAAATTCTATATAAGCAACCCCTAAACCCCCCTCTTGGGTTGCACAGACAACTTTCGCCCCTTTCGGAAACACATTAAATGGCCTGGCCGGGCCCGTGTGCGAAATACGCATCAGTCGGAAAGCGCACGTTAAATCTCCAAAGTAAGTAAGTACAGTAAACTACGGTTATAACGAACACGCTTATAACGAACTGACGGATATAACGAACTTACTTTTTGGTCCCGACTATTTGCTGTTGTTATACTGTATATATGCTTATAACGAACTACGGTTATAACGAACTAAAATTAGTAGTCCCTTTGAGTTCGTTATAACCGTACTTTACTGTAGTTTGTACATCATTTGCTTGATAACAGTGTTAGAATCTACACCGAAACGTCGCCCAATTGTAATAAAGAAGTTGCTCATCCATAACAATTTTGTCTTAGTTACCATTCCAACTTCTAAATGCCACTCAAAGAAGTTAGACATTTTGGGTGATATATAGTATAAATAATGCACACACTGTATGTAGATCCCAATCTTGTAGGTGACATGTGGAAGCCAGTTTCTGGTGATATATAGTATAAATAATGCACACACTGTATGTAGATCCCAATCTTGTAGGTGACATGTGGAAGCCAGTGTCAGGTGATAAATTGTATAAATAATGCACACATTGTATGAAGATCCCAATCTTGTAGGTAACATGTGGAAGCCAGTTTCTGGTGATATATAGCATAAATAATGCACACATTGTATGAAGATCCCAATCTTGTAGGTGACATGTGGAAGCCAGTTTCTGGTGATATATAGTTTAAATAATGCACACACTGTATGTAGATCCCAATCTTGTAGGTGACATGTGGAAGCCAGTTTTGGGTGATATATAGTATAAATAATGCACACACTGTATGTAGATCCCAATCTTGTAGGTGACATGTGGAAGCCAGTTTCGGGTGATAAATTGTATAAATAATGCACACACTGTATGTAGATCCCAATCTTGTAGGTGACATGTGGAAGCCAGTTTTGGGTGATAAATTGTATAAATAATGCACACACTGTATGAAGATCCCAATCTTGTAGGTGACATGTGGAAGCCAGTGTCGGGTGATATATAGTATAAATAATGCACACACTGTATGAAGATCCCAATTTTGTAGGTGACATGTGGAAGCCAGTTTGGGGTGATATATAGTATAAATAATGCACATACTGTATGGAGATCCCAATCTTGTAGGTGACATGTGGAAGCCAGTTTTGGGTGATATATAGTTTAAATAATGCACACACTGTATGAAGATCCCAATCTTGTAGGTGACATGTGGAAGCCAGTTTCGGGTGATATATAGTGTAAATAATGCACACACTGTATGTAGATCCCAATCTTGTAGGTGACATGTGGAAGCCAGGGTCAAGCAGCCCTGTCTGGAGTTGGCTCCTTGACTGTACGGCAGAGCAGCTGACCAGAGTGATATTGTCCAGCCAGATGCCTATGACGGGATGCCAGACAAGCCTGTCCTCCCTGGCTGAGGCCGTCGCTACAAAGACGGGGAAAGAACTAGAAGATGTGCGGAGAATCCTGAGAGACAACACCATGAGGTTTTATGGTCTGTCTGAAGTGGAATCACAGGGAGAAGAGAGTGGCATAGATATCGGGTGTAGCGTTGATCAAACAGTGAATGTGGAAACCAACTGGACCTATAGGATTCTGTTGTGGTTGGCTTTTGTTAGTGGACTGGCAGCGATGTACTTCTATGGCAACTGAGCAGGTCTTGTGTAACAGGTTCCAAGGCTGGTTCCATAGTGACCACTGAGCAGGTCTTGTGTAACATGTTCCAGTACAGTGGCCACTGAGCAGGTCTTGTGTTACATGTTCCAGTATAGTGACCACTGAGCAGGTCTTGTGTAACATGTTCCAAGGCTGGTTCCAGTATGGTGGCCACTGAGCAGGTCTTGTGTACAGGTTCCAGTAGGGTGCCACTGACCAGGTCTTGTGTACAGGTTCCAGTATGTTGGCCACTGAGCAGGTCTTGTGTACAGGTTCCAGTAGGGTGCCACTGTCCAGGTCTTGTGTACAGGTTCCAGTATGGTGGCCACTGACCAGGTCTTGTGTACAGGTTCCAGTATGGTGGCCACTGAGCAGGTCTTGTGTACAGGTTCCAGTATGGTGCCACTGAGCAAGTCTTGTGTACACGTTCCAGTATGGTGGCCACTGAGCAGTTCTTGTGTACAGGTTCCAGTATGGTGCCACTGAGCAGGTCTTGTGTACAGGTTCCAGTATGGTGGCCACTGAGCAGGTCTTGTGTACAGGTTCCAGTATGGTGCCACTGAGCAGGTCTTGTGTACAGGTTCCAATATGGTGCCACTGAGCGGGTCTTGTGTACAGCTTCCAGTATGGTGGCTACTGAGCGGGTCTTGTGTACAGGTTCCAGTATGGTGCCATGGAGCAGGTCTTGTGTACCAGGTTCAAAGGCTGGTTCCGGTGTGGTGGGCTTGGTGTGTGTGATTCCCGAAATCAGTTGACACTTTACAAAGAGACTTTAATAATTTGAGTACATTATCTTGATTCAATAAAGAAAAATAAACAGTAAATCTGGAACGTTTTGCGGCATGGCGAAAGGTGCTGCGAAAACTGCAAATGACACACATTCACAACAGATGCATGACACAGTTATTTTTGCAGACCAACAGACACTGTATAATGTCCACACACATGACAAAAGTCACTTGGGGTCCAAGTCTTGCTCCTAGCTCCTCGATGTGGACCGGTCTGCTTCCACATAAATATTAGCCTTTCGACAGTCGTAAAACTCAAGATCTGCACAGCATAGAAGGACAACAGAATTAGTTCCAATAACTTCCATCACAATATTTAAAAAAATTCTGTAAATCTACAATCAATGAGGCCCAAATTACCCTTTTCTGTATTATGCACAGTCAGCAGTATTCAATCAATGTCACTGCGGCCGTTAATTATCCAGTCTCGACCAGACAAATCAGTGTTTTCATAATTCCTTCTGTGGGGAAAATTAATTCTTCATTTTTCATTGCAGCAAAGATAATTTCCTGTTTTATTTCTGTACTGATGGATCTAACCAAGTAACATAAATATTTTCCATAAGTTGAATAAAGCAGATGAATTGCATGAAGCTACATACAAAAACGTTTCTTTGGCACATTTTCTCAAATAATGATGAGGATGATAACACTTGTTATATTATTTATTGAAAACAAAACCTATGAGAGGGCAACACGTTCTATTTTTCCCAACAAGAAAACCAACAAACACAAGTGGGACACATAGAACCCTCTCGATAATACAATGTTAGTTGTCAAGCATGTCAGTAAACAGATAACAGTGAGTGAGTGAGTAAGTTGGGGTTAACGCCGCTTTTAACAGTATTCCAGTTATATCACGGCGTGTCAGCTTAATGTGGGAGGAAAGCCCGAAGTAATGCAGGTCTCAGACGTTTACCACTTCGGTGAAACCCACGAGCACAGGTATGGTGCTGACAAACCTAGAAACATAATCGGGGCGAACCGAAACAGATAACAGAGTATGAATCATATGATGCCGGTAAAATATAGTTTTTGAGGGGATTTTTGGTGACGATCCGATGTTTTCTTTTGATTGTTTTTTTAACGCCGCCCTCAGCAATATTCCAGCTATATAACGGTGGTCTGTAAATAATCGAGTCTGGACCACAGAATCCAGTGATTGACATTATGAGCATCAATCTACGCAAATGGGATACGATGACATGCATCAACCAAGTCAGCAAGCCTGACTACCCAATCCTGTTAGTCGCCTCTTACACGTATCGTCGCCTTTTATGACAAGCATGGGTTGCTAAAAAACCTATTCTAACCGTGATCTTCACAGGTTGAAGGGGCGGTCGGGTAGCCTTGTGGTTAAAGCGTTCGCTCGTCACGCTGAAGACCCGGGTTCGATTCCCGACATGGGTACAATGTGTGAAGCCCATTTCTGGTGTCCCCTGCCATGATATTGCTGGAATATTGCTAAAAACGGTGTAAACCTATATTCACTCACTCACTCACAGTTTGAAATTATGTACAGGTGTAAACAGATTCAATGTCATTTGCTTAAACATGATCACAATTCCAAAACAGGACTTTGGCTAGCACCGATGATCATCAACATCGTGATTAACAGACACACCCAGGAAAAGATATCTGTAAACACACACTGGGAAACATTCGTAGGTATGATAAACCGAAAATACCCGGACACTAGTTTGTTGGCGAGTTGCCCAGTTTGACTGGCGTCAGAACATTGCGCAGGTGCTGGTCACGTCATGGATCACGTGACTCGACGTCTCGCGTCTGCCTCATCAGTGGTCATAAACCTGACTCGGATGCTGGACCTGTGGCGTTCCAGATAATACTGACCACCTCCACACGTAATCCCGAGATTTTTTATTCCCCGCCCCTTGGGGTATATATTGTGGATAACATATCGTGAATGTAGCCCAACTCAGAGAATGTTGCCGTACATGCACACAATAATCACAACAATCCGCAACACGATGTGAGTAGTCGTTATGTCCGCCGTCGTTGAGGGCTCGAAGTGTTGAGGACCGTTGCAATAGCTCTGTTGACACAGCGTCAAACACACGATCAGCCCCATGTTGACGGCGCACGTGGTCTGGTTGGTGGGACTGAGGCCGGAGAACAACTTGATGTCCGTGTAGGAAAAGATGTAGCCGTTGCTGCATCCGCGGATAATAGTCTTCAATTCACCTGCAAATATACCCACCATCTTAATAAACCCAGTCGTCCGAATGTATCCCATCATATATTCTATATTCTGTATTAGCCCACTATAATTTCTTTTAAAATATACCCCGTTATCTACATACACCCCATCATCTGAATATACATTGTCATCTACATATACCCGTATCATCTAAATATACCCCATCATCTAAATATACCCGTATCATCTAAATATACCTCATCATCTGAATATACCCCATCATCTGAATATACCCATCATCTAGATATACCCCGTCATCTAAATATATACATGTACGTATCATCTAAATATACTCCATCATCTAAATATACCTCAACATCTAAATATGCCCCATCATCTAAATATACCCCGTCCTCTAACTATACCCCATCATCTGAATATACCCCATCATCTAAATAAAATACGTACCATCTAAATATACCCCTCATCTAATTATACCCCGCCATCTAAATATACCCTGTTGATCTAAATATACATCAACATCTAAATATATCCGTCATCTAGATATAGCCCGTCATCTAAATATATCTCAACATCTAAATATACCCCATCATCTAAATATATCCGAATCATCTGAATATACCCCATCATCTAAATATACCCCGTCATCTAAATATACCCCATCATCTAAGTATAACCTGTCATCTAAATATGCCCCATCAACTGAATATACCCCATTATCCGAATATACCCCATCATCTAAATATACCCCATCATCTAAATATACCCCGTCATCTAAATATACCCGTATTATCTAAATATACGCTATCATCTAAATATACCCGTATCATCTGAATATACCCCATCATCTAAATATACCCCGTCATCTAAATATACCCCGTCATCTAAATATACCCGTATTATCTAAATATACGCTATCATCTAAATATACCCGTATCATCTGAATATACCCCATCATCTAAATATACCCCGTCATCTAAATATGGCCCATCATCTAAATATACCCCATTATCTAAATATACCCCCTCATCTAAATATGCCCAATCATCTTAATATACTCCGTCATCTAAATATACCCCGTCATCTAAATACTCCCCATCATCTAAATATACCCCGTCATCTAAATATACCCCATCATCTAAATATACCCCGTCATCTAAATATACCCCGTCATCTAAATATACCCCGTCATCTAAATATACCTCAACATCTAAATATACCCCGCGATCTAAATATACCCCTTATCTAAATATACCCCACCATCTGAATATACCCCATCATCTCAATATGTACGTATCATCTAAATATACCCCATCATCTAAGTATATCCCGTCATCTAAATATGCCCCATCATCTAAGTATATCCCGTCATCTAAATATGCCCCATCATCTAAATATACCCCATCATCTCAATATACCCCGTCATCTACATGTACCCGAATCATCTAATATTGAATATTCCCCATCATCTAAATTTACCCCGTCACCTAAACATACGCTATCATTGAAATATACCTCATCATCTAAATATACCCCGTCATCTAAATATTCCCCGCCATCTAAATATACCTCAACATCTAAATATACCCCGCGATCTAAATATACCCCGACATCTAAATATATCTCAACATCAAAATATACCCCGCGATCTAAATATACCACCTCATCTAAATACACCCAATCGATCTGAATATACCCCATCATCTAAATATATACGTATCATCAAAATATACCCCATCATCTAAATATACCCCATCATCTGAATATACCCAATCATCTGAATATACCCCATCATCTAAATATACCCCGTCATCTAAATATACACCGTTTTATCTAAATATCATCATCAATGACGTCACAAGAACCGTACTTCTTTCTATATTCATACTTTCTGTGTGTGACATCTGTCTTCGCCTGAAGCGCCCATTAAATCAGTCAGTCTGACTGTGACGTCATATTGGCGCATGTGCCGAACTTACCATCTGTAGTCGTCGTCTCGAGGACGCACATGGTCTGGTTGATCTCAAGGTCGCAGTCCTTGCTGTAGACGCCGCCGTAGTTGACCCTAGACGTCATCATCGCCTTCACATCATGTTCGCACGACGTGTTTGGGCCGGAACCGGAACACGAGTAACAGCTGAGACCGGCTGAAGGAGAAGGCGTTACACGTGATGTTTGTTTGTTTGTTTGTTTGTTTATTGTTTTAAAGCCGCACTCGGCAATATTTCAGATTTATAATATATATAATCGTGTCTGGACAAAATAATCCAGTGATTGATATCATGAGCATCAAGCCACGCAATTGGGATACGATGACATGCATCAACCAAGTCTGACCACCCAATCCCGTTAGTCGCTCTTACGAAAAGCACAATCCCCTCTTAGGACAAGCCTGGGTTGCTGAAGACCTTACCTAACCTGGATTTTCTTGGATCTTCATTTACCTTGTCTTCAAGAAACACAAGCATCTGTTTTCATCAAACGAACGATAACAAAACGATAAATTAGGGATTATATATATTATAACTTAAGGTCACAAAAATTCAGTAACTAGATTTATATGCATCGTCTTTAAAAATGTCATTTCATCAAATATGGTGAGTGAGTGAGGTTGGTTTTACGCCGCTATTAACAACATTCCGGCAAAATGACGACGGGGGTACACCAGAAATGGGTTTCACATTGTACCCGTGTGGGGAATCGAAACCGGGTCTTCGGCGTGACGTGCGGACGCTTTAAGCATGAGGCTACCCAACTACCCCTAATCATGTTTTATAGCTCACCCCCAGGTGAATGAGGTGAGGGGGGGGGGGGGGGGGGTATTTGGTAGTTGGGTGGGTAGTAATCTGGTAATACTTTTATAATGGTGAGGTGAGGTGAAATGGGGTTTAACGTCGCGTCCAAGATTATTGCACTTATATAGCGACGTACATGTACGTGTGTGTGTTTGTGTGGCTGCTTGTACTAGTCCGGACTGATGCCGATTTATAGTGCTAGCTCACTGAGATACCATGCCGCAGTTTAACATGAATACCCGACTCAGGCACAGTACACTGACTCCGAGCCGACCAGTCCTTGTTTTAGCCCCTCAATGCCGAGCGCCAGACAGGGAAACAACAAGTACAATCTTTTAACGTCTTTTGGTATGACGCGGCCGGGGATCGAACCCTGGACCTCCCGCTCTCCGGGCGGACGCTCTACCACTAGACCACGGAGGCGGTCCTTTTATAATGGGCTACTCGAAACCTTAGATGTGTTTCCCCAATAATCCATACATTCAATCAAGAGTTGCATGAGCGAGTTTGTGTGTGTGTGAAAGCAAATTTCTCTTCTTTGCATAAAAATAAGGACTAAATTGAGACTTTGATGAAACCCTCGAGCATGGTACAGACAAACCATGAAACACAATCAGGGCGTAACTGGGATTCGAACCAACCACCGTCGACCCGGCACTGACAACGAGTCGTGACTGTATTGGGAAACAGAGAGTGGCAACACTCGGTCACGTCCTCACCGAGCGTGGGCACAGCTGATGTGGGTGGTTTGTGATTTGCCAATTCGTATTCAGTAACCGTGTAATTTTGTTGAAACTATATGAGTTAATCATTGTGCTTTTATACATCTTGTTTTAGTATACCCGATGGCCTGTAAAACTGCCGAATATTTGTTTCGAAAAGGGAGAAGGGCTCAGTCCACCCACCGACCTCGATCCGCGTGTGGGTGCACTTGTTCACACAAGCTTTGAGAGACTGTAGCCATACAAAAGTATATTTTACTCGCATGTACTCTGCATCTTCCCGGATGCTGATTACCAAACACCCGGGTCTTATCGTCTTTGTGTCAATAGGCATCCGACGTAACTAAGCAGTATATATATAACTGTTTTTTACATACACGCATCTATCTTGAGCTTAACGAGACGTTAAAAAACGTGAGTGAATTCACCATCGCTACGATACCCAAACATCTACAGGCGTCACACACGACACCGACATACATACAACGGGAACTTAGTCATATATCCGTGTTTAGCTTGAACCAAAACAAAGATTGAAGTTATTTGGATCTCTGTACCCTGCTTAGACATTCTGATGACGTTGAATGTGTGTTGTGGTTGACTGTTGAGTGAGTGAGTGAGACGGTGGAAGTTGGTTGGTTGGTTTGTTGTTTAACGCCGCACTCAGCAATATTCCAGCTATATGACGGCGGTCTGTAAATAATCGAGTCTGGACCAGACAATCCAGTGATTAATAGCATGAGCATCGAGCCACGCAATTGGGATCGATGACATGCATCAACCAAGTCAGCGAGCCTGGCCACCCGATCCCGTTAGTCGCCTCTTACGCCAAGCATAGTCGCCTTTTACGGCAAGCATTGGTTGCTGAAGACCTATTCTACCCCGGATCTTCAAGGGTCAAGACGGTGGAAGTGAGTTGGCGTAGAGCGCTATGGTGTGAACCAAGATTCTTCATCTTGACGAATGTGGAATTTGAACATTGGTTTTGTTAAATAGTTGGATGTTTATCGTCACGCCACGTTTGATTACTCACATAGGCACAGTGTGTGAAGACCATTCTGGCGTCTCCCAGCGTGATATTTGCTAACAGCGTTACAAAATAACTCACTCACTCACTCACCCAGGCCGAATACAGAACTTGAAGGGACTCGTGAAGACCCGGGGTAGAATAGGTCTTCAGCAACCCAGGTTTGCCGTAAAAGGCGACTAGGCTTGTCGTAAGAGCGACTAACGGGATCGGATGGTCAGGCTCGCTGACTTGGTTGATGCATGTCATCGTATCCCAATTGCGTGGATCGATGCTCCTGATGTCAATCACTGGATTGTCTGGTCCAGACTCGATTATTTACAGACCGCCGTCATATAGCTGGAATATGTCTGAGTGCGGCGTTAAACAACAAACAAACAAACAAAAACAGAATACAGAAGGTCCGAACAACTGGACAATATAACTTTGTTAAACAATTTGTCAGTTGTGACATTATGACTGAAATACCTTTCGTGAGTGTGCATTACCTTGTCATTAAGTGCTACTATTTCAAAGTACACTTCTTTTGTTTAACTAACCATCATAACGTTTTTTCAGAAAGACAAATATATTTACATATATACAAACCCGTGGCGACCCTTCCCACAAAAACAACAAACCACCCACGCCATTGCTCAACGTGTGAAATTAATCTCTATATTTATTGAAAAACCTTTCCTTCATTTGAAACAAGCTCATCATAATATCTTCCTTCCTGGGGACCCAGCCACGTCTCCCTCCCCCCTGGCGCGTGTTGCTAGGGGTGGGAGCAACGGTCGTGTTTGCTGGCAATCTCATGCGTCAAGTGTATGCTATTCACTTCCATGTCGGTCAACTCAGATCTGATAGGAAGCATATTCACAGAGTATTCATAGCTCGGTAAAGGTTTGAGTGAGTAAGTATGGTTTTGCGCCGCTTTTAGAAATAGTCCAGCAATATCACGGAGGGGAACACCAGAAATGGGAATCGAACACGGATTGAAATTTATTGAAATAATTGAAATGTTTCGTAAAAGGTCCAGATTTAACAAGCCATCGAATAGTGACTGAGTGTGGTTTTACGCCGTTTTTAGCAATATTCCAGCAACATCAGAAACCATCAGCACCAGAAATGGACTCCACACACTGTAGCCCAAACCACCAATATTGACACCAGGGGTTTGCAGATCACAAACATTGGCGGGGCACCACCCATTTACAGACACCCTACTTTCAACCCATCAAGGCACCATGTTTCAACAACATCGTCTTGATAACTGTATTTACAAAGATATACCAGAACCCAATGCTCAGCCATGAGGACATGGAGAATCGCCCTAACGTGATGCGCCTGAAATATATTTTCTGAACCTTTCGCAGGTGCACTCGGGTGATTAAATGCATGTCCCGGGGCAAGTATACAATTCATACAGGACCAACTCGAGCACATTTATCAATTATCTATTCTTTACATATCCATGTTGATGGGCCTGTCTTGAGCAAACTCGGTTCTTAAGAAGAAAAACAGTATTTCTGTCTATCCTTTCGCTTCTTCTCAACGACAAGCTTCACGTCACACGTGTTGTGAATAACATACGGAATAAAACACAAATATTGCTTTTCATAAACAGAATAAGTAACAGTATTGATAGCAGTAAATACGTCATTAAATTGTTAATTCCACAGTATTTCTTCCGTGACATTCGTCAGCGTTCTGTACGCATCTAATTTAATGCTATATGGAAGAGTACATGTGCATGAATGACACAAACATTCGACAGCATTGTTGATGGTCAGGAGTATTTTCTGAACAGGTATGTTATGAGTCCTGACTTGAAACAGTCCCGCTCGTCACGCTGAAGACCCGGGTTCGAATCCCGACATGGGTACAATGTGTGAAGCCCATTTCTGGTGTCCCCCGCCTCGATATTGCTGGAATATTGCTAAAAGTGGCGTAAAACCATACTCACTCACTGAAACAGTCCAGTGCAGAGAACTTGAATGAAACGCAAGAGTTCAAGGCAGCAGTACAGTAAACTACGGTTATAACGAACACGCTTATAACGAACTGACGGATATAACGAACTTACCTTTTAGTCCCGACTATTGGCTGTAGTTATGCTGTGTATATGCTTATAACGAACTACGGTTATAACGAACTAAAAATAGTAGTCCCTTTGAGTTCGTTATAACCGTAGTTTATACTGTACTTGCACATAGATCTGAAGGCTCTGGCCAACATATTTCAGATTTGATCTCGGGATTTTTAATAGCTTCAACAAAATTAGAAATCTTGTATGTCAATATAAGCATCTGCCTTTATCGCGATTGAGCTTTGTTAATAAGCAATGACACTGACCATCAATTGTTAGCTGATGAAACTAGAATTAATCACAAGGCGTGTACAGTCATGCTTAACAGACATGTTCAGGCGCTCCTGTAGGAAACGCAAGCCCGACAATGCGTTGTTGAGTTTAATGCACGACTTACTAGTCCCTCCCAGTCCAAACAGCCACAGGAGTAGCAGACCGTATCCTCCGTCACTCGACCCCCACATCGTTCCCCCTGCGTCCGTCAGTGGTCAGCGCGGCGATACATTGTCCCACTGAACCGCGTCCTGCATGTTATAGTGCCAGACTCCCACCATCAGATGCAGGGTGAGATGATGCAGGAGATGCCTCGGTTGCTCACTGAACGTGGGAGTGTTACCTGGACAGTCATTAATTGCTTCACACGACGCTCCTCCTCCACCTGTGTCATAGGGATGTGATCCACGCCTCCTCAATAGAGGTAAGTAGGGCCCGGGGTACTTGCGTTCACCATTTGTTTGTGTCTCCTGTAGATTGTGTCTCTATATGTTCTGGTGTTCCCCGTGTCTCATGTTGACTGACTCAAAATGTTCTTGTGTTCCCCGTGTCTTAAGTTGATTGTCTCTATGTTCTTGTGTTCCCCGTGTCTCATGTTGATTGTCTCTATGTTCCTGTGTTCCCCGTGTCTCATGTTGACTGCCTCTATATGTTCTTGTTTTCCCCCTGTCTCCTGTTGATTGTGTCTCTATATGTTCTGGTGTTCCCCGTGTCTCCTGTTGATTGTGTCTCTATATGTTCTGGTGTTCCCCGTGTCTCCTGTTGATTGTGTCTCTATATGTTCTTGTGTTCCCCGTGTCTCCTGTTGATTGTGTCTCTATATGTTCTTGTGTTCCCCGTGTCTCCTGTTGATTATGTTGTCTCTATATGTTCTGGTGTTCCCCGTGTCTCCTGTTGATTGTGTCTCTATATGTTCTTGTGTTCCCCGTGTCTCCTGTTGATTGTGTCTCTATATGTTCTTGTGTTCCCCGTGTCTCATGTTGATTGTGTCTCTATATGTTCTTGTGTCCCCCGTGTCTCCTGTTGATTATGTTGTCTCTATATGTTCTGGTGTTCCCCGTGTCTCCTGTTGATTGTGTCTCTATATGTTCTGGTGTTCCCCGTGTCTCCTGTTGATTGTGTCTCTATATGTTCTGGTGTTCCCCGTGTCTCCTGTTGATTGTGTCTCTATATGTTCTGGTGTTCCCCGTGTCTCCTGTTGATTGTGTTGTCTCTATATGTTCTTGTGTTCCCCGTGTCTCATGTTGATTGTGTCTTTATATATTCTTGTGTTCCCCGTGTCTCCTGTTGATTGTGTCTCTATATGTTCTTGTGTTCACCGTGTCTCCTGTTGATTGTGTTCTCTCTATATATTCTTGTGTTCCCCATGTCTCATGTTGACTGCCTCTATATGTTCTTGTTTTCCCCCTGTCTCCTGTTGATTGTGTCTCTATATGTTCTTGTTTTCCCCCTGTCTCCTGTTGATTGTGTCTCTATATGTTCTTGTTTTCCCCCTGTCTCCTGTTGATTGTGTCTCTATATGTTCTTGTTTTCCCCGTGTCTCCTGTTGATTGTGTCTCTATATGTTCTGGTGTTCCCCGTGTCTCCTGTTGATTGTGTCTCTATATGTTCTGGTGTTCCCCGTGTCTCCTGTTGATTGTGTCTCTATATGTTCTTGTGTTCCCCGTGTCTCCTGTTGATTGTGTCTCTATATGTTCTGGTGTTCCCCGTGTCTCCTGTTGATTGTGTTGTCTCTATATGTTCTGGTGTTCCCCGTGTCTCCTGTTGATTGTGTCTCTATATGTTCTGGTGTTCCCCAAGTCTCCTGTTGATTGTGTCTCTATATGTTCTGGTGTTCCCCAAGTCTCCTGTTGATTGTGTCTCTATATGTTCTGGTGTTCCCCAAGTCTCATGTTGACTATGTCTCTATATGTTCTGGTGTTCCCCGTGTCTCCTGTTGATTGTGTCTCTATATGTTCTGGTGTTCCCCAAGTCTCATGTTGACTGTGTCTCTATATGTTCTTGTGTTCCCCCTGTCTCCTGTTGATTGTGTCTCTATATGTTCTTGTGTTCCCCATGTCTCATGTTGACTGCCTCTATATGTTCTTGTTTTCCCCCTGTCTCCTGTTGATTGTGTCTCTATATGTTCTGGTGTTCCCCGTGTCTCCTGTTGATTGTGTCTCTATATGTTCTTGTGTTCCCCGTGTCTCCTGTTGATTGTGTCTCTATATGTTCTTGTGTTCCCCGTGTCTCATGTTGATTGTGTCTCTATATGTTCTTGTGTTCCCCGTGTCTCCTGTTGATTGTGTCTCTATATGTTCTGGTGTTCCCCGTGTCTCCTGTTGATTGTGTCTCTATATGTTCTTGTGTTCCCCGTGTCTCCTGTTGATTGTGTCTCTATATGTTCTGGTGTTCACCGTGTCTCATGTTGATTGTGTCTGTATATGTTCTGGTGTTCCCCGTGTCTCCTGTTGATTGTGTCTCTATATGTTCTTGTGTTCCCCGTGTCTCCTGTTGATTGTGTCTCTATATATTCTTGTGTTCCCCGTGTCTCCTGTTGATTGTGTCTCTATATGTTCTTGTGTTCCCCGTGTCTCCTGTTGACTATGTCTCTATATGTTCTTGTGTTCCCGAGGTCTCATGTTGATTGTGTTGTCTCTATATGTTCTGGTGTTCACCGTGTCTCCTGTTGATTGTGTCTCTATATGTTCTTGTGTTCCCCGTGTCTCCTGTTGATTGTGTCTCTATATGTTCTGGTGTTCCCCGTGTCTCCTGTTGATTGTGTCTCTATATGTTCTGGTGTTCCCCGTGTCTCCTGTTGATTGTGTTGTCTCTATATGTTCTTGTGTTCCCCGTGTCTCATGTTGATTGTGTCTCTATATGTTCTGGTGTTCCCCGTGTCTCCTGTTGATTGTGTCTCTATATGTTCTGGTGTTCCCCGTGTCTCCTGTTGATTGTGTTGTCTCTATATGTTCTTGTGTTCCCCGTGTCTCATGTTGACTATGTCTCTATATGTTCTTGTGTTCCCGAGGTCTCATGTTGATTGTGTTGTCTCTATATGTTTTTGTGTTCCCCGTGTCTCCTGTTGATTGTGTTGCCTCTATATGTTCTTGTGTTCCCGTAGTCTCCTGTTGATTGTGTCTCTATATGTTCTTGTGTTCCCCGTGTCTCCTGTTGATTGTGTCTCTATATGTTCTGGTGTTCCCCGTGTCTCCTGTTGATTGTGTCTCTATATGTTCTTGTGTTCCCCGTGTCTCCTGTTGATTGTGTCTCTATATGTTCTTGTGTTCCCCGTGTCTCCTGTTGATTGTGTCTCTATATGTTCTGGTGTTCCCCGTGTCTCCTGTTGATTGTGTCTCTATATGTTCTTGTGTTCCCCGTGTCTCATGTTGATTGTGTTGTCTCTATATGTTCTTGTGTTCCCCGTGTCTCCTGTTGATTGTGTCTCTATATGTTCTGGTGTTCCCCGTGTCTCCTGTTGATTGTGTCTCTATATGTTCTGGTGTTCCCCGTGTCTCCTGTTGATTGTGTCTCTATATGTTCTTGTGTTCACCGTGTCTCATGTTCATGGTGTCTCTTCTGTTTACCGTGTGCTTGTGCCTCTTCTGTTTACCGTGTGCTTGTGCCTCTTCTGTTTACCGTGTGCTTGTGCCTCTTCTGTTTACCGTGTGCTTGTGCCTCTTCTGTTTACCGTGTGCTTGTGCCTCTTCTGTTTACCGTGTGCTTGTGCCTCTTCTGTTTACCGTGTGCTTGTGTCTCTTCTGTTCCCCGTGTGCTTGTGCCTCTTCTGTTCCCCGTGTGCTTGTGTCTCTTCTGTTCCCCGTGTGCTTGTGTCTCTTCTGTTCCCCGTGTGCTTGTGCCTCTTATGTTCCTCGTGTGCTTGTGTCTCTTCTGTTCCCCGTGTGCTTGTGCCTCTTATGTTCCTCGTGTGCTTGTGTCTCTTCTGTTCCCCGTGTGCTTGTGCCACTTCTCAGGTTCCTTGCGTGCTTATGTCTCTACTGTTTACCGTGTGCTTGTGTCTCCTGTTCCTCGTGTGCTTGTGCCTCTTCTGTTCCCCGTGTGCTTGTGTCTCTTCTGTTCCCCGTGTGCTTGTGTCTCTTCTGTTCCCCGTGTGCTTGTGCCTCTTATGTTTCTCGTGTGCTTGTGTCTCTTCTGTTCCCCGTGTGCTTGTGCCTCTTATGTTCCTCGTGTGCTTGTGTCTCTTCTGTTCCCCGTGTGCTTGTGCCTCTTATGTTCCTCGTGTGCTTGTGTCTCTTCTGTTCCCCGTGTGCTTGTGCCACTTCTCAGGTTCCTTGCGTGCTTATGTCTCTACTGTTTACCGTGTGCTTGTGTCTCCTGTTCCTCGTGTGCTTGTGTCTTTTCTGTTCCTCGTGTGCTTGTGCCTCTTATGTTCCTCGTGTGCTTGTGTCTCTTCTGTTATCGGTCCTGTACTATTCCTGTTGCCCGAAAACGTTCCCATAGACGATGAATCACAGATGGCGACCTCTAAAGGCGTCTTGCGACCTCTCTCATGTCTACACCATCCTGAAGCCATGCAATCGCCCGTCCACATTCAACAGCACTTCGGGGTCTCACGACGTCTCCAAACTGACCATGCACACGTTTCTGCTGCCTAAGCATTTAAACCCGTGTGTGCAATAGTTGCACATGAATCATGTCTCGCATGTGGATGGTTTTGTTTGGGCGGCAGACACCATCGTGTGACAATAGACACGTTTACATTCGATGACATAACCACGTTTTCTATCATTTTAACTGTCACCAAAACGCAACTAAAAGGAGTTCCCCCAGGGCTTCAACTGCATGCCTGCTTAACTTGCCCAGGACCCGTGAAGATTCCAGGGTAGGATAGGTCTTCAGCAACCCAGGCTTGCCGTAAAAGGCGACTATGCTTGTCGTAAAATGCGTCACCAGGTAATGAGTAAGCGTGACAGAAGTGTGGTGATGTTACACTTGTGCATGTCATGTACAGAGCATACAGTGTTCAATTACAATATCCTCCGATCAAATAGTATAGATTGATTTGAGCCCAACAGGGAGAGATTTTAGCCTTGAGTGACTGTTTTGGGCCTTGCAGAAGGAAGCGGCCTGAGACGAGGCTCACAGCACTCGAGTGATTGTTCAGGGGATTGATTTGCGCCAGCTACACCGGTTACTTCATCCTCGATAGTCCAGTGTATTACATATCCATGTTATAAAGTTAAATACCCTGGATCCTTTGACACACCTTAACCTCGTTTTCATTTCGGTTCGAATGACACGACGATTAAAATAGACGCACGTCTCAAACTTGGAACGCTGGACAGAACATTTCCCTTCCACTAGCCAAAAAAAAACGAGAGCATTTTGATTCAATTAAAAATATCTTTGTTTCGTCTTACGAAAAAGTTTAAAATTAGACCTACGCCGAACTCTCGTTAAGAAGAGTTGTTTTGATTGGCCGTTGATTTCAAGTTCAAGGTCAAGTAGGTTGTGTTCAGTGGGTATGGTGGAAATGGTGACGTCACTCCCGAAACGAAGCTTTGGTGGCAAAGGTGTCCAGGGAATTTATCAATAGTGAGTGAGTGAGTGAGTTAAAATTTAACGTCACATCGGCATTATTTCAGCCATATCGTGACGAGAAAAAGTACTATATTCAAAATACATATATTTAGACCATAAAAACCTGTCGTCGAAGGACAGTAAAACAACTAGATTTATCACAGATTTTATTTAACACTAGCATTTATCAATAGAATAGTACAGTTGTGATGTCCAACGTGGAGGATGCGTTTTGTCAAGTTGAAACCTGGGTACACAGTGAAGTTTCGGTTTGTCAAGACACGGTGTTTGATACCTACTAGGGCTGCACGCTCTTAAGACCCCTCGTTATTTAGCCCATGGTCTTTAAACGGTAAAATAAAATACCTTTAAGGCCAAGGGCCTGAATTAAATTGACAAATTGATTGATCGTCCTTACCGGGTTTTTTTAAAACATGTGCGATAGCACGCTTCCAATATGGCCAATTTCCACAAATATTGCATCTGAAGTTAAGCGCTGTTAGAGACTTCCAAATTTACAAGACACATTGGGCCCTAATGTTCGTACTATTCTGGATACTCCGTGTGAGATTTTAAACGCATATAACAGGCACGCAAAATTGCGATATTGGTTTGTTGTAACTTTTTTGACAGCTGTCGTTTCAATTTTGAACGGACCGCCTCCGTGGTCTAATGGTAGAGCATCCGCCTGGAGAGCGGAAGGCCCGGGGTTCGATCCCCAGCCGCGCCATACCAAAACTTGACGGGTTTGCTAGAAAGTTGTTTGTTTGTTGTTTAACGTCGCATTATTCGAACTGCATCATGTGGGTACGCGAATGTCTGAACCAGACAATCCAGTGATTAACATCACGTTACTAACTGAAGGCAATCAATCTTTCCTACACGTCTCCCGTGCGCAGAGACTGCGGGATGGAGACTTTACGCTGACACGCCACGAGCTCAAGGACAATTTGCTCAACACGCCTCAACACACAATGGCGGAAATATATGCAGTTCCGATTCTTTAAATTCTAGGCGGAAAGGAAAATATAATCACGTCAAATGAACTATAAGTATTTGTTGTTACATTATCTTACATCAAAAAGTGGTTTGTTTTTTCCTCCAGCACAACGCTTGTCTGGCAACAAGGAGATGCGTGCCACGTGTCGCTGGCTACTGAGACACGATGCCAGTGACGCAGACGTAATATTGTCACGATTTGTTTGTTTACATATTACACATAAGCATACGTCGCTTGAGCAGCTCTTTTGAACGACTCTGACTGTGTGGTGTACATATGTGATAACACACACTCCTGATCCATGTAATCGCCTCGTACGAAAGGCATAGGTTGCTGGGGACCAAGGGTCCCTTGGGTTTGTGTCAAATAGTCGTCCCTTGAGTCCAGACTGCAATGCCCTGATCCCATTCGCAGGTTTGCATAGCCATACATTTTGTTTGTTTGTTTGTTTGTTGTTTAACGCCGCACTCAGCAATATTCCAGCTATATGACGGCGGTCTGTAAATAATCGAGCCTGGACCAGACAATCCAGTGATTAATATCATGAGCATCGATCCACGCATTTGGGATCGATGACATGCATCAACCAAGTCAGCGAGCCTGACAACCCGATCCCGTTAGTCGCCTTTAGCGACAAGCATAGTCGCCTTTTCAAATATACATACGTATGTCAATTATACACACGTGTGAGTTTGTCATGCGAACGCAAGTGCAAACGTGTGCACATATGCACCAGGATAATATGTGCATCGGATCGGGAGGTTGTGCAAATGTAAATTTACACAGGTGCAGTATTTCACCGTGAGTAAATTGTGTCATGAACGGATAGCAGAATTATACATGCGCAGTTCCTATGGCGGGAATCTTATTGGACAAGTATAATGTCTATTTTTAGAATGTTGCGGTGGAGGGATTGACTGGTTCATTGCTACGTTTAGTCAGGCACGTGTCTGAGTGTAATTTTTTTCAGTTTTGAATCATTTGCCCAAGTGACACTTCCTTGACATGAGAAAGAGAATATCTGAGGCAGCTCAAACATGCAGACCAACTTTGGCGCTGGTACATATTTGGTAAGAACATTATGTTGAACAAAGTCTTGACGATCCACAAATGAGTAACTACGGTTATAGCGAACCCAAATGGATCACTAATTTTAGTTCGTCATAACCATAGTTCGTTATTAGCATATGTACAGCATATTTACAGCAAATGGCCGAGACTAAAGAATAAATTCGTCATATCCGTCAGTTCTTTATAAGTGTGTTCATTATAAACGTAGTTTACTGTATATCCAAAATCCAATTATCGGGACAATCCGTCAATTTCACCGGCACGGTTTGGAAAGTGTTTTTTTTCTGGCAACCATGGATAACCTCACATGACAAGGAGACGTGACAGTTTTGCCTGCGAGTTGGGCTTTCAGATGCAGTGTTTGTTTGTTTGTTGTTTAACGCCGCACTCAGCAATATTCCAGCTATATGACGGCGGTCTGTAAAATAATCGAGTCTCGACCAGACAATCCAGTGATTGACATCATGAGCATCGACCCACGCAATTGGGATCGATGACATGTATCAACCAAGTCAGCGAGCCTGACCACCCGATCCCGTTAGTCGCCTTTTACGACAAGCATAGTCGCCTTTTACGGCAAGTACGGAATCTTCACGGGTCTCAGATGCAGTGAGTGTAAAGCGAGCGAGTTGGATTCAACGCTGCTTTGAACAGCGTTCCAGTTATATCACGGCGTTTCAGCTTTAATAATAAAAAAATGGCAGGAATGCCCGAAGTAATGCAGTTCTCAGACGTTTACCACTTTGGTTAAATCAACGAGCAGGAGTATGGTGCTGAGAAGTTTAGAAACATGATCGTATCACTTCGATGATTAACTTGGTGAACCGTCAGCGCTATAGCCAACACGTCGAGCTGTCACTCAAACGATTGGCGAGTGGGTGTTGTTTTACGCCGCAATCAACGTTATTCCATTATGTCACGGCCCGGAAAAAAATAGTCTGGTCAAATAGGTTATTTAAACACCATTTGTTTCCAACCCCTGATATTGATAAACGCAGTGAAGAAAATAGAAGTGTGGTTGGAATATGCTGTTTGCTAGTGTCTGCCATCAAGATGATCAACAACTGTTTAAACAACTGATAGGGGTAATTGTTTTCCCCTTTTAAGAAGTCCGTGAGTGAGTATGGGTTTTGGCGCCGCTCTGAACAATACATAAGGCATATAATTATCATGTGTCATCCTCGTTAACCAGTGCATCATATCTTCATCCAAGGGCGGATCCAGCATTTTCAAAAGGGTAATTTTCTCAGATAAAAAGTATCCGGATCCGTCTATGCCATTTTATTACGGCAAATACCCTGATCCCATTTACCGCCTCAGCTTCGTTCCGGAAGTGACGTCACAGTCTCAATCCCTCCATCACTAACAGCACAGACGCGCTGGACTTGGTGGCTATTTTCTGTGTAGTGACATTCGATCAGACCAAAAACGAAGCTGTGGTAGCCAATGGGTCCTGGGTATTTATCATAATAGAAAGGAGATTTGATACTCTATATAATCGAGGATGCTAAATCAATAATTTCCACTCAGACATACACTGCTGCAGCGACTGAGGAATATGTTATCCACTTCCCGCAAGAAATAAATACACATTGAAGCGCCTTAAAATCATACGTTCCCGGCCAGCTTCCCGACTTGAAAAATGAGTGAGTTAAAATTTAACGTCGCATCAGCATTATTCCAGCCATACAGCGACTTGAAAAACACACACACTACACTTCTGGTTAAATTAAATAACTTAAGCAGCAATTGCCACACCAGTAGGCTGTGGGATATGTGTCATGGGTCTCTCAGGGTGACACCCAAACACCAACTTTTTTTGTTTTAAATTAACCAAAAATAGAAGCAAATATCTAGGAGAGTGAGTGAATAAGATTTGATGATGCAGTCAGCATTATTGCAGTCATAGTATGAAGCCTGACTGACAGCACACACAGAAGGCAAACCTGTAACTGATAACACGATCAGCCATGTGAACCCGTGGTTGATAGCATGAACACTCATATGAACCAGTGATTGATAGCATGAACACCCAGTGAACCAGTGATTGATAGCATGAACAGCCTGTGAACCAGTGATTGATAGCATGAACAGCCAGGGAACAGTTGTTGATAGCATGAACAGCCATGTGAACCAGTGGTTGATAGCATGAACAGCCATGTGAACCAGTGGTTGATAGTATGAACAACCATGTGAACCAGTGGTTGATAGCATGAACAGCCAGGCAATGACAAAGAGACATTTACATATATAAGAATGCCTTTATTACAAAGGTCACCATCTAGATGACACAATGATAAGCTTCAGCAAGAAATAATGAAAACCATAAAAATATAAAAGTTTGAGGTATTATGATAATAATAATAAGCCACCAGCTGAATGCCCTTAAACATACATAGTAGTTCCCAGAAGTGCCACCAGATGGGCAGGTCACATGACCAAGGTCGGTATACTCGGGTCCGGAGATTCATCAAGTACACGTCATGGTGCCCAGTCTGTGGCAGGTCTTGGATCACTAACGTGGTTCTGTGGAAACACTGGCAGTGGCCAGAGTAGCAGCTGCAGCTGAAAGTAGAGACATCACTTTGACATCATACTTCATTTTATGCCTCAAAATAATTTATGATCAACTAAATTGTTCTTAAGTCTTTGAATGGCATTTAGAAGTGACACACACAAGGAAGAGAATTTCATGGATGTCAGGTTCTTTATTATAAGGAACATTGCGTTGATCATAATAAAGAAGTTGACATCCATAAATTCTATTGTAAATTGTTCTTTAATAGTTCATAAAGATGAAAAACGAGGAAGGCAATACAGATCCATTTTATTAATATAAAGTAAGCATCGATCAATGCAAATGGGATACAATGACATGCATCATCAACCAAGTCAGCAAGGCGATCCATTAGTCCCCTCTTACAACAAGCTTCGTCACCTTTTACAGCAAGCATGAGTTGCTGAAGATCTATTCTACCCCAGATCTTCACGGGTCTCGTAGGGGCCATCGGGTAGCCTAGTGGTTCAAGCGTTCGCTCCTCACGCCAAAGACCCGGGTTCGATTCCCGACATGGGTACAATGTGTGAAGCCCATTTCTGGTGTCCCCAGCCGTGATATTGCTGTAATATTGCTAAAAGCGGCGTAAAACCATACTCACTCACTCACGGGTCTCGTAAGCTAAGTAATACAGAACCATTGTTCACTCAGTAACACAGGACCCTACCTGTTACTGTTACTTCATCTGGCAGACATCATCCTTACACTGTACTTGTGGCTTGGGTTTGTCCTTCTTAGGCATCTCACACACATCATCCTTGCATGTCACTCCACTTGCCCCCTCCCCGTCCGCGGTCACCTGAGTCCCCTCCCCTTCTGTCGACACCAGTTTCTCTACATCAACCGTGCCCTCGATTCCTAAAGCTTTCAACACTTCGTTGGGGTCTACGTGATCTGCTGGGTTATCTTGCTTGAAATTGAGCAGAACCTTGCCTCCTGAAATGTATTATCCAAGAAATCCTAAAACATTCCTTCTAATTCCACAAACAATCCTAAAATCAGAAATTCTGAGATTTCAAGCACCTGTTATTGTGGACGTTCATGATGATTCATATCTAGTTTCAGTTTTTTTTAATGGGAAAAAGTAAAACAAAATATATTTGATTTTTCTTGAAATCTTATTCCCTTAACATTTATTTTCCTAGTAAGTTGACCTCCATCAACCCTGACTTTTACTGCCTTCAGCATCTTGGCCCAATTTATCCCAAACAGGCCTGGCCTTACTTAGGATGGTTAAAATGGTAATATTTTTAAAACATATGGTTATAAGAAAGATAATTTGAGAACAAACAAACACAATACCTTTAGCAACAACCATGGTGCCACCATTCTGCATGCCATCTCCCTTAAAGTTGCCCTCAATCTTGTCCGTCTTGGCCTAAAATGAGGTGAGTTTTACATCACTAGGAATGGTATTTCAGTTGTATCACTGTTTGTCGGCTTAACCCAAAGAGAGACAAGACCCCATAGTAACATTGCATGGTCACATATATTCACACACTGGTGAAATGTTAGCCAATTGGTACTGTGCTGACAAGAACCATAAAAGGAGCAATTCTGGGAAATCAACCAACAATCAGCAGATACTGACAAGTCCAAGGGAAGCAACTGTGCAAAGAAAAAGATGCAGTTTCTAGGCTGAAATCAATATTTTCAAAGTGGCTGTCCTACATGTAAAGGTTGATTTCAATTTTAGATTCCAATTTGTGGTTACACATTCGTCAAATCATCCACGCAAAGTTACGATAGTTACAGGAAAAAAACTTTCCAAACAAATGTCATACAGGGAACAAGTTACGCTACGGGCAAGAAATGACAGGCAAGATACATTTAGTTCAGGTGAGCTACAGAATTCATCTCTTAAATCCATCATGACAGTCATAACCAGGATAATGCTGACCCACTGCCTGTACGTAACTGCATATACCTTGGCAACACATGCTTTTGTGCAGGTTAATATTGGCCAAACAATAAACCACAGCTGGTCTATATGACATATAACACCGACAAAAAATATAGGAACTGATGAATTGAATGACAACAAATCTCTGAAAAATTCATTTAGGGCGCGTAGAGCAATATCTGGTTTGTCCACCATTAGGCGATGCTTGCATGTCAACGGGATGGCATTCTGTTGATTAACTTGTGTATGGTGGCCCTTGATATTGCTTGTCATTCCGCCTGAAGAGCTAACCCAAGCTTGGCCACGTTGGCGGTGCTGGGTCTCTGGCGTACACTCTCCGCCCGTATCATCCTGATGCGGATTTATAGTGCTAGCTCACTGAGATACCATGCCGTAGTTTAACATGAATACCCCACTCAGACACGGTATACTGACTCCGAGCCGACCAGTCCTTGTTTTAGCCCCTTAATGCCGAGCGCCAGACAGGGTAACAACAAGTATAATCTTTTAACGTCTTTTGGTATGACGCGGCCGGGCATCGAACCCCGGACCTTCCGCTCTCCGGGCGGACGCTCTACCACTAGACCACGGAGGCGGTCAGTGCATACTGTAGACACCAGTATTCAGCAGACCAGTTACTGGGATCTGCAACCATGCTCATTGCTCACTGACGAAGCACAGGCCCAGTACTGATAAAACATTTCACCACTGATGATATAGCAGTTAAATTTGTTGTTTAACGCCACACTCAACAAAAGTTGTTGGGGAGCAACTCTAACTCTAGGTTCATCTTCCTTATGACAAAACCAGAATTACAATCAGGGACAATTGAAAACCCATGATCATTCTGACAGCAACTCTGCACAGCTGATTGTGGCACCGTGACGACTTGGCCACACATGCCGGACACACTACTCAGAAATGAGGGTTATATCAGGAGCGGCCACTGTCCGAACAATGGACTCACCTGTGACATCGCATCTCTCGCTTTTTTGGCAAAGATGGCAGGAAACAGACTGAAAAAGTTGAGTCTGAAAACAAAGAAAGATAAAACTATATTTAGATGACTTTAATGTTCATCACAAACCAAGTTACATACAAATTCAAATAGATTGATTAAAGAAATGACATTAATAATTTTCATTGATATACATACATGATAGACATTTAGGATATAGACATACATGTACTGTGTTTTCAATGTACGTTAAACTAGGTTACCTGCAGATTTAACTGCACTAAACTTAACTTGGGAGATGAATGCTCAGTCAGGTGATTTGAAACCTCTCATTGACCAATCAGAATCAGGCATTATGGCACCACAAAGACATACATCAGGGTTCAGTGTATACGTGGTGTATTCCCTCCTCTGCTACATTTGAGGTGGTTTGATACTTATATTTGATTATCCACTTTTAGCAAATTTCTTAAGACTGTCAAGCGTGGCTCAAATTAACCTCACCTTCACCTCACTTGTGAACAATAATTCTGTAAATGCTTCCAATCTTAAACTATTTCACATTAAACATTGTCTGTAAATAATTGTGTCTGGACCAGACAATCCAGTGATTGATATCATGAGCATCAATCTATGCAATTAGTCTACAATGACATTTATCAACCAAGTCAGCGAGCCTGACCACCCGATCTGGTCAGTTGCCTCTTGCTACAATCATAGTCGCCTTATACAGCAAGCATGGGATGCTGAAGACCTATTCTATCCTGGATCTTCACAGGTCACAAAATGTTTGAGAATGGTAGGTTATCATGATTGATACAACGTTTCCTTTGTGCTCCACCCTGTATTTGGCAAGACACTGGGGGAGCATACAGTTCAAGATCACAGAACCCCTATCAAACAACGCTGAAGTCACACTGTGATTTTAGCCACTTGTCCGAAGCATGAGTCTACTAAAATTCTGTTTGGTCTTGTAAGATTATGTTCTAATAGTCCACATGATAACACTAAACTCTACTGAAAATGATACTTAGAGCAATATTCGGGCTGGGAGATTCAAAAGTGTTTTGGCACCGACAGCAAAGTCCCTACCTTCGGAAGCCCAGATCCTTGTAGCACTGCTTCTTCAGGTCGATATATAGTTCTGACAGAAAAACATAAACAACTCATGGTCTTCATTCTACACAAGGTGAAACTGTGGTGTTGACGAAGGTAATGGATGATGTGGGCTGACAAACAGATTAATCACTCAATCTCATTAAAATCAGACCTTAGTTCTCGCTACCGCTAAACAAAGATCTGAAGACATCCCATTAGGGGTCACGTCAGAACGACCTTTCATCCGACCAATCAGAGCGTTGCTTACCAGATCATGAAATGACAGTCAGAATGTGATTTCTAATAATACAACCTTGAAAACTTTAACACAGGGTATTCCGAACGATAGTTACGTGTTTAACGACTGAATCCATACAATCTAAACCATCTATTAGCCATTCTGGTATGTTTTTTTGTTCAGGTTTCAAATTTGTAATTGAGAATATGTCAGAATATGTTGCGAAGCGTAGTCGCCAATTTGAAATTAGCACGAGAAAGCTGCCTTCTGATTAGTCATTCCGTTCGTCAGTAAAAGTTCGCGCAAGGTCGGTCTGACATGACCTGTAATGGGATGTCTTCAGATCTTTGTTTAGCGGTAGCAAGAACTAAGATCTGATTTTAACAAGATTGAATAATCACTGTAGTTGCTGTACAACAAACTTACATCTACCTGCTGGAATGAATGAGAGGTATTCAGGACATACCACAGCTCCTGTAGCAACAACTGAAAGACGACCACAAAAGACCCCCCTCCCCACAAATGAAACCACAAGGGTCTGTAGGCCACCAGGATTATGAAGAGTTAGATAGTTAGTAAGATATTTACGCCACTTTAAGCAATATTCCAGCAATATCATGGCAGGGGACACCAGAAATGGGCTTCACACATTGTACCCATGTGGAGTATCAAACTCGGGTCTTCAGCATGACAAGCAAACGCTTTAACCACTAGGCTACCCTGTTGCCCCAGGATTATGATATAATACAGACGTCTGTGATTCTAGTTTGATTGGAATTATGTGAGTTAGACTCCATAGCATGGATCATTCAAACCATTTCAGCTTCATAGACTGTGGTTTCAAAGAAGGTGTTGAAACCGTAAAAGTTAATGACAGATGGACAGAAAACGTGCAACGTGTTTCAGTCAGGTGACCTAAGGAGTGATTTTTTAAGGTTTATTTCCAAACCACTAATATCTTGATGATCAACTGAAATATACTGATGGAAAGAAATAAGGGAACACTGAAATATATAGGGAAATAAGCTTTACTGTCAGTACATTTGAAATAGTGTGGATACGAATTCAACACGTCAGAATCAAATGTTGAGATGTGTTTGTGTGCATTGTTTCCAATGTGTATTTGGTGGACAAGCCTGGGAGCCCATGAAAGTATATCAATTTACTGTCTCTAAAACTAAATGTTCCCTTATTAATTTCCATCAGTATATTAGCATTTTGAAGAACATGTTACCATGGTTACTGTGATGTAAACTGTAAACCCCTGAAGCACTTACATCTCACTATCACTTTACAGCCCAGACGAGCAGTCAAAAGTTTCACTATGTGCTTCAAGCATTTCAAGAACTGATGTCGATTTTATACAGAAAAAGAAATGAGTAAATAAAAACCTCACCCCCATTGAAAAACTTCCCTTCCACAAACTCCTCCACCCCTATCTCCTCCAAGCCGATTGCGATCAACCTGACGTTGTTTGCATCCAGCTGAGGTTTCAGGGCGGAGAGCTGCCTCGCTCCGAGGCGACAGAAGGGTCATCCAAAGCGCCGCATGAACGTCACCACACATGAGCCTTTCTGCCAGAATGTCTCCATTGCCACCATCTGACAACAGTAAATCAGGTTTAAACATAAGGCCACACATTTTTTAATTTCTGTTTTACGGGCTCACTGCACTCGGCAATATTTCAGCTATATAACGGTGGTCTGTAAATAATCGAGTCTGAACCAGATAGTCAAGTGATTGACATCATGAGCATTGATCAATGCAATTGGGACAAAATGACATGCATCAACCAAGTCAGTGAACCTGATCGCTCATTCATGTTTGTCGCCTTTTAGGACAATCATGGGATGCTGGAGACCTATTCTAACCCGGACCTTTACGGGTTGTGTGTGATAATAGAATTTTGTGTATGTGTCTGTGAGTGTGTTGTGTGTGTGTGTGTGGACAAGGATATACACAGAGGTTATCACACAAGTTTTGGGGGATGGAAATTATCCTGTATTAGGAAATGGTATTTTGTGTGATAACTTCTTTATCACATAATGTTTGCTGTAAGAACCAACACAACTATCAGGACTCGATTTAAGGAACTTGATTTAACTTGCACCAGATGCATGGTTGACATGAAAACCCAGTTTGAAACCAAATTTGAAACATTTGTACATAATCTTGAAGCTCCCACATTTCGACAATGTCAACGCCCCCAAAAGTAAGGGTTAGACCCAAATCTGAATTTTTTACATATACTTGGTGCATGTAGACACAAATATTAGGTTGCATTTTCAATAAAACGTTGCACTGGTACATGTTTTGTATAGCTATATCAAGCCCTTAATGATTCTTAATTCAGTGCCTGTGGCAGGCAAATTGGGAAAAATCATTAAATTGTTCAAAATGTGATTTTATAAAAGTACATGTTTTCTTAAATTCAGAGGTACTTTGAGATTGCATTTAATGCAATAATATAAAAGAAGCATTAAAACCTGTTCCTATTTATTGATCTTGTAAAAAGTGAATAAGGTTACTTCTACAAAGTCATAAAAGTATTTATGAGTTATATATATTAAATTATTAATACATTTTAACGTGAACTGGGACACAAGATATAATGTACAGTTACCATGGTTACTCTTTTAGTTGCTATTGTGCTAACAAACCAAAGATTGTAATTTGGGAATGTGGTATTCAAACCCACAATTATAGGATCCTGGCGTGCCCAAGGGACACAACTCTTCACATCAGGAACATTCAGGATATATCCATGTCAATCATCACGAGAGTGCACAGCAAATCAAATCAAACAGGACAAATAAAGTATTAGATTTTCATCACAGACCTCTGTACTACCAAACACCCTGCTTCACATTTTATGGTTTTCAAGTTCCCACGGACCATGCTGACTGAGACGGAGAAAATCCTCAGTGTCTTTCTTGTTGATAAAAGACACCATGAACGTTGTCCTCCCAAACATCCATCAACAGTTATGTACTACACAGATGCCACAGAAATATTTAATAACCTAATAATTAATTTATTGTGGCCTTAAGGAAGTATTACCGCATACCTCGACCAAGTTGATGTGAAATCAGTACTGTGGCCAGAAAATAACAACATTCCAGTGTTCAAGATTTTGAGAAACCCATTTCTTGTCCACCTTATCTTTTACTTCATTCATTTTACGACATTGTTGCTTACATATGTATGCTGAAATGGGGCACATTTCATGCTATCGTCGTGCACATTTCTGTCCTTGATCTTTTCTTGCAAACAATTTCTTGTAACCCGATAATCGTGAACATCACTAATGTGGCAGAAAAGGCTGCTAGACTTACTCTCTTATTCTCTACTCAGATCTTCAAGGGGCAGTAGAGTATTATGCAGGCCTGTTGTCACTTGACTACCCACACATTAACCCTAGTAAGGTCGTGACAGTCATGTCCAACATAGCTAAACGTTGGGAGCTGGGGGCTGTTATGAGTAATGTTTATTTGGTTAGGAGGATTTGTGGTTAACACTCCTGAATGTTAGGAGCAGATTCCCGTAAACTAAACAAAGAGGAAATGTCTTGCATTTCTGTGGGGACTCACACCGAATAATTGGCTGCTGCACCAGGACACTGCATCATGCAGATAGTGGTGGTTGGTTGGAGGGAGAGGGAAGAGAGGAAAGATGATTCACGCCGGATCAATGCAATTTCTGTGGCATACACTGTCATTGTTTGAAACATGTCAACTATATGCACATACGTTTAGGTCAAATGTAATAAGTCATGTGCACCATGGAATAACAACAAACAAGCTACTACTATTTGTTGTTTACTGCGGTACTCACTACTCGGCAATATGTCGGCAGTCTGAAAATAATTGAGTCTGGACCAGATAACACAGTGATTGACATCATGAGCACCAAGCTATCAATTGGTGAGTGAGTGACTGAGTGAGTAAAGATTTACTCCATTTTAATAATATTCCAGCAACATCACGGCAGGGGTCACCAGAAATGGGCTTCACGCATTGTACCCATGTGGGAATCGAACACGACTTCGTCGTGACGAGCGAACGCTTTAATCACTAGGCTACCCCACAGCCCTCAATCAATTGAGATCCCATGACATGTGTCAACCAAGTCAACATGACTGCAAGAGCAGTAGCCTCTTACAACACGCATGGTTGCTGAAGACCAATTCGAATCCGCATCTTCACGGTTGGTTGGTTGGTTGTTTAACGACAAACTCAGCAATATTCCAGCTATATGACGGAGGTCTGTAAATAAACAAGTCTGGACCAGACAATCCATGCAGTGATTAATATCATGAGCATCGATCGACGCTAATTGGATACGATGACATGCATCAACCAAGTCATCGAGCCTGACCACCCGATCCGGTTAGTCGCCTTTTACAACAAGTATAGTCACCTTTTACGGCAAGCATGGGTTGCTGAAGACCTATTCTTCCCCGGAATCTTCACGGGTCGCATCTTCACGGGTCGCATCTTTACGGGAATAATCACAAGATGAAAAGAATATCCACAACACAACCACCTGGACGTGCGGTTCGATTAATATACACCTTAATATACAACAATAGACACCTGTTCAATCCAAAGTTATTCATATTAACCTGTATTTGACTGATATCAACTGCACCACCGTGACAATTAGATTCTAACACCTTACGTAAGATTGTAGTTCTAGTCTTATAGTCACCTGTCGTCTGCAAAACTTACCTCCTTCGATGCAACGCTTTTGACAGCGTTCTTTGCAATCTTGGAGACGTCCATGGCGGACACCTCTACTGTTTCAGCGCTATTCGAGAGGAAACTGTTTACAAATGTCAAACTCGCCTGTCCAGCTTTCAAGCACACCCACACAGTAACCACACAGATCTCCTTTACTGTGTCAAACATGTCACGTGTGCTCCAACACTTCCGGTAATATATCAGGTGATGATCTAAATGTCGGAATGCGGAGAATTCTAAAACGGAAACTGACACATACATTCGCACCTCCTTTATTTTATCCATGGATTTCGAGCCTCGCCCAATGGGCGAATAAATCGTGCTTTACAGTTGAGTACATTGATCAGATAGGGTTGAAAGATCGTGTTGTACAGTCGTGCCTAGACTTGCACAAGTCTCTAAGGCAATAAGTATTAGTTTAAATAATAATTTCTAGATTATGTTAATTATAAGAACAAGTTGTCCCTATAAGAGACTGGAATATTGTCCACATATCTAGACTTGTCTGTTGGGAGGATAGAATTACTACACATCCATGGACTTATCTTTCAGTACAGCTTTGGGGCAAGGCTAAGTCGAGCCCATTTATCAGACAGCCTGGAGAGATAGTGCTTTATGGGAGAGAAACTATAAAATATTTATGGTCTCTGCTGTAACGTGTGGCGTATTGACAATTTTAAGCTGTTTGTCCTGGTAGAAAACGCGCTAGATCATATTTGACTCTCATTAAAAGTACCACTTTTAGTCGACATCAATTGGACTATTAACAAATGACGCGATAATGCGAATTGTTACAATTCATTGACATCATCTACGATAACTTGAATTGACCACTGAAAACAAAGCCCCAATTAACCCTTTGTATCTGAAACGATAATGGATCTGGAATATCGGGCCATTGTAAGTGAGATATGATCTACTGGGTAATCAAGGATGCCATTGTCACGGTACTTAATCAACGACTATGTCTGGTACGTAGACGAGAGTACTGCCTCGCCTAAAGAGGAGCCGACTTGTTGTTTGTTTTGTTTGTTGTTTAAAGCTGCACTCAGCAATATCCCAGCTATATGACGGCGGTCTGTACGAATACGATCTACGCAGTTGGAATACGATGACATGATCAATCAAGTCAGCGACCTTGACCACCCAATTCCGTTAGTCTCTTATATAATGCCCCCCTTTCATTACGACCACGAATATCCCGAATCACCCCGAATCGGAAACTTTCGAAATTCGTGATGATTCGGCCAATAATGCAAACTTTCGTGGCTAATCAGGTTGAAAAATATGAATAATGCCAGGAATGGGTTAAGAAACATGTACGAATTACAAGATTCATGTACGAATCATGCACGAATGGTAAGAATCGCCTACGACTATGTTACGAATATGCCGAATGTTGTTACTTAATTCTTACACGATTCGTAGTTGACTCGGGACATTCGTGGCTGTTTCGGGATGTTTTCGGGTTGAGGACAAGACATTTTGGGAGCCACGAATCGCTAAGAATAGCCAAGAATGTAAAAGAATCGATTACGAAGCTGTTACGGAACATAAGAATTAATTACGAATGGATTACGATACAGCCACGAGATTGCAATTCGGGGACCCTTCCACGAAAGTTTTTGACAAACAAAAACTTTCTCGCCGAATCGACGAACTCCCGCGAACTGTACGAATGTTTGGGAATCAAATAAGGTTCATTTAAGAACTTCAAGAAATGATTGATATTTATCTACGAACGTGAAACACGTCCTATTCGGTGTGATTCGGATATTCGTAGTCGTAGTGAAATGGGGGCATAAGGACAAACATAGCCGACTTGAATTTAAGAGCGGGCGTCAGTACACTCACGTGAATACACTCAAGTGAATACACTCACGTTAATACACTCACGTGAATACACTCACGTGCATACACCCACGTTAATACACGCAAGTGAATACACTCACGTTAATACACTCAAGTGAATACACTCACGTTAATACACTCAAGTGAATACACTCACGTGAATACACTCACGTGCATACACCCACGTTAATACACTCAAGTGAATACACTCACGTTAATACACTCAAGTGAATACACTCACGTGAATACACTCACGTGCATACACCCACGTTAATACACTCAAGTGAATACACTCACGTTAATACACTCTAGTGAAAACACTCACGTGAATACACTCACGTTAATACACCCACGTTAATACACTCACGTGAATACACCCACGTTAATACACCCAAGTGAATACACTCACTTGAATACACTCACTTGAATACACTCACGTGAATACACTCAAGTGAATACACTCACTTGAATACACTCAAGTGAATACCCTCCATTGAATACACTCAAGTGAATACACCACGTGAATACACTCAAGTGAATACACTCACGTGAATACACTCAAGTGAATACACTCACATGAATACACTCAAGTGAATACACTCACTTGAATACACTCACGTGCATACACCCACGTTAATACACTCAAGTGAATACACCCACGTTAATACACTCAAGTGAATACACCCACGTGAATACACTCAAGTGAATACACTCACGTCAATACACTCAAGTGAATACACTCACGTGAATACACTCAAGTGAATACACTCACTTGAATAAACTCACGTGCATACACCCACGTTAATACACTCAAGTGAATACACCCACGTTAATACACTCAAGTGAATACACCAACGTTAATACACTCAAGTGAATACACCCACGTTAATACACTCAAGTGAATACACCCACGTTAATACACTCAAGTGAATACACCCACGTGAATACACTCAAGTGAATACACTCACTTGAATACACTCAAGTGAATACACCCACGTTAATACACTCAAGTGAATACACCCACGTTAATACACTCAAGTGAATACACTCACGTGAATACACTCAAGTGAATACACTCACGTGAATACACTCAAGTGAATACACTCACTTGAATAAACTCAAGTGAATACACTCACGTGAATACACTCACGTGCATACACCCACGTTAATACACTCAAGTGAATACACTCACGTTAAAACACTCAAGTGAATACACTCACTTGAATACACTCACGTGCATACACCCACGTTAATACACCCACGTGAATACACTCAAGTGAATACACTCACGTGAATACACTCAAGTGAATACACCCACGTGAATACACTCACGTGAATACACTCACGTGAATACACTCACGTGAATACACTCAAGTGAATACAATCACTTGAATAAACTCAAGTGAATACACTCACGTGAATACACTCACGTGCATACACCCACGTTAATACACTCAAGTGAATACACTCACGTTAAAACACTCAAGTGAATACACTCACGTGAATACACTCACGTGCATACACCCACGTTAATACACCCACGTGAATACACTCAAGTGAATACACTCAAGTGAATACACTCAAGTGAATACACCCACGTGAATACACTCAAGTGAATACACTCACGTGAATACACTCAAGTGAATACACTCACTTGAATACACTCACGTGCATACACTCACGTGAATACACTCAAGTGAATACACTCACGTGAATACACTCAAGTGAATACACTCACTTGAATAAACTCACGTGCATACACCCACGTTAATACACTCAAGTGAATACACCCACGTTAATACACTCAAGTGAATACACCCACGTTAATACACTCAAGTGAATACACCCACGTTAATACACTCAAGTGAATACACCCACGTTAATACACTCAAGTGAATACACCCACGTTAATACACTCAAGTGAATACACCCACGTTAATACACTCAAGTGAATACACCCACGTGAATACACTCAAGTGAATACACTCACGTGAATACACTCAAGTGAATACACTCACGTGAATAAACTCACGTGCATACACTCACATCAATACGAACAATAAATAAATAGACAGACCTTATGCAAAAAGACACATTGGCAAAGATAAACAATGTGATAGATTAAGGATTTATTAACAGTAGGCAACAACAACCAATGCATTACTTGTTCAAGTATGCAATTCAAGGTACAACTCACACAGCATGATCACATTTAACAGGCGAATATACACAAGTTAGCAGCATTGAGAGTAACTTGTCAGTTCTAGTATACAGCTACCCGATCTTAATACACACAGACCGCCTCCGTGGTCTAATGGTAGAGCGTCCGCCCGGAGAGCGGAAGGTCCGGGGTTCGATCCCAAGCCGCGTCATACCAAAAGACGTTAAAAGATGGTACTTGTTGTTACCCTGTCTGGCGCTCGGCATTAAGGGGCTAAAACAAGGACTGGTCGGCTCGGAGTGAGTATACTGTGTCTGAGTGGGGTATTCATGTTAAACTGCGGCATGGTATCTCAGTGTGCTAGCACTATAAATCGGCATCAGTCCGGACTAGTACAAGCAACCACACAAACACACACACGTGCATGCACGTCGCTATATAAGTGCAATAATCTTGGACGCGACGTTAAACTCCATTTCACCTCACCTAATACACACAGGGTATTACAAATCTACCGATGTCAATATCGCCACGACACCAGTCTACATGGATTAATGGATCATCAGATCAAACACCTGTTACATAACAAGCTCCTTTAGACACAGCTGGGGTATCTCACGGAGAGTATCTATGTATACTTGAGGGGCGACAAGGCGCGTGCGAAATACGCGGGATGTATCGTTTTACATTTCCAAATGCGGAAAGCGCACGTTAAATCTCCAACTACACAATAGAATAGGAGGCGCGGACGTCGGAGTAGGTAGCCTAACCTCCGCTCACATAGTCTTTTACCCCAAGCGTTCTCCTCTATGGTGTTCTCTACAGTGTTCGCCCCTACAATGTTCTCCTCGACGGTGTTCTCCTCTAACGTGTTCCCCTCTACATTGTTCTTCTCCATGGTGTTTGCCTCTATAGTGTTCTCCTCTACCGTGTTCTCCTCTACAGTGTTCTCCCCTACGGTGTTCTCCTCTACAGTGTTCTCCTCTATAGTGTTTGCCTCTACATTGTTCTCCTCTACTGTGTTCTCCTCTACAGTGTTCTCCTCTACAGTGTTCTACTCTATACTGTTCTCCTCTGCATTGACCTCCTCTACGGTGTTCTCCTCCACACCAATGATATCCTATATGGTGTTCCCCTCTACTGTCTTCTCCTCTACATTGTTCTCCTCTCCAGTGTTCTCCTCTACAATGTTCCCCTCTACTGTGTTCTCCTCTACAGTGTTCTCCTCTATATTGTTCTCCTCTACAGTGTTCTCCTCTACTGTGTTCTCCTCTACCATGTTCTCCTCTACTGTGTTCTCCTCTACAATGTTCTCCTCTACAGTGTTCTCCTCTATAGTGTTCCCCTCTACATTGTTCTCCTCTACCGTGTTCTCCTCTACATTGTTCTCCTCTATATTGTTCTTCTCCATGGTGTTTGCCTCTATCGTGTTCTCCTCTACCGTGTTCTCCTCTACATTGTTTTCCTCTACAATGTTCTCCTCTACAGTGTTCTCCTCTACAGTGTTCTCCATGGTGTTTGCCTCTATAGTGTTCTCCTCTACAATGTTCCCCTCTACCGTGTTCTCCTCTACATTGTTCTCCTCTACATTGTTCTTCTCCATGGTGTTTGCCTCTATAGTGTTCTCCTCTACCGTGTTCTCCTCTACATTGTTTTCCTCTACAATGTTCTCCTCTACAGTGTTCTCCTCTACAGTGTTCCCCTCTACAATGTTCTCCTCTACAGTGTTCTCCTCTAACGTGTTCTCCTCTACATTGTTCTCCTCTACATTGTTCTTCTCCATAGTGTTTGCCTCTATAGTGTTCTCCTCTGCCGTGTTCTCCCCTACATTGTTCTCCTCTACAGTGTTCTCCTCTCCGGTGTTCTCCTCTACAGTGCTCTCCTCTACATTGACCTCCCCTATAGTGCTCTCCTTTATATTGTTATACTCTACCGTGTTCTCCTCTACAATGTTCTCCTCTCCGGTGTTCTCCTCTATAGTGCCCTCCTTTACATTGTTCTACTCTACTGTGTTCTCCTCTCCAGTTTTCTTCTCTACATAGCTCTCCTCTAAGTGTTTTATCTACATTGTTCCTCTGTATAGTGTTCTCCTCTACAGTTCTCCTGTACGGTGTTCTCCTCTACAGTGTTCTGGGGGCACGGGTAGCCCAGTCGTCTAAGGCGCCGCGATTCGCTGTGAAAAGTTGCGTCCCTTGGGCACGCCAGAAACCTATGATCGTGGGTTCGAATCCCGGTTCGCCCCGATTATGTTTCTAGGTTTGTCAGCACCATACCCGTGCTTGTGGGTTTCACCGAAGTGGTAAACGTCTGAGACCTGCATCACTTCGGGCTTTCCTCCCACATTAAGCTGACACGCCGCGATGTAACTGGAATACTGTTAAAAGCGGCGTTAAACCCAACTCACTCACTCACTCACTCTACAGGGTTCTCCTCTACGGTGTTCTCCCCTACAGTGTGTTTCCTCTTCAGTGTTCTCCAT